ATTAAAGTAGTGCCTCACCCACAACATTGGCAGCTATACTAAATGAACATGATTAAATGGAACTTACGGAAGGTGAGACAATAGAAACAAAACGCGGCATTTTGTGATCCGTGTCCAACGGCTGTATTCGGTCTTTGGAGACGGATATATTATGATTTTAAATTGTTCAAAAACAATGTCCCGAGCTTGGATTAAGACGTTTGTTACAATCAATAAATGATTTGTTACCCGGCCGTATAAGAAAGAGGTGGCGGCTTGATTTTTAAAAGGAATGCTTTATAGGTTGTGTTCGGACATAAGGAGTGTCATGTTCGGTAGCACTTAAGAAGTCGAACCAAAATCGAAGCATAAATGCTCGGTTTACATACATTGATTTATGGTTGATTTAGGTACTGAACATTTTGTATGGACATGACAGTAATTAACAACAACAAAAAAATTACCAATCCATTCGTTTCTATGTACGGATTTCACCGGGCATGGGTTCACACAAGCTAATTAAGGATGCAAATCAAACGTCCAAATGTAAAGATCACTTTAAAATTATATACCACCTTTTAATATTATTTATAGTGCTTTTCAATATGATGTTTATTGGATCATGTAAGTTAAATAGGCATTAACACTCTCGCCAATTGTAATAACTGTAATTAATTTTATATCATACTAACAATAACCTTGGATGAACGTCCGTTATACCACTTGAAAACCACGATTGGGAAATGGAAAGTTGAAACGTCTAGATCTCATCGATGCCTTTGAAGATTTGAACATTCCCAGTGTGACTGTATAAAATCACATTAAAGCTATCTAAAAAAATTTAACCAACCGTCGAAAGTCTCCAAAGCCCTAATGCCTCTTTAATACGAAGTATCATAATATCTATTAACTGTAAGTGTTTAATCTGCCATTAATAATCCTCTACGCATAACAATATAGTGTACAAAATGCATATTTATATCATAAATTACTGGTGAGATGGCGGTGTTTCTTTTGTTGATTGCCGAGTATCCTATCGCCCAACAGTAGGACGTTAAACCCCATTTCATTTCATTTCATTTCCTATCGCCCATTTACCAGTTCACAATGCACAATGTCTTGTCACTCTAAAAGAGTCTAAGGGGGTCTTTTAGAAATTTTACTAGTCTGTTAACTTAGTCTATTTATTTTCAACAATATTTTACAATTTAATTAGTAACAAAATTACTCTCCAAAATTACTGTAAACACCCTTTTCAAGACAAATTTTTATTTTGACCCGAGCAGCCAAGCCTGGCAACCATGTTTTATGCTTCTAATACTTTACACATTACATACCAACCCGTGTTCTACAGATAAATAAAAATCAGTGGTGGCTACCGAGTGCATAGCCCATGACCCTTTGTGGAATGAATAAAAAAATACTATAAATTATGTAAATTCTCACAATTGTCTCGCCTGGCCTCGCTCAGTCCTCCTGCCCAGCGGGCAGCAGCTGTCATGGTCGCCTGAATCTGTAGAAGTATAGAATATTAATAAGTCTTTACAAATAAAATTGTACCAATCTAAAGATCAATTTTACAGCTTAGTCTACAATACACATTGTTTGAAGTAATCGATCCAGTTATAAAACATTAAACACAGCGTCTTCGATAGCAAGAAAAACCCCGCTTGGTAAATGTGGAGTGGTTTCCCATTTATCTGTTATATATTTCTCTTCGGCTTTGTGAGGTAGCATATTGATAAACATCAGATTAATGTTACGGTTATTTTGAAACACACATATTACGGTCATTTCTATACGCCCAAACAAAGAAGCATTATGTAAGAATTAGACAAAATAGTTCAGAAATAAATTATGCAAAATGAATGTATTGAAAATTTCATTCAAATTACTTTATTCTGAGCAAAGATATTAGCCTTTGAAGGTTTTGACAAGATGTGTGCATTGATTGTAACCACCTTACTGGTTATTCGAAGCTTAGCCCCTCTTCTCCATTTTTGAATCGAATCATTAAATGGCCGAACCGTTCTAATCTACTTAATGGAGACATTCAATAGCATCGAGAGTTGATTATGGTCTTGTCATGTTAACAAATGTCTAACTATTAAAATAGTATAATGTAACATGCAAGTAGCAGATTTAACTCTTGCATAATGCTATGCCCGTTTAAAATGTGGACGAATATTGTCACCCCTGTCCGCCCGACGGTCCAACATCTACAATTGCCTGTGGAGGCTAAAGTTAATATCCGATTGACGTTAATGTTATACATAGTGTTTAACGTCATTAAATGAAGAAGAATCCTATTGATTTTTACTGATTTCCTATAATTACTGCCCTTAATCTCTTTGAATAACCTTAAAGTTTAAAGTTATACACAGTGTTTAAGGTCATGCGATGAAGAATCATACTGATTTTCGATTTCCGATAATTTCGGCCAGAGGTTGAAAAGTCTTGTGGACGCTTTACAGGCTAAAATTATCACCCGATTGTCTTGAAAATTTATATTTATAACAGAAAGAATCCTATTGGTTTTCAATGGTTTCCGATTACTTGAACAGCTCTGAATCACTATATTACATATTTTGTATAATAACGTTTAGCATTAGGCAAGGACGAGAAGTTAAACAAACTATAATGATTTCTGATAATAACGTAATGTTTTGTAAATTATGCTTTCATTACCGACAGAAGGAAAAAATATGTGACAACTCACGTGGACTGCACTTGGGTGTTATAATATGTTGTCTGGCAACCTATCTTTATTTCTGTTTTTATACCTGTGCAAAATGAAATGAAATGAGGAAAATTCGACCCGGACAGAAGCGCTACAGCCTATACTCTTATTTCGAATTCCATCTGTCAGCGGTTCCATTACGTCCACGCCAACGTCTACACAGGATCTCGTTTTTTTGTCCCATTCGAACGGCTAGATACTTTTCCTTGCCAGGCCTTGCATCTGCGACACTGACAAGAGGAAACCAAACCGGCAAGTCTTGAACTGAGCCAAACAGCCGGTAATATAGATTTTAGATTGAATTCTGTATAAAACTTTCCAAACTAGCTGTTTCTTAACATTGTTAGTTTTTTAGAACAGATTTATATATTTGGAGCCTGTCTTGATGTACAAAGGAGGTTGGCAACAAACATGTAATGAGTCAATAGATTATACATGTAGTTACTTGGCTTACATCCACTGCAGATTCTTCAAACGATTTTGATTTTTAAAGTTACAGCCTCGCCTATGGTGGCTGATTGGTATCATGTCGTAATGTCGTGATGTCGCCTTTCATAACGCGACAACCCGATAACCCGACATCACGACATTTCTACCCGACATTACGACAACCCGACAACCCGACACCACGACATTTTTACCCGACATCACGACATTTTTACCCGACATTACGACATTCCGACACCACGACATTTTTACCCGACATCACGACATTTTTGTCCCTCGCCTTTCGAAGAAAGCAGGGGACTATTAAAATGGGTTCGTCCGTCTGTCTGTCTGTCTGTCTGTCCGTCTGTCCGTCCGTCTGTCTGTCCGTCACACTTTTTGGGACACAATAACTCTCTTCCTAATTGAGCTAGAATGTTCAAACTTGGTGTATGTGTTTATTAGGTCAATGCCTTGATGGAGTTCGAAGATGAGCATTTTCCGCTTAGGGTAAGCAGAGATAAGCAATTTGATTGGTTGATGCTTTGGGACACAATAACTCTCTTCCTAATTGGGCTAGAATGTTCAAACTTGGTGTATGTGTTGATTAGGTCAATGCCTTGATGGAGTTCAAAGATGAGCATTTTCCGCTTAGGGTAAGCAGAGATAAGCAATTTGATTGGTTGATGCTTTGGGACACGATAACTTTTAATTGAGCTAGAATGTTCAAACTTGGTGTATGTGTTTATTAGGTCAATGCCTTGATGGAGTTCGAAGATGAGCATTTTCCGCTTAGGGTAAGCAGAGATAAGCAATTTGATTGGTTGATACTTTGGGGCACGATAACTCTCTTCCTAATTGAGCTAGAATGTTCAAACTTGGTGTATGTGTTGATTAGGTCAATGCCTTGATGGAGTTCGAAGATGAGCATTTTCCGCTTAGGGTAAGCAGAGATAAGCAATTTGATTGGTTGATGCTTTGGGACACGATAACTTTAGTTCTAATTAAGTGAGATTGATGAAACTTGGTGTATAGATTTATTATATGAATACCTTAACTAAGTTCGATAATGAACATTTTTTGCTGAGGGTAAGCAGAGTGATAAGCAATTTGATTGGTAGAAACTTTGGAACACAATAACTCTCCTTCTAATTGAGGTAGAATGTTCAAACTTGGCATAGGTGTCTATTAGGTGAATGTTTAAACTTGATGTATATGTAGATGTTCATTAGGTGAATGTCTTGACTGAGTTCAATAATTAACATTTCGAGCTGAAGCTAAGCAGAGCTAATCGATTTCATTTGTCGATGGTTTGGGACAAGATAATCTTGATTCTATCTGATAGAGAGTGATGAAACTTAGTGAAAAAAATAAATGTGCGATTAATTAATATGTGTCATCTATTTATTTTGCAATTTCGGCGGGGGACATCAGCCTCACTGTTGGCTTGTTACCCGACATTACGACACTAAAAATGTCGTAATGTCGGGTAAAAATGTCGCGATGTCGGGTAAAAATGTCGTGGTGTCGGGTTAACGATTGTATACAGAGTCAGTTAAAAGCCTGATTAAATAAATGTGTTTTAAGTTGTTTTTTTAAACGAATATAGAGATGTACAACATGGTCAAGATATAACGCGACAACCCGACATCACGACAACTGGACAACCCGACACCACGACATTTTTACCCGACATCACGACATTTTTACCAGACATTACGACATTTTTAGTGTCGTAACGTCGGGTAAAAATGTCGTGATGTCGGGTAATAATGTTGTGGTGTCGGGTTGTCGCAATGTCGGGTAGAAATGTCGTGATGTCGGGTTGTCGGGTTGTCGCGTTATGAAAGGCGACATCACGACATTACGACATGATACCAATCAGCCACCATACTCGCCAATTCTATAGCCTAACTATAGACAATATATAGAAGAGTTTATCGTCGTAATTACATATCCTATAATTTCGAAGACATGCTTTTTCTCTATAATTATGAACCGATTTTCTTCAGAAAAGCCGTGTCTTTACCTACAAAGCATTATCACTCTCATCAAGAAAATAAATGTAATCAATATTGAATCGTGACACTAAACAACGAGCTTATTATCATCCCATAATATGGTTAGCGCGTGTGCGTTGTATTATTAGGTCTGTCATTGAGTCAACTGGCGTGGTTTCGATTCCCCGGTTGTACGTGACAAGGAGTAGGGTCGCCTGTCCAACCTACGCGCTAGCGAATTATTGAAATAAAATGGAATCATAAATATGTTAGCCCCGAAATGACCTAGTTTGTGTCGAATTATGATTTTTCCGGTATATATTATAGGGGTTTTCGATCAAAAGGAGAGTTGAAGAAGTAAACATAAAAAATTTACTTACAAATTGATTTAATAGTTATTTAGATAAGTGTTAACAATATAAAAAATTGTATTTTAAAATTTCTTCAATCATATAAAATCAACCGAAACCAAGCACTGAACAAAGCAATTACAGTGTGCATTGGGGGGGGGGGCGTCACTGAAACCTTTTGCCACGGGGCGCCACATAGGCTTGTGAGGGCCCTGGGTAAACCTCAGTTTATCGTCCCATCAGTAATTCTAGGCATAGCTTTGTCAGCGCCACAGGGGGTCACGGTGACTAAGTAGGTAAATTTCATTTCATTTCATTTGTCAGCGCCACAGACACCATCAACGAATAGACAACGATGGCAGTAAATGAATAACGAACCGCTAAATTAAGAACACAAGCGAGGTTAGGTGTAAGTTGTTTGAAGTTGAACTTTTAATAAATGTTTATAAGCTGATATTGAATTAGACACGCATGTGCATGTGTTAAAGGCGGGGAGGATGGCTGAGTGGTTTTATGCGTGATCATCGATTTCCTCCCACGGCTAACACCACTATGTTCAAGCGAATTATTGAAATCGAATAGAGAGAGAGAGAGAGAGAAATGGGGTTTAACGTCCACTCGACACAAACTAGGTCATTTCGGGACTAACATATGGTTTAATTTTATTTTCATGGGGGTCTTTAGCAGTGGGAGGAAACCGGAGGCCCCGGAGAAAACCCACGAGGTTGGACAGGCGACCCTACTCCTTGCCACGTACAACCGGGGATTCGAAACCACGCCAGTCGACTCAATGGCAGATTTTATGATACAGCGTGCGCACGCTAACCATTCAGCCATCCAACCCCCCTGAAATCGAATATCTCCAAAATGATCTAGTTTGTGCTGTTTGGGTTCTCCTTGTCAGTGATGCAGTACGGAGGGCCTGGCAATATACAGCATTCTAGTCGTTCGGATGGGACGAAAAATAGCGGTCCCATGACATTCTGGAGTCCACGAAAAAGAAGCCCTGAAAGTTTGAAATGCAACTGTTTCCCGGTCAATATTTCACACGTAACACACTGCATCATGGCGTATATCGAGTCGGAGCAAACAAGTAAGATGTTAGTTAAACCCATTTCATTAATGTTGGATTTTTGTGCGCACAGGACCGTAACTTCCAGGGTTATGGCCACGGCCTCTTAAGCAAAATGTGTAACAAAGTGTATGTGCGTGAGGGGTGGGGGCGGTGGTATGCGAGCATGATGTAATATTATAAGATTTATTTTAGCTTTAAGAAAGGTGTTCTGTTTAATATAGAAATTCGTTACCTACATGATGTGTGACGAAAATTAGGGTAATGAAGTAGCTTGCATTATTCTACTTCTATCTTAGACTAACTCACCGACAGTTATGTCAGTATCCATTGCTGGAAGTAGGGTACTATAGTCCAGTTATCTCCTGCACAGATTAGCACAATTAACTAGTGTTGATGTAAAACGGCGCCTATACGAAACACTTACCCAAAAGGATAATTGCCCCGCCCTAATAGATGACGCATTATAATATCTATATAGGAGAGATATGGTTTGATTTACCTTCAGATATCATAGAGCGGCTCGAGAGGGGACCATCGTAGTCTCCTCGGCTTAGAGGCCAGGGTGAACACATCATCCTAGCACGAACCTTATGTAGAACTAGCAAGAAGTATGTGACTCTTGCCACGTTTAGACCGTTAGGTCTGAGTCAGAAAGGATATTAAACTCAGACCGTGGATAATTTAATAACTCGAAAAGTACTATCATAACTTTGTAGTTTGCTGTATTTGTTTAATTATATAAATTTAGTAACAACATAAACGGTGTTCCAGAGTCAGTTAATTGATGATTGAAATAATTGATCCCACAACGTGAAGTCGAAGAAAGTCATAGACGATAATGTCACAACTACCCCAAAGTGTCACACATCTGTACCCCGTAGTGCCACAATGAAACCTGCCGATTTCCATCGTTCTCTGTTTAGTTGGTCCGTCCGTCCGTTAGGGACAAAAATATCGGCAATCAGCTTACCGCGACCTTTCGTTTTGTCATGCTTATAGTTTCTTTCCATCAACGTGTCACTTTAATTGTATAGTTTCCTTTTGTTCCTTTAAAACGTCAATGTGTAGCTGTTAACCGATCAATATCTCCTGACGAATTTACGTGTAGATCAAACCTGTAACACTCGAACAGAGCTGAAATTTGGTAGGCATAATCACGACGGAGGCTTTGTTGATATTCAGAGGATTACAATGTGTCAAAAGGTATGTACTTTTCAAATTTTAGTATACGGCGTGTTTTAATACCATTTTGATAGTTATGTATATATGAAATGCTTGAATACAACATACACGAATTTTCATACCCCAATTATAACTCATCTATATAATATCGCCAGCCTTATCAAATTTCTTTGATTACTATAAATTCCAAAAATTGTAAAATCAACCTTCCGCATTTAGCCAAAAAGTAAATGCACAACACAATGCACAATATAGCTATAACAAAATTGTGCCAGACGTCTTGTATTCTAAATTCTTCTAATGCTCAAACACAAATGTGGCGTCTGCCCGCCACCCCACATTTTAGCAACGCTACTGTGACTCACCTTTCTGTCAATTTTTATGCTTCTATACGTGTTTTGGTTTCTTCATTAAACAGTCGGTGGTGGTTGTTCATTACATCAATATTTCATATTATATATTCAAGTTGAAACCTGTTTCCACAGAATTTGAGAGATACAAGCATTCATTAAGGAATAATAATAGGTTGAAATCGATTTATTCATGTTTTATAGCTTAAGTCTTAACATAAACTTTTATTTAAGCAGTCATTAGCGTTATGTGGTGTGGATATTGTAGTGACTAGTGACTGTCTCTTTGTCTCCAGGGGAACGGTGCACCATAAAGATATGCGAAATTTAACATGAGAAGCAAATCTTTGTAAACATTTATTTCATCCTTTTTAACATTAATTTAACACTGTTAAAGACCCATATGCGCAATTAAATGGTTTGTGTTCAGTGGACATTAACAGCTACCTCTCCAAATCGTTATTGGATATATTTATGTAATTGTAGACTGATATGGCGAAAACAGACAACACCGTACAATCATATACCCAGATTTAAGGAAACTAAACAAAAGCGTGTAATTGTATTGTATGGCCAGTAGACAAGCGACATGTATGAAAGTGTCTATATATTTCTACTGCTGTTATTATGGAGTTGTTATTTAAGAACAATAGCCGATGAAAGAGAGTTGTTTTGTTATAACCAAGATGGAGAACGTGTCTGTGGTGGAGATGAGTTTTTACATTTAACCAGAATTGACGGCAAGGAGGTAAGCAATAACGTTGTGACGGATGTTGTGCACGAAACAGGGGATGCTCGTTGTTATATCTCTTACGACTGGGCTACCCACCCCATTCCCATTTGATCACGTGTCTGTTCTTTTTGTGCTGTTTACTCCACTGTCTATTATTTAGGGGCCGCGATAATCCGAATCCTTGTTGTTTTTTTTTTTTGGTTTTTTTTTTTTGGAACGGTCCTAATTTATATGGGGAACAACAAGGATGACACAAGAACAAAATTAATCTGTATTGGAAATGAAGATCAGGTAAAACATTCCATAGTAGTTGGAATCCAAATGAGAATAATATTGGAACGGGTGGAAATGCCGCTGGGTATGGAACAGTCGCGATCCCCTGATTGCGAATCATATTTTTGTCTCAAAATGAACAAAGTTTTTTGTTCAGTTAATGTTAAAGGACAATATTGGTGCCAGTCATTATCGCATATGTGATAGAGCTGGTTAAACACATTCCATATATAATTTTAACACAGAGATCATTGCTACGATAGCTGAGTAATACAGGTTTCCTGAATCGGAAGTGACGAACGCCAAAGGAAAACACGAGTGATAACTGATATACGGGCGAATTTCTGCTCACTAATAATTCCCTCGAATTATACATGGTACGTATTACTTAAAAGACACTATCACAATCCACATAGAATTAAAATGTCAATTTTATAAACTCTTATTACATTATTTAAAGGTTGGGACTGTACACAAACTATATGTAGATGGTAGAAACCTTGAGATGACAACTCTTAGTTTACAACCGTTAATACTGGGTAAGTTTAAAGGAACTAAACTGTAACTCAATAAGCAATATTTTCCATAATATTCAAAATTAAAAACGCGAATTAGAATTCAATGTTGGTCCATTTTAATCAATATTGACTTGTTATCTTACTGCGAAAATATGGGACTCTAATATAACAATGGACATTTTAAAATCAGTACACGACTCGTGTTCTTTATGGTTTCGAGAGCTATTTGTAATTTACAAAGAAAAACATATCCCGCAAGACAATAAGGAAGTCACTAATTAATTTTAATGACAAAATAATTTTAAAGGATATGTAGAATGGACTAAGAGGCGAAAACTACTTCCGTTCAATTTGGACTGTTCATGTATTTCAATGAACATAATTGATTAGAAATTAGAAACTAATTTTTTTTTTTAATGTAAAACACTGTATATACACTCGTACTACATGAATATGTGCTTTTAGACACATTGTCATTTATTTTAAGTTTCCAAAGAAAAGAGCTATACGCCCTTTAACTTAAGACAAGGCTTACTGATGTATCCTTTGTTCAATGTCTAAAATTTCTGTTCGTTGCTAAGATAAATCTAAGTAGGCCTACTCCTTTATGGTTATTTCTGAATAATGTAAATGTTACTATAATTTAAAGAGGTGGTATCACTTCCACAGAGAAAAAATATATGTAGTTTTGCATACAAGCGTATAAAACACAACTCATGTCCCAAGTTGATAATTTGCCCAGTCAAATGAAAGAGCTGTTTCAATATTGACTTATTTTGACAGTAGAGCAGAACCGTGACTTGCACTCTCAACAGATAGTGGTCGCAGATTTATCTCGTTGCTTTTTGTACGCCCACGCGTAGTTTGGGCGTATATTATATTCGTCGCCCGTGTCCTTTGGTACACTAGTCCGTCAGTTTCGTTGGACCGAGATATATAGGAGTTTATGACGGATTTTTAAGAATTTCGTGTGATGATTGCACACGTTGAGGGGATTTTCAGCGTTCCAGAGTTATGACAATATTAATTTTCAAATTTGGTGTGAAGCATTGGGATCAAACCTTATTGATTTAGAGCTTTCTATAAATTTCTGTTCCAGTTATATATTATGTGCCTGGAAAAGCTATGAACCGTATAAAGATTATATTTATGGGGGATAAAGGATCCTTATATCAAATTTGTTCCATATATAAGTTTTCTATGTCTATATTTTTTCGCGGCAAAGCTGTGGGCGTATTTCGACACTTTATAAGTGTGTCTTTAAAAAAGAATTGGTCGAACTACTTGAGGTGTCCAAATACATTAACAATATATATTTCAGAAATTCCAAATATGTTAACTGACGAAGAATGTGATCATTTTATATCTGTTGCTAAGCAAGAAGGATTGAAAGATAGTAGTACTGGAAAGAATGGTGGTGACAATACATTTAATATCTTGGATTTAGATGATAACAAACAACTTAATATATTAGAGGTTATATATTTTATGTAGTTATGTACAGGTCTTGGTGGTTCCAGTTCACGAATTTATTCCGCCCGGTTAAGGACGCCGCCTTGGTAAGAGTCGATCATGTGGCAAAGAAAAATTAAATTATACCAATTGGTTGCTAAATCGACAGCGCAGCATACCTGGAATGCAAAACATAAAACAAACAGTGCTGAGCCAGTTATTCAGTCCTGCCAAATAAGCCGCGGGTGCAAGATTTGGCCTCGTTCAGTGTACGAGACTCGTGAAACCGCACCAGTTTTAAGTTTTCATATCCGGATATATCCAATGCTATCTTATCAAGTACTGAATTATGTACTTATTTATTTGGCTGTTTTGGTGTTGTTCAGTCCACAGAATTACGAATGGGTATCGGTTGTTGTTTTACAGATGCGGATAACAATAGAAAATGCCTTTGATGTCTACCTTACTGATGAAGATATCTTACAGATGTAAATATTTGTTTTTCTATTTTCAATTTAGTTTCTAGTAATAGAATGAAAACAAAAACTGGGAATAACTCGATAACTTATATTTCATTACCTTGGTCTCCTACCGATACCTAAGTACTGTTAAAGGGAAAGGTGTCTTTTAAGAACACAAGGATTCAACACATAGCTGGAGTGGGGATTGAAATGAAATGAAATGTCGTTTACCGTCCTACTTTTCTGCTGAAACCGGGCTAATGGCGACGCGCATAAGCCATATCGTGTGATATTTCGAATTCCAACTGTCAATGGTTCTTTTATGTGCACGACATACACGCCAATGTGTACACGGGACCTAGGTTTTTTCTATCCCATCCGAACCATTATTGTCCCTTGCCACGATCCTCTGCACCACTGACAATGGTAACGACCATAGTACCAGCTCATTAGCCACTGCCAAACTTGGTAGCAATGGTAACGAGCATGGCACCAGCTCATTAACCACTGCCAAACTTGGTAGTAATTGTGGGTTATTGTTTTCATTGGTCTACAACTTTTGCTGGCCGACTAATCAAAGTAGTGGAGAAATCAATCAAACACGGAGCCAATTAAGTTTTCGGAAGTGGCAGTAACAGTAACAGAGAATTTCAGGATGAAGGCGCGAGAAGACTTTTCAAGTCGTAACAACATACGTAAGGTGCTTAGACTGCAAGGGATAAGGGACCAGAAACAGCACTTTGCCAAGTGAGCTGGTGATGCTTGTAACTAATGCTTTGTGAATATAAAAATCACTTGGGATTTGGGTTAATTTTGATCTGTGGCTGTAAATAAAATTCAATTTTTAATATTTCAGGTACATTCATACAGGAATTGATAAGAATGGTGATGGTGAGTTAAAATGGACAATAAATAAACTTCCATTTTAAAAGAAAATTGTGTCCCAAAAGTGTGTAAATCAGTCCATCCACTCAAAACGGAACTACATAGTGGTTTGAATAACATGAATACCTGGTTATAACAATTCGATCCCTACATTGGTCGAGAAAGTTCAACGTGGTTTCCCCTTGTCAGTGGCACAGGACGAAAAGCCAAGGTCCCGTGTATACATTGGCGTGCACGTAAAAGATCCCTTGGCAATTGGAATTCGATAAAGAGTAGACCATATATAGTGCCGCTGCCCAGGCAAAATTTCACTCATAGCACACTGTATAGAGCATGCCCGTCTTCATTAACCCAGTACGAGCAGAACAGTAGGACGTTTCATGTCATTTCATTGGTTATAACAATCTCAATTATGGGATTTTTTTTGTGTCGTCGGTCCAAGTGCCGAATTCTGTATATTTGGGTGGTACTAGGTAACTGGATTATCGGCTAAAATCTCCAGGGCTTGAATCTCGTCGTGGGCTAAAAAGAAACTCGTGATTTTTCATGCCCAGTGCCCGCTTCTCAGTGTTAGAGCCTGGTGAACTGATAAGGAAACGTTTGGCACGGAAAGGCGAGAACAACCCGAATACACAAAAAGTGTGTGTACGTAAATGAATCTCTGGAATTGGATGAAGAGAAGGCGGAAAACACAATACAAGGACAAATTCCCCCTCGTTGACAATGCAGACGTCACCATAGAAAATAATTACTCGTATGTTAGTCCCAGAATGACCTAACTAATGGCTGCTTGACGAGACGCAAAACTAAATTCCTTTTCTATCGGCTATAAGAATGGTTTATGTTTGACCTCGAATCGCTTTCAAATATATACACTATTTGTCTCTTTAGGTAATATTACACAAGAAGAGTTGGGACGACTTAGACCAGCAGAAATGGAGAGATACATCAAAAAGTTTGCCCATTTTCAACCGGAAAAACAATCTCGATATAGTCAACAGGCTTGGTTGTATCCGGACAAATCGGTTGATAAAACATTTAGTCAGGTTCAAGAAAGGTAAAATTGATTAATCCTATAGTAATATCACCAAACTCGAGTAAACAAATAGTTTTCAGAAAGCCAATTTGTAAGCTAATTTACACCCGCAAAAGGCCACTTCATGTATGTTTTTGGTTTTAAAAAAAATTTGAAAAGGAATTTAAAAAAAAAGAAATATTTATTGGCATTTTATTTATTTTCAGAGTATCGGAAGTAATCAATTTACCTATAGATGTTGTTAGACTAAGTAATTTTCAGGTAATAACGTCTAGATATTCGGGTGAAAATCAATATCAATAATGTGTGTCGTGTGTCCACCATAGCAACTACGTATATGCAGCGTATGGCTGCTTGTGGGGTTCTTGATCACTGGCGTTGCAATGCTGCTTCCATTTGATTTTGACGAAGATTTTTCATTTGGGGACCCTGGCAGAAACGAAATGAAGACTGGCATACGCCATACAGTGTACTATGACGGAAATTTTGCCCAGTCAGCGGAATTCCAACTGCCAAGGGATCTTTAACGTGTACGCCAATGTATACACGGGACGTCGGGTTTTCGTCCCACCCGAACGACTAAACAGCTGCCCTTGTCATCTGGGAGAGAAGATGCCAATACTCGATTTGTAAGACATCATGAGAGAGAGTTGGTCATTAGGACACTGCAGTGCAGGAATTAAATGAAAACAGATTTTAGGCTATGAGGCCCAGTCCACTTCCCCACCATCACGAAGATAAAAGTGATTTAAACACAATTTAACAAACTGATGATGGTGACGGAATTTTGACAATAAAGTTGGTGTTAGAAATGTTTATGACAATATTATACACATTGACCGAAGGCCCCTAGATCTTGAGACTCTCGAGCATTATCAAGCTGACGACACTGTGTAAGTTTGACACAGCATAGTGTCAGCTCTGATGAACTGAAGTTATGTGGATCCCTCAAAGTCGCAGCAGTACGGGGAAAGTTGACAGCGCGATCCTGAAGATATTGCCGGATAATGTGACGATCTTATAGAGAGGGGTGTAGCACCATGGGTCTTTTGTCAGACGTGGAAAGCGGGTCATCAAAGCCGGTCGCCACATCCTACGTAAGAGCCATGCACTCTCTTCTTACTACATATCTTAATAGCCCTGTGATCGTCAGATCGTCTAGTATTTGTAATTCTCTTCTTGGATTCATTTTCACGTTGTGTATTTTCTTCCTACTATCTAAGTAGTTGAGACATTTGTCTTACCAGAAATAAAAATGCATCAGTTCAGTTCAGTTGGATACATATGGTTACAATGCATAATAGATTACATTAGCATACTTATAATTAACACCTTTCTCTCAACCCCAACTCCTGTAAAAGTCTAACCAGCATGGCTAGGACTCAGGAAACGGCTACATCATATGGTCGTCTAAAGAACCAAGGCGATGTCTACCCTCTCTGAGGAACTCAGATGGTATCTGCCCAGAACCCAATGATATCTAATCTTAAAAAGCCTTGCAGGGTCTCATTTATATATAGGACCCATATGGATATCACGCACAGATCAGACTATGCATGATCCTGAATCTGTACAATTACTGATATATACTATTCAAAAAAAGTAGGGGATATTTGATTTTTAAGTGTTATTAAAGTCACCTAATGAAACTGACGAAGAAACAAATGACAAAATGAAATGAAGTTCACATTCATCGATTTATTCCAAATGATCGTTAGACTAAGTAAGGCACAGACTGACCATTATAAGGGTAAAATGATACCCGGGGTCAAACAGCAAAGTTACCACAGCATCACAACCAAGTCAGTAACGGGTAAATCCTCCTCTGTTTGCCAAACAAGCATTGATCCGACGTGGCATACTCCTAATGAGACGTCTAAGGTCATTTTGGTCCAGATTGTCCCATTCCTGTTGCAACGCAGCAGCAAGTTCTTGGACATTGGCAGGACGTTGTTGACGTTGACGTAACTTCTGTCCAAGCATGTCCCAGACATGCTCGATGGGGGAGAGGTCGGGACTCAGTGCTGGCCAAGGTAATGTGGTGATGTTCTGTTGTTGGAGGTAACCTGTAACGATCCTGGCCCTGTGACATCTTGCGTTGTCATCCTGGAAGATGAAACGGCGGCCATGACGTCGTGCGAACGGCACAACATGGACTGCCAAGATGCTGTCCCGGTAGTACTGGCCTGTAACACGCCCTGCAACAACATGTAAAGCCGTTCTTCCAGCAACAGTGATGCCTCCCCACACCATAACAGAACCACCCCCAAATCGATCATGTCTGATGACGTTAACGTCTTGGAAGCGCTCGTTTCGACGACGCCACACCCTCCTACGTCTGTCCAAAAAATCAACAGTGAACCTTGACTCATCTGAAAACATCACATTGCTCCAGCGTCGATTATCCCAGTGTTGACGATCCCTACACCAACGACGTCTTGCCTGAATGTGATGATCTCTCAAACAAGGGATCACGCGAGGACGTCGGGCGCGAAGGTGACCCCTATGCAGTCGATTCCGAATCGTCTGGCCACTCACTCTCACACCAGTGTCTGTTTGAAGACGAGCGCTGATCTGATTTGCTGTGATGACACGATTTCTCAAGGCCAAGGTACGGATAAATCGATCCTGGGCTTGAGTTGTCGCCCTTGGTCGACCTGAGCGTGGTCTGTCCTGTACAGATTGTGTATCACGGTATCTGGACCATAGCCTGCTTATGACAGACTGAGAAACATTCATCGTCCGCGCCACAACCGCCTGTGTTGTGCCTATCTGTAGCATGCCAAGGGCACGTAACCTTTCATTTTGGGTAAGCCGACGCATATCAAAATTTGTTTTCTGGTCACTAAAACAATTAAACTGATGTTTCCACCCTGGAATTCAATGCCACAATGACTGTAACATTCAAAGTCAGAGTCGTGCAAATCTTGGGTTGGACCCCCATGATGATCCCAAGCATCACCTGCATTCCATGCGGTAGCTATTGGTGCGTTTGGGCGTCACATGTAACTGGAAATGTTTCTTCTGTTAGGTTCTATAGTGACTTTTTTCGTAGTCATTTGCATATTTTAGTATTATGCCCCCAAAATCAAATATCCCCTACTTTTTTTGAATAGTATAGTTGGACGGTTACAGTGATGCAATTAGTAAATTTTCAATCACGTGTTAAACATGATATTCTGGTTCCCAATATTATGGGTCCCACGGAACCAGCTATGTTTAGGTTGTATAACTCTTTTTATGTGTAAATCCCTCTCATTATTTGAGTGCACGAGATCTGACTTCTATAGAATGTGTGAACCAAATAATTAATTAAAGATATAAAGATCATTCATTTAAAGAGCAAACATTCTATCAATCTTACTACAAGGGGTTGTCGCGCATTGCTGTGCAGGCCATTGCCGATCTGTAGTGGAACCCGTTTTCTTGAAACGATCGGCCAGTCTAGGGATGATAGTGCAATGGCATCCAAACTTGCTGTATACGGCTCTGGTACAGAATCCCCTTTGAAGAAACGCAGTTCTTGCAGTTCAGATGTCATCATTGGCATATTGTTGCGTCTTCCACAGAACTGTAGGCGTGGTACTGATCCGATATTTTTAAAGGCAACATTTTATTCTGTCGACTTGATTTTTTGTGGTGTGTTAACGTGATCGTGTTATGGTCATTTCCTATGGAAGCGTATATATGCACCGTGCTTTGGTCTGATGTGGGCTTAAGTAACTGAAGCTTTTCACCGAGTCCATTGCAGAAGTAGTGATTTATATATATTCAAAAGTCCGACTTTTCCTAACAATTTGGCTGTGATAGTTTGTGGGCAGTGGAGGGTCTGAAAGATATAGGGTGGGTTTTTTTTTTTGCGGTCCTGGCATACTTTACAAAATACACTTTCGGAAGCTGAATCATTTATCCTTCCATCGATGCGTCTCCGACCATTCTACGACTTATTGAACCAAATTTGTGTACAAAACAATAACCCTACCATGTGTCGATATTTCTACATGTTTCGAGGCATGCGACATCGTATTCGTACTGGTTTAGACCCAACTTCAAAATCACAAAACGTAGAAATTTCTGGGATATGTCGTTGGAAAGGTATATTGTCACAATTCTATGAAATACAATTACTGAGTGACGTTTAGAAAGGTAAACTATTAAGCCGTTAACCGATAAGTTAACGTGTTTCAGAAAGAGAATCCGTGTGAAAATTCCCCAGAATAATCGAAGGTTAAGAAACAAACATTAGGATTATAATATAACCATGGTGTGGTAAGACAATGGTAATAATGGTAGCCTTGATACCTTTTATTTTCCAGATTGTTAAATATGGAGTTAAAGGTCATTATAACGCACATCATGATTCGTCCCGTGTTGATGATAGTATACCCTGTTGTGAAAGATTTGATACACGACAATGTAGGGTCTGCAGGTAGGCATGATAATAATAATTACTTTATTGTTTCAAAATATATAAGCCTGAGGATGAGACTAACAAGAAAACTCAGTCATCAACATCCCGCTCCCTTGCATACCAAATTTTGCTTCCATTGAAACACAAAAATTATTACATCCGAGAAATTTCTAACTAGCAATGGAAAATATCAATATAATTTATTCAGTAGAAAATTTATTTATATTTCGTTTTTTTCCAGGTATATGACAATATTATTTTATTTAAATGACGTAGAAGAGGGGGGAGCAACCGCTTTTGTTTTATCAGAAAACGATACTTTCGCAACAAATGTAAGTCAAATATTTAAAAATTAGATTGTATTTTATGGTGTGATTACAAAGAAACAGAGTAATAGGGAACACAATCACTCGTTTTGTATAAGCGATTGTGTTTCTCAATTACAAAATGCCACTTCAAAATTATATAGAGAAAAACTTGCCTGGATTGTTTGAATGGACAATACTGATAAGCTTAACAATTCCAAGTTTGAAACCATGCGAATACTTTCTATAGTACATAAGTTTTGATGACTTTGTTCTTAACCCAGAATATTATTGTTTCAAAATTAACCAGCGGCTGCCAGGCAAGATAGGCCCACATTTTGCAAAAGATGGCTAGAGAACAAGCTAAATAAAAAGCGATTTTTTTGTACAATCAAGAATTTATGATCCGATATGTACGAATATCGACAGTAACCAAGACCTTTGGAATGTAAAGATATACTTCAAGTTTCATCAAAATCAAATCAAAATTGTGACTTCTAGAGTGTCCTCAACCTTGATATACCATATATTTACACTATTTGCCTACGAGGGGGGGGGGGGGCATTTGTCCGGCAGTTTTGGCCCCATTTTTACGAAATTTGAACTCAACTATCTTTAGGGTGTAACGATGATATATTCAAACATTTTTTTAAATCGGATAAAAATTGTTCCCTTTACAGGAACCACAAGCTAAAAACGCGATTTTTCGTACAATCAAGGGCCATAATTCTGAAAGTTATGATCCGATATGCGCGATTATCCATAGGAACCAAGATCTTTGTGATATAAACATACATTTAAAGTTTCATCAAAATCAGATCAAAATTGTGTCCTCTAGAGGGTCCACAAACTTGATATACCATATATTTACACTATATGCGTACAAAGGGCGGCCATTTTGTCCGGCAGTTTTGGTACGATTTTCACGAAATTCGATCTCAAGTGTAATTACAGTGCAACGGTGATATATTGAAACGTTTTTTTTAAATCGGATAAAAATTGTGACCTCAAGGGGGATCACAAGCTAAAAACGCGATTTTTCGTACAATCAAGGGCCATAATTCAGAAAGTTATGATCCGATATGCGCAATTATCCATAGGAACCAAGATCTTTGGGATATAAACATAAATTTAAAGTTTCATCAAAATCAGGTGTAAATTGTGACCTCTAGAGTGTTCACAATCTAAAAACGTGATTTTTCGTACAATCAGAGGCCATAACCCATAAGTTATAGTCCGATAGATGCCAATATCGAAAGGAACCGAGATCCTTGGAAGATAGACCTATATTTCAAAATCGGATAAAAATTGTGACCTGTAGAGTGTCAACAAACAAATTGTGGACGGGCATATAGACAGACGGGTAGACAGGGCGACGACAGTATACGTCCACATGAAAATGTGGGCGTATATAAACCATAGATTTAATGTCTTAATCCTTTAGAGGCATTTACTAACTTGATAGAGCAATAAACTATAACACATACTTATGGAAGAACAATTATTTAATTTATCTTTTCCCCTTTTTTTGTTCCAGCAAGTTGAATTTTCAGAACAAGTCAATTTATACAGAAAATGTTCGGACGCCAAAATACGCGTTAAACCGTCAAAAGGAAAGGCCATAATGTGGTATAATCATTTTATAGATCATAAAACAAAATGGATGGGACCGATGGACTTGCAAACATTACACGGTGGTTGCCCGGTGATAAAAGGTGAAAAATGGATTGCAAATTTTTGGTTGAGACCGACTGACGATCGGAAACATGACATCGAAAGAATAAAAATAATGCGGTATAAGATGCCCAGGAAACCAAAAACAGAGTTATAATTTGTTGTTATGCAGATTTCGTTGGTTTTCACTTTAAGATCTCAAATTTTATATTTTATGGTGTTCGTGGTGTGTGATCAGTTACAGCATCCAATTCATATTTATACCATGGGATCAGCTACAGTATCCAGTACATGTTTATGAATTAATACCGTGGGATGAGCTACAGTGTGTGAAATAGCTTTATTTAAAGGGCAATTTAGCAGTTAACTATCACAACAAATGAAACCGAAGAACCCATGAAGCAATTAATATATGTAGACATGAACCAAAACTAAACAGGGACCCAGGAATTTACATTCAAAGAGCGTATGATTGCATCATTAAAATGTAGTTTACATGGTCTCAAAACAATTCATAAAGTATTACCCTTTAATTTTTTTTATTGTTTTTAATTTTGTATATTTCCTTAAATTATTTACAAATTTACTTTTACTGCATCTTGTTTTTACTGTCAGGATTAACTGCTTATGGCTTCAGTTCACCTCTATAATACCTGCCCTTTCATCTTTTATTATTACTTTCATCTATAACCAATTACTGTAATTGCTCGTGGCTTATTATACCTCATAAATAATTGTTTGATCTTTTATTCCTGTACTTATCTATACCTATTACAGTTTTAACCATCTATGTACATTTGTTTATTTAACGGCTTGGGACAGTTGCTCAAGCTTGCTGATTTTGCACCCCATTGGAGGGTACACACTGCTCTTGTATATATATAACCATATTATTTTCATTTTATTTATCCTTAGGTGGAAGTGGACGTAAAACCCCAGAAACGAACGAATTTTATTTATTTTGTTTAAGGAACTTTTGATATCCGAGGACTTTTTTATTTTGTGTTTTTAACAATTTTCAAGTGTAAATAATTTAATTAAATCAACCTGTTTTTAACAATTTTCTAGTGTAAATAATTTAATTAAATCAACCTGTCCATAATATCATATTCATTGTATTGGACGTTAAATCTGTAATAAACAACAACAACATTTTATTTATTTGTGTTATATGCTTGATAAGGACTTGTTTAATCTTGTTGAAACAAATAAACCATAGTAATTTTTATCCATAAATAGTGTGTTATTTGATTATGTTCTAATTACTAAATGCCATTTAAAGAATGATATATATTCAATCCTACAATTACACAGAGACAATGAGTATAACAATCCATGTTACTGATGTAGGATATATTGGATCACCAATTCATCATTGATATTTTAAACAATCATTCTTGTTATTACATTATTACACTTTAAAATGTCTATTAGCATGAGGCAATTAAAGTGGAATTTATTTATATTAAAGATCCCTCGGCAGTTTGAATTTACAGAACCCTACTGTGACAATGTGACTGCAGGCTAGATTTTCAAACTGAACATTACACAAATAGTCTCACAGAATATGAACCATTACTGTATTTGAAGTCTCTGAATGATAAAAGACTATACTTTTTGAGTTACAATGCCTCTATAAATAAAAACTATTTTGTGTCTGGGTCATCTTATGCCATTTTTGTCACCTATCTATTATTCTACAAAATATATTTTTCAATAAAAATAAAAACTATTTAAGATACAAAATGGAATTTATTCATAATATACAGTTGATATATCATAGAAATAGGGCTGTGAATGCTGTGTTGATTGGTGATTTATATGTTTAACAAACCGTAGGGTGTTCTTATCACGATAAACTAACGCTAAGCAATTATTCTCTGGTGATACACTTAGTAGCTGAAACATAAAAAATATAAAAATTGCATTATGATATCCTTAAAACAATAAAGTATTGGCTTGCAGTTTGTTATAAGTTCCTACAGATGACAACTAAATATGAGGATTTAATTTTTATTACAACAGATGTTATCAACTACAAAAAAAACAACGCATACCCCCTTCTGGTAAGTTGCATCTAAATTTTACTCTCTTTTTTTCTAGAAACAATTGAGAAGCAACATATGTTAAATCTTTCTTCATTTCCTGAAATAGCTTGAAGGCAGAGCTATTTAGTGGTGGGATGATGTGTGATAGGTGACCCTACACTTTATTCCACATCCCACTGTGTACAGATGACCTGTAATTGGCAGCCCAAATCTTTAAACTTTTTAACCACCCAACCTTAGTGTATTTTAATACAGACATTAGAACTGAAGTTAGACTGACCTCATCATCTTCATCCTTAGCTATATAAGATGTAAATCCTCCATATTCTGTCTTCCAATCTGATATAAAAGTAAGTTTTATGCCGGTAAATAAAAATAGAGATATATTCATATCTTCCACAATTATATTGTACATCAAATAAATCAATATTAACAACTCAGTTCCATATACAGTGCAAACACACATATTTTGTCAATCCGTCAATAATCACAACAAATTGCAGGATTAGGGAAAATTACAAACATATGCCCACCATTGGCTTTATCTTTCAGAAATAAATAACAAATTTCACAATATTACTGGGGTTTTTTTGTTTTTTTAAAAGTTGCTTTCCCAGAAAAGTATTTATCGGGTGGTGATTTCCAATAAAATTATGGCAATTTTGGTATATATGGAAAGTATAAACATCCAATCTTACTAGAAAAATACTGGATTTCCCGAACATCACCCATGGAGCTTATACAGGACAAAAATGTAAGGGTTTCCCTAATTGGCAACCATGTATATGGTATAAAACTAACACCTGTGTTTACAGCTCAACCATATTAGATTGGTTGTTTTTTTAGGCACATCATGTTTTTAATGTGTATCAGTTACTGTACTGTTCAACTTTACATTTACAAGTGCATAAACTCTTCAACCATTTTGACTTTGAATTTTATAGACAGTAGTATTAGTAACCATATTATTCACCTGAACATCCAATATATAGAACAGCATCTAATGCAAATTCTGCATTTGATTCATGTGATGTGTCATGTGCTAAAGTATAGCAGCCATGTTGCCATTTTCTTACTTCAGAACTACAGCAGGAACTTACTCCAGCTGAAATACAAATAATAATACCGGTATTTAATATATTTTTTTTTATTTAATTAAAAACTCTATATTGATGATTGACTGAGAGATTAAACTTTGATGGAAAACCATTTTAAACCACATGAAGAGCCCAGGGGAAGAACGATCTAAGTCACATTTTTGTCTTTTAGCATAAAATGCAAAACAAACTTTTGGACGAGAATGCATGACGCGAACAGAACATTGAGAGGATTTAATAACAATTTCAAAATGATGTTTAATACAACCCATAATTACCATTTCAGAAGGGCACTGGTTTGATGTTATTCAGATCGATTTTTTCTGAAATCGATTGTTCCACGGAAAGCTTATACAATTTGCTACCAGATGGTGCCATTAACTGGGGTTCATCGAAAAAGTGACTAAGATCATTCTTCCCCAGGGCTGTTCCAATACTACAAATACATTATTTAAAAAAAACCTACAGTTCATCGGTTGTTGTGGATTACTTCAATTCTAATTACCGTGGTAGTTTCAAAATATAACGATATCAATACAAATTTTGATTTTTGGCACTCTACCTGTTTCTTTAGATCTAGCTGAATGATTTGTTGATTCATTATTCTCTTGAGAACCATTTTGTTGCTGGGAACTTTGGGCCACATTTTTCTCTTCCTCGCTGTCTTCACTATCTGATTCAGGTGCAAGTTCATGTAGTTTAAGACCAGTCATATTAGATAAAACCAAAAACATGGCCTCTGATTGAAGAAAATGCACACATTCTTCAACTATTTTCGGTTGATTTTCTTTATTGCATAAATAATATTTTCTGCAAAAAAACAAAATAAAACATAAAGGAGAAAAATTCCATAACCCAAACCAGAAACAAATTTAATAGTCATCTGTGACTTTTTAAATGCTATTCTTTGGTATAATATGCCCGTACAGTATGAGACCCTCCACAATATATAATGCATGGCAGGAAAGAAACAAGAGGCTGCAAGTCTGTGTGAACATTTATGGACATTTCAAACTACTACTCTTTTGATTTGGAATTAACTTACTAAATAATAAAACTATCATGTATGTGTCTCAAAAACAAGGGTTTAATTCACATAAAAATTCAATATCCTACCTTTTATTTGCTGGTCCAACAGGTGACCAAGGGATGTTACTCTCTTGTAAAGCACTCAATAATAAATTGAACTTTTCTTTCTATAACAGAAACAACATAAAACACATAATTATGCGCAAGCATCTATAGAATCTAACATTTGTTCCAATAAATACAATTACCAAATATACATGACTTTGATAATACTTGAGCTCAACTTTTTTCATGCTCAATAAACAGTCATCAAGATCTGGATCAAAGTCTATGTTCATAACAAGCTCTGTGCTCAGTAGAAGTGAAAGTAAAGTTACATTTGCTACTGAGGTTCAGTAAAGTCTTGTATCGTTATAAACCAGACCATGCTCTTTTCTGCCTCTGGAAGAGAAACGTCACAAAGCAAAGTCTCTGCTGAATGCACTGATAGAATTAAAAGAGACAGTTTCGCTAACATTGATAAATTGCACCTTAAAAGTAAAATTCAGCATCTGTATTTATATTTGTGCATATACATGTACCAGGGTAATAGACAATCTGTTCATGATATCATCACTCTAAAAAATATATAACAGGCACATTTGGTTCTTTCTGGCTACACGATTGCATTATCTACCCAAATTACATGTATCTGAGTCAACATTTGTGGGCAACATGTTTTGGTCACATACTTGGACAAATTTTGACATATTCCACCCACACAAGAATACAGTCATTCAAATGCTGACTTGTCATCTATAACCCCAAACCAGATTTATACAAGAGATGAAACAAAGATCAAAGTCTTTAAACACCAAACAAAGGTCTACGACATCAAAGGAGAATGATGTCACTGAACACCAATGTACATAAAATATAAATAATATGGATCAATTGCTACATATTTGTATTAAGTAAAACACACATTTTATTTTTACCTGTATAAAATCACTAAGTTGAATTTCTGACTCAGATTCAAACTTCTCGCTAATATCACCTTGTGTCTCTGGATGTAGATAGATAGGGTTGATCCAATTATAAAAATTGTCTTCCTTAAAAAGGGATCATGTTTAATAAATTATTGACCAAGATCATTTTGAAATGGAAAATGTAAACAATATGCAACTGCAAAAATTTCTCCTAAAAACAATTCACTCCCAAGCTACTTAACCTAACGAGAGTGATTGTAATTTTCAGAAAATAACAAATTTCCCATGACTTAATCCATAATTGATTATTTAACATTTAATTAAACATGCATTATGCAATAGCTAAATCTGCCTATTGGAGGTCTTTCTTCAGGCCTGAAATGTTATCTAAATTATTAATTAGACATTAATTAACTTATCCAGACGATAATCAACTCTAAATGCCATCGTTAGCCTGCGATATTTAGTATATCTGAATACATTTTGTGAAGGATAATTTAACGTAAAAATGGATAATTGAGACTTTATTTATTATCGTACCAATGTTAGTAATGACAATCGAGGCCAGCCTAAAATTGAATCGCTAATATCTTGGTTCAGAGTGAAGCAATTAGACTGAACTTTTCAGCATATTCTGTTGTCATTACCATTTTTAACTATTATAGCGAGAACTGTCATCTCTTTATCCAATCTTACCTAATGTTCCTTTAAGAAAACAAAATCAAAATACCAATGCTAGATAATCTCTCGGCTTGGTACCTTGATGGCGCCACCTTGTTACCCCTAAGAAGCATGGATCAATGGAAGTTCAATTCGTCATATTGTAAATACTGAATGGAATTGAGCCAGTTTTTGACTGATAGTACTATTAGACATTCAACTTGCACAATATTGTAGTTTGCAAGGGATTCTATAGCACTAAACCACACCCAGAGTCTTTAACCCATACACAAACCACAAACTGTTGGCAACAACTTTTGTAAATAGACCATGGAACTTAATTATGTACATTGTACAGAAAAATCTACTGAAGGTAAGAAAGTAATGATTCTGGGAACATTGAACAATTTTATTGCTGTTGTGTTTTAGAGAGAACTTACCAGGGCCTGAATCTGTGGCATGCCAGTTTAACTGTATCAAATTAATTGTGGATGTGTATATTGTATGACATTCCATAGTCTTATGTGTTACCATATGAATTTTCAATTAACAATTAAGTACACTAAAAATAAAGTTATTAGCTAACCCCAACTGTAATATAAGGAGTCAGAAGTGGAGATGGTTCTTCATTAGGTTTTTGTCTTGGTAAAGATGGGCCATGAAACCATCCACTTACAGCTAATCTTATACTTTCTTTTGACAATACTTCAGCAACCTGAAATGACAGTTTCAATAAATGCGATTCATAAACCAAATGTGGCAAGATTAAGGATATCAAAATGTGAAATAGATTAATAACAAGTGATAAATGTGAACTCACATATCACTTGGAAATGACGACAAACTAGAATCACTGCATTTGTTTTGAATGCAGACAGTAGTTACAGGTCTCAATTATTTTAACTTTAAGGGAAAAAAACATAGATGGTAGCTAATTAATAGAACATTAAATCAACAAATCTACTAAAAATTATGTATGTTTACCTGATGAAAAGATCTTTCCGTCACTTCAAAGAATAAGAAATTATTTCTCTTGGGTACAACAGATTTTACTATATCTTTAGGTTGAATGTGATCTATAATAACACGAATATATACAATAGTATAATATAAATCACTATCAGTGTTGCTATTTCAATATTTCAAAAATTTTCTTGTCAGACATTTTTACTGAAAATAAAGGGGCATAACTCTTATTGTTATTTAAGTAGGCAGTTTCAGACCACAATTAAAAATCATGTGTGAGCAAAACATTCAAATTCATACATAATAAAAAAAAATTAGGTGCACCTCGCTATTTTTCATATTTAATTTCCGTACAGTATTTAAATTTATGTCAGTAATATTCCTAAAAATTATGTGTTGTCGTAATATTACAGAATGAAAGCCAACCCATACTTTTTTCAAGACCACAATTAAAAATCATGCGTCAACAAAATATTCAAATTTGTATGTAATAAAAAAAATTAAGTGCACTTCGTTATTTTTCATATTTAATTCCCGTACGGTATTCAAATTTATGTCAGTAATATTCCTATAAAAAAAATAGGTGCACCTCACTATTTTTCATATTTAATTCCCGTATGGTATTCAAATTTATGTCAGTAATATTCCTACAAAATTACGTGTTGTCATAATAGGATAGAATGAAAGCGTGCCGACTACTATCGACCCATACTTTTTTCAAAATCACGCCAGTAATATCCAATCAACAAAGCTACAATTTTCACCAAGAATGGTACCAATGAAACAATCCAATTTGTCTTAGTCTTTTAGAATTATTACCCTTCAATAACATAGAATAAATGACAGTACATGAAGATAGCACAGTCAATTCAAAATATGAGATTTTATTGTTCTGAGCTATCAGCTAGGTGAACCAATCACAAAACCAAATATCTGTGTAAAATGAGATGTCAGCTACCTGAACCAATCACAAAAAAAAAACAGAGTAAATTGAGATGTCAGCTATTATGAGCACAGTGGCATGTAGTACTAGGCATTTTAAACAATACAGTATAATAAATGTCAAATTCTGACTTACCGTCAGAAGTAAAAAGATCTAATGTTCCACCATCTTCTTCATTCCAAGAGGGTGGAACTAAATAATATATATAAGCTATTCTTCTCTTCTCTAATTCATCATCATGGCATAATAAAATATCTACAATTAAAACATTCAACTCTTTGGATCACACAATTATTAAAGGACCTAAATTGCTATTCTCTGGCATCTAGAAATGGGCACAAATGGGTCGCAATGCATATAATAATGTATATAAACTGATTTACATTCAGTCATTTCTGTTTTTACTGTAATTTCTAATCAGTTAAGTTCAGCGAAATACGTGAAGAGTCCAAATTGAATTGCAGTCTTTGGCGTCTTGTTATTACAGTCTACAGTACTCTACACCGGTGGTATTCTCTTGTGGGGTATGTTTAGTCTCGTTCATCGAGTCGCTTCATTACAAATGGTGCTCAAAAGCATTCTGGCACGCGATTGAATGTAAATCAGTTTATATACATTATTATACACTTTACAACCCATTTGCATCCATTCTAAGTGCCAAAGAATACAACGAAACTAGTCACTGACATCCGGTATAACCAGGTCTTCACACCCACTCTTATCTCTCATATTATCTCACTCTCTGCTTATGATCTCGTTATGGCTAAATGTGTTGGTCGCGATTCCCTTTTTGCCTCAGAATCAACCACTACTTTGCCGGATGATATTCTCTCAGTTAAAAAAAACTTTATTATCTCAGCCACGAGAGATATCGTAGAATCAAATCGGTTGAAAATAAGTCACTCATTCAACAAAGACATATAACCGAAGGATGACAGGCTTAGCTATACAATTAATACATTGGACAACCTCACCTGAGTCCACAAAAGAGAGAAACATACTAGTCGCCTCTCACTTCCAATTCAGTGAGCTATGTGAAAATTTTGCCTGGACAACAGCCCTCAATTTCCAACTGTCAAGAGTTCTTTTTCGTGCAAATCAATGTGTACACTGGACCTATGTTTTTCATGCCATCCTTATAACTATACAGCTGTCCATGTCAGGGCTCCTTCCAGAACCACTGACAATGAGGAAACCATGCTGGAAAAAACTTGAGGAACATTCTTGGTCAACACTAGGAGCGATCCAGAAACCTCCAGACTAGCCAGCGAGTGTCGTACTCACTGAGCACCAACGGCTCAATAATAAATATACAAAAGACTAACCTGTATATTCATATTTTGAACAAAAACTATCAACAACATCTGTTAAAGATATACCACTAATATTTGACAACCATTCTTTAACATCATTCTGTAAAAATTCACTATAAAGAAAGGAAATTTATTGATTCAACCATATATCATGCCAGCACTAATTAAGATTAGCAGATTTCAAATCTATTTATCTATCTATTCTATTAGTGGTTGAGCTTAGGAGTCTGCAATTGTGCCGCTGAAAATGGACCTTGAATATTATAGTAAATGGATGCAAGCCGTTTTTTACTTGACTTGTGCCTCATAGTGGATCAAATGTCTTAGAAATGTACTTTAAGTGATTAATATGAAACCTTACCAAAATTCTGTTATACATTGAGATTTCACATGCTTTAAATCTTTGCTCTGTAACAATACATAAACAACAAGAATGATTATCGAGAATCATGTATCAATGTCAAGCTAACTAACAGTCAAAATACAATCATCTGATATACTGTATTCAACTTGAATTTCAAATTAACTACCTAGATCCAATTAGTATGCGCTTATTTTCTTATTTTTGAAAATACCACAAACATCATTTCAGGTCTTCACACAAAAGTTAACCTGCAAACCACAGTGAAGTAGAGTATGGTATATCATATCTTAAAATTGAGCAACAGCCAGAGTAGACCCCCATAGCAGAAAGTGGATTTGGATGTACCAGAAAGGGTAACCATACCGTACCTTAAGCATGACTGCCTAGACTGGTTTCAGCAAAAATTCTGATATGAAATGACCAAGTCCTGGCATATTGGATAGGCTGAGAAACTGCAATTAAGAACTCACTGGAGTAAATACTCCCCCCCCCACCAAAAAAAAAAATAAATAAAAAAGAACAGGAAAAAAATCCCATTAGTTTATGCTTACCTGATGGAATTTATACAAGTCATTATTTTTTTCTCTGAATTTCAATTGACTCAGTTCTTTTTCCAGACTTTCTACAAAATCTTCATCTGTTATAAAATTTGGTAATATTGCATGAAAGAATGGATCAACATGCAATTCTTTATATTGCTCTGAAATAAAGAGAACAAAATATCAACTAGAATTGTGATACGGTAATGACGGGTTTCACCAGTGCCACATTACCAGTTATAGGACAGTGCCTGACACCATCGAACCGTTAAGCAGATTTCCAAACGAGTATTGCACAGATGTCATAAAATGGACGCAGAATTAGTCACTAAATCCAACAGTTCCATAAATACATTTGTTACATATGTAATAATATAAAATGCAGAAAACGAACACTCAACACATTGACATCACTTCCGTTATCAACAAATATTTAAATCGAATTAAAGAAATAATCTCTTTAACTGTCCTTTGGATTACAGGAAGATAGGTTGCCAGGCAACAAAACATACGTCCACAGCAGCTAAATCGTCCGAGCAGGTCGACAAGGGTTGTCGCATATTTATTCCTTTGTAGGTAATTGGGGGCCTTTAAAAGACAGTTCCATACAGATCAGATTATAATTTTTTCCGTTTGAGGGTTCAAAAGGTTCTACAAATTGAAACAAGGGTCTCAACTCTGGAAGTAATCTACAGAAATTGTTGAAATTTGACAGGGTTTTCGTTTCACAAATTTAAATGATGCATATAAATTTCATACATATCGGTTGATAACTTTCATCCATCGAGCATTAACAAGGTTGAACAAAGTGAAACAAGGGCAATAACTCTAGAAGTAATAAACGGAAATTGCTGAAATTCAATAGGATTCTTCTCTTTACTAATTTAAATAATGCATATACATTTCAGAAAGATAGGATGATAACTTTTGGGGTTAGAGCGTTCACAAGGTTAAAAAAAGTGAAACAAGGGACATAACTCTAGAAGTAATAAACGGAAATTGCTGAAATTCAATAGGCTTCTTCGTTTCCCAATTTAAATATTGCATATAAATTTCACAAAGATCGGATGTTAACTTTTGGCATTAGAGCGCTCACAAGGTTCAACAAAGTGAAACAAGGGCCATAACTCTAGACATTATAAACAGAAATTATTGAAATTCAATAGGCTTCTTCATCTCACTAATGTAAACAACATATATCAATTTTAAAACAATTGGATGATAACTTTTGGCGCTAGAGCGTTCACAAGAAATTGTGGAAGATAGACGGACGGACGGATGGACGGACGGGGGCGACAGCAATATACTTCCACATTTCTATGTGGGCATATAAAAATTGATTAAAAATTGAACAGAATTAACCCTTTATCAAGCATTACTAAAAAAACCAAAGAATCTTAAAAAGTGATCCTGACAAAATTGGTTATTTCTCGGCATGGAAACATATTAGAAACACTTTTCTGATACTACGGCCAACTTTCGGTTTTCGACCACTTCCGTTCTAGGTAGAACTTTCGAAATTGCTTTAATGGTTGCATATATCTATCGCAAGATTGTAAATGATAGTCAATATCTAAAGCAGACTCTGAGAAATATGGGGTACCGGTAAAAAAGAATAGTAATAATCTTAGTAATAACATTATCCTTTCAGACTAATAAGAATAGTAATTTAACAAAAACAATCGTGTTTCACACAAGCTACACTATGTGAAACCCTAATAACATCAACAAATCATCAGTAAAACTAAAAATACAGTCATGTTACATTTCCATTGTGGTGATTACCCCGAGACCTTTAAGCACCACATGATCTAACAAAATGATGTTTCATAACAGCATTGGAGCAGTCTGTTTAAAAATGAAGACATCAATAAAGACCGGTATTTGGAATTTCCCAACTCTATGACCAAATATTACTAAGAAATCTGACCCAGTCAGTCAATGCGTATTAGTATTAGTCCAAGGAAGAGCGTTTTAATTGGTCCTCCATAACATGAATCGTCCTGTAATAGTTTATGTTTTTGAATCAGAGAATTCTACTTGAAAATAGTGTTGGCTTTTCTCTCTTTGAATAATCTGTATTATGGCTCCAGTAAACCCTTGATTGGATACGTAATTTTTATTACTATAAATTTGTGTCAGATATGTCGAGAAATGATTCCTTTTTTGGCGACCAACAAAAATAGAAAGTAAAGGCTCCAGAGAGGTATTTTCAAAAGGACAGACCTGAACAGTCAGAAGACTTTGTCCGTCCAGAGACGACACCAATATTATTATTATTACACATTTCTATAACGCACAACTGCCACATACATGTGCTCATGTGTGCTTTACATAGTATTCAAGAAGCTCAGAAAGATATTGCTGTGCCAATGTATTTAGGCATTTGAACACAAGTGACAATATTTTGTATTCTATTCTGTATGAGAGAGAGAGAGAGAAATGGGGTTTAACGTCCACTCGGCACAAACTAGGTCATTTCGGGACTAACACATGGTTCAATTTTATTTCAATAATTTGCTTGCGCGTAGGGGTCTTTAGCAGTGGGAGGAAACCGGAGGACCCGGAGAAAACCCACGAGGTTGGACAGGCGACCCTACTCCTTGTCACAGACAGACCGTATGATACAGCGCAGCGCGCACGTGCTAACCATTCGGCCATCAACCCCCCCCATTCTGTATGCTATTGGTAGCCAGTGTAAAGAGTATAAGACAGGGATCAAATGTAATGAGCATTTTGTTTGAAACATTAATCATTTCGCCAAGTTTTAGACATTCTGAAGTTCATCTATGAGTTAAAGTGGAAGGCCTGTGAGTAGGGAGTTCCAATTATCGAGCCTTGAAGTTATAAATGAACTGACTAAGTAATGGTCTAGTTGCATCTGGATAGATGAACTTTCTGATGTTGCCAATATTGTGTTTATGATAATAACAACTTTTACAAAGCTTACATTGACCTGAGCTTCCATATTCATATTATATATAATCAAATATACTGCGCCAATATTGGTAATATTATGTGCTCATTTGGTAGGTTCCTATTGAAATTGAATTGTTGTCATTAACTTTGGATAACTAAGTTTTCAAATCAATAAAAGGATATTCAATTTTTCCAATATTAAATTTTAGAAAATTTTGTGACATCCAATGATCCATCCAGCATCTGATACCAGCAATACAAATTCAAGATTAGATTTAGGAACTTCCATCATCATTGCCATTATGATTCATATTCCTTCCTGAATTTCCAGATTCATGATCAATAATTTAATCAATAAATGTCGACATAGATCATACCGCATGGTAACTATGATGCCGATGGCAATAATCATAACAAATTAAATTTAGAAATTATAAATATATTCATTCAATTTCATTGCAGGCGACCGCATAATAAACGTTAGAATAATATGTCGATTATTTACCACACTCAGCTTGTATTTTACTAGCATAACATTTTTGGGCAGCTACAACAAAAGATTGATCTGAATAAGTTTTTTGTATTTTTAGCTTGATCCCCCCTTTCTTTTTCTTGATAACAGGCTCATCTGACATTTTGTCAACAAACTTTTAACCACGTGCTCTTTGTTGACGGAAGTGAATACCTGAAGATTGGTTGTCGTAAAATGTTGGAATGGTTTCAAAGTAAATGTCATTTAAAGAAACAAACATAAAAAAACATATTTGATATATTATTAGACCAAAGATTAGGAGATATCAGAGGCTTTGTACTCATCTTATTCGAGAAAACAGCGAACACTAATAATTTACGACATTCAATTTGCTACGACTTTAAAACGATAATTCGCATGGCCGGCGAATTACAATTTATTTTTTAAAATCCTTGTTTCATTCGAGTTTTTTGGAACTTCGTAAATATGGTAGGTAGCTTCAAATCGATTCTTATGTTATCTTTTTTGAAATAATAGCTCCAAGATGATGTTAACAGCACCACACTTTCATCAACAATTGAACTGAAACTTTACTCACTGAAGAAAAATAAAGGCAGTGGATATTTTACTGTAGTGTGAAGGAGTTCTTTGCACATTCACAAAAAAACATACGCTTCCTATTACAAAAAATACCCTTTTATACCTGTTGTTCTGCCTACCATTAAGGGTTATAGACATAACAGCCCTACGACCAAGATAATTGGTCATAACGGCCAAAATAATTGGTCATACGACATAACGGCCAAAAAATTTGGTCATGACTCATACTACTCATCATACCACCTAACTTTACGGCCAAAGAAATTGGTCGTAACGGCTAAAAAAACCTCAACATTTATTACATGTACGAAATGATATTTATTAACATAAATATTGCATAATATAATTATAAATACATACATTAGGCTACATAAACATTAAAGTAGCTACTGTGTGAACCATCGTAAATTTTAAACGGATTTCTTCGATTATGAACAAACTACTTAACTTTGGTTATTATAAACTTACCTGTGTGTTTGTAATGAACTCCCGTTCGATAAAATCCATTGACAACTAATTATCACAACGATGAGAACAAGTTGTCTCTTGAAAAATTTGAAAATTTACTTGTCGATGTCAACAATGTCTTTGTGACGTATTGGTCGAATCCAATATACCTGTTGCGGGGGTTGGTTAACATTGAAAGATAGTTTGACAGCGCGATCATTTTGATCGTATATGGGTTTGGGCGACGTAAAATATCAATTGAAGGCAATTACATAGGAGATTTATATGGAAACCATTGATCGCCAGTCAATCAAATTTTCTTCACAATTAAAATATCACTGATTGCACGGATACTCGTAAAAATAAAGTCATGTATAAACTATAAATATCCTATCTTCTTTATGTTATAAATAATTTAACAAGGATCATGAAGCTTACCTCCGAATTCTCTGAGTGTATTTTTAATTTTATACGCATTCTTTCGATCGAATAATAACCGCTTCAGTAACATCTTTAAGCGTGTTGCGGCAGCCCTCAGCGTGTCTATTGGGTGCCCGGGTGGGTATATAATGCTACTAAGCCCGTATGACCCCGTAAGAAGCGGAACATTAATTCTCGATTCGACAGTTTTGACCGAAGTGTGGTAAAGCCCGTAAAACGAATGTATAGTTGTGTTTGTGCGGCATGCGTGGTCAAAAGTAAATAATCCCACCCGAGTCGCTAATCAAATAATTAGAACAAAATATTTCAAAAAGTAAAGCTATAAAATTTGCAGAGATTTTACTAGAATGTAAAAGACGGTAACTAAATACAGGAATGCAGGTAGTTATGTGTGCGAACGCTCAAACTCAATGCCAATTGTCGTAGGTATCCAGACCACTCGGACCAAAGACTACTCGGACTAAGACCAGTCGGACCAAAACAAGACCAGTCGGACCAATTAAATTATATTATATGGCTAGACAATATGCTATTTATTTATTATCAAATCACAGTACAAAGAAGCAAATAATTCTTATACGGAATTCTTATATTTAGAGTTGTTTAGTTCAATTTTGTGTACGGAAAATAAATCAACGATTAGTTTTATAATTAATTAATAATGGTGCCAAAAAAAAATATCAATCTAATTTTTCTTTACTCTTGCAATGAGACTCGGTATGTCCAGACTTTTGACAGTTTCTACATATACAGGTATACTGTTCTTGTCTGATAGCCTAATTTTATTTTTTCCACATTTGCGGTATCCCCAGTGGTTTCATTCCGTTCTACCCCACTAACCCCTGGGTTACTATATATGGGGGTGGGGGAGACACGTTTTCAAGTTATCCGCCCTTGATGCGTTAATATAAACAGCACATAATAATACGAAGACCGGACGTTTATATGCCCCTTTTTAAACGTGACTACAAGTGTGGTTCTCGATATTTTGCGATTTGGAATACAATTATCAATTTATTCAAACAACACTTTATTATTGGTCCGAGTAGTCATATTAAAATAAACACAATTATCAATTTATTAAAATAACACTTTATTATTGGTTCGAGTAATCATATTAAAACAAACGCAATTATCAATTTATTAAAACAAACGCAATTATCAATTTATTAAAACAACACTTTATTATTGGTCCGAGTCGTCTTTCTGTTGGGTCCGAATAGTCTTTTTGTTGGGTCCGAATAGTCTTTTTGTATGGTCCGAGTAGTCTATTTGTTTGGGCTGAGTGGTCTATCAGTTGGTCCGACTGGTCTTGAACCGAGTGGTCTTTGGTCCGAGTGGTCATGGATTCTTGTCGTAATTGTACTTGAATTTCCTATGCTGTCACCCCTAATACGAAATGATATCTTCCGCAGAGTGACGTAACCATCTTCCATATTGGTATTTTTCTCTGGGAAAAGTTTGTGATATTTCAATTTTTCAAGAGAGAACTTGTTTTCATCGTTGTGATAATTAGTTGTGCAATGGATTTTATCGAACAGGAGTTCATTACAAACACACAGGTAAGTTTATAATAACCAAAGTTAAGTAGTTTGTTCATAATCGAAGAAATCCGTTTAAAATTTACCAAGACTCAGGCAGTAAGTCTCTAACTCAATATCATCCAAAATCTTCAACATTGAAAACACGATTTATTTGGCAAATTAAATCAACATTCATGTGGTGATCTTACCGGAAAAAGATGGGCTTTTGATATCCAATATTTAAGACAAAATAAACATTTTACCATTGGTACACGAATCGTGTACCATAATGCGCTTCAGCCCCAGTTGTATCAAGAGGGACGAGGCTAGACACATTGCACCAAATCAAACAGCGTATGTAGACTGGAATAACCAGACCCTAGAAATTTGCACTCGCTTGAGACTGCTGGCTTATTTCGCTGAACATAACTGATTTGAAATTGGAGTAAAAACGGAAACCATTGAATGCAAATCAGTTTATATACATTCATACTACAGTATTATAAATATGCGTTGCGACCCACTTTTGTCAATTTCTAGGTCCCAAATGTTAGCAATTTAGCTCCTCGTAGATTTACCTAGACATCATTTAACATAATACAAACTATAATATTTCACATACGTAATACATTGTATAAAACATACAAACTATAAAATTTATTTCAATAACATATCTAAATACATGTACATAATTGTACAGTGTATAGATACAAGTTGATAAAAGTCCCATCAATAACCCATTGGCCGGATTTAGCAAGCAAAGCCACGTAAAAAATCAGGTATTGCCTCGTCATTTACCTATAAAATGAATTTGTAAATAAGGCTTAAGTTAAAATATATAAGTAAATATAGCTTAACCGAAAATGAATTTTGTAATAATTACAAATTTTGTAATATTGTAACACAATGTTGTAATTTGTAATTATAACTTTCAACACAATAAATAACTTATAAATTTTCTAATGCATCTGCTCTGATTAGGTTCACAGGATTTTCTCTGAATGGATTGGAGATGCCCATTTCTTTTACTTTTAGTTGATAAAAAAATAAATGAATAATGTTTATCTCATAATATATTACCTAATCAGATCAGAGGGTGTGAAGTACCTAATTAGGGATTATCCAATCAGTTGATTAAGTAGTACTCACCTCTTTTCTTTGAATTACAATTACACTTTGCAGCATGTAATTTTCCGGGTTGGCTTGCGTTATTATGGCTATGGACAATTTTTCCACTAACAAATTCTTCAGGACACATGGTTTGTATAACTGTAACATCACATCGATGTTTTGTTTAAATATATTGTTTTTCATCAAATTAAAAATGTTTGGCCGTTACGACTAAATTTTTGGGCCATTATGACCATATTATTTGGCCGTTATAACCAAACTATTTGGCCGTTATGACTAAAGTAGGGCCGTTATGACTAAAGTAGGGCCGTTTTGACCAAACCTGTTTTTTGCCGTTATGACCACATCCCACCATTAAGCCTCTGTGGCTTGTTTTTGTTTACTACCTTAATTATTTCTGGCACTGAAAGGTTTGCACATGTCTGAACTAAACATGATGTCATATTCATATATTTCTCAAAAGTGTTTGGTCTAAATATTATGAAGAACTGTACTAATAGCAGCTTCAGGTTGAACTTTATTTCATCATTTTTCCAGAATTGTTGAGGTGTGACTTGAATTGGTTTAGGGTTTTAGTTTTAACAACATAGAATGGTAAAGTTCCAATCGCTGATAACTGAGAGATTGTTTTTTTCGTACGTCCAATCTAGAATGACGCTTTTCTAGTTTAAAGTTGTGCCCTCTTGTTCTTTTCTCTGTAGTGACTTTTAGCATTTCTTCAGTTTACAACAACATCTCTTCCTTGAAGAATCCTATAAACTTGGATTTATTTAAATGTAGCCTCATGTCTGCATCTTTCATTATTTTCTGCAATCTGTTCTCTTACAATGGATGAGAGATCATTCGCAAGCTCATTTGTTAATTCATGTTTGATTTTGTTTTTCGTGTTATGTACACATGCTTTCACCTGATTTAGGACATCCAATTTAAGTTCCTCCAGAATATGGCAGACCTTTTTAATAGCAAAGTGCTTTATTGAATTAGTCAGTTCAGTCCATAAAATGTTACATGTTTGGAATTATCTGTACAACTCATTGCTAGTGCAAAACTAGTCACACAAAACTACTAAAGTTGTCATTGGCAGATATTTGCTTTACATTTACATCTGAAATTTGCCGGTAGATGTTACGTTACAGATCAACCATAACTCATACCTTTATTTTAAAATTTGAAATTCCAATGAGTGTAGCACCACTGTCAGGACAAGAAATTTTCGCAGAAAAGTAGGATGTTAAACAATATATCATTTTTAAAGAAATACAAAGTTTCAATTTCTATGTGGATTACCAGGCATGTACATATGATGTACATGTATCTATCTATATACTTTTTGAAGTTACGTGAGGAGTGATCTTTGAAATAAATGAGCATTGGAATTCCTTACAATTTTTCAGTTGGTGATTTTCAGACAAGGTACTTGGGCTATTTTGTCAAATTTCAACATTTGATTTCATTCTTAAACACAATTTTTCAATTGGTGATTTTCAGACAAGGTACTTGGGCTATTTTGTCAAATTTCAACATTTGATTTCATTCTGAAACACACATTTATCAATGTAAGCTTATACCATATGAAATCTGGGACTGGTCCTTCAATATAATCGTACAGTTCCATACCTTGCACTAAACAGATTGTTTACTAGTATTTATGTTGTATTTTTATTATTTCAGTTACCCCTCTCATTACTTAGAACAGCTGTGAACCATCCTATGGTAAGAATTTAAGCCTAATTTAATCTACAGTGTATGATTATTAATTAATAGTTTTCGGCACATTTACTACATGAATGTAGCAGCACTGGATATTTTTTTTTACTTCCTCTGTGAAGTATTAACATGTCAAATCTTTTAGTTTCTGATGTGATACAGTTTTGCAAAATAAAAATAATCCAATATGACCAAATTAGTTGATATTAAATAATGTATATCATTAATTATATTGTAGTTGGTGGAGTTAAAAAATGGAGAAACATATAACGGTCATCTTGTTAATTGTGATAATTGGATGAATATAAATCTAAGAGAAGTTATCTGTACATCTAGGGTAAGTACATGTACCTAGAGAGAATACAGTACTAGTACCGACATGATCTAGCACAAGGCAGAGCAACAAATCATGTACATTATTGTGAACCCTTCTATCACACTATAGTTTTTTAATCCCTGATAGTTATTGTTGGTAGATATGTGTATATCTCTTCTGTTTTTGAATATTTGTGAATAAATATGTGTTTTTTATTTCCTGTTTTATTTTCATAGGATGGTGATAGATTTTGGAGAATGCCTGAATGCTATATTCGTGGAAGTACAATCAAATATTTACGTATCCCAGATGAAGTCATAGACATGGTTAAGGAAGATGTTATGCAGAAGTCTAAAGGTCGAGGAGAGATCAGGGGTCGTGGGGGGCGAGGAGGTAGAGGAAGAGGTAAAAATAGTTTTGTTTACATTCATATTTGTTTAAAGATTACTGGTATGTCAAAACATTTGCTAAGGAAATATGCCTAAATTTTTGGTATGGAAAGAAATAACGGAAGATAGACTGAAATTGGTTTAAAGTCAATGTGGCAGCAAAGATACATACAACTACGTCAAGCGTATGTTATTGTTCAGGACACCCTTTAATTGATTTATAAGCATGGAATAGATACACAGTACTGTATTAAACACAGTTTTGTTGTTATGTATGATGAAGCCCTCCTGAACTCACTAGGAGATAATATTATTTTAACCATATTATTACAGGTGCATTTTCATCAGGTGGTAGAGGAGGTGGAGGACCAAGAGGAGGGGGCCAGGGTGGAGGAAGAGGGGGGCAAAAACCTGGCAGAGGCAGAAATCAGTGAAATAATATTTCATATATTTTATTGTTGAACATTACATTGCGATCACTAGCAAAGTGAACTAACTATTCAGAGGATGAACCAACAGCCTTTATCAACAGGATTTAATTTCTTTGTGTTCAGTGCAAGGAAAGATGCTGGACTGTAAACATACAAAAACCTTTAAAAGCTGATCCAGGAATAATTATTTAATAAATCATTGTTATACGAACAAATAAATTGAGAACGCTTGTAGTACTGTTGACAATATATCGAGAAGTGTATTGATGTACTGGTACTAAAATTTGTATGTTTGTATATATCAAAAGAGCATTGTATATAATTCATAATTTACATGGCATATATTTCATTTGATATTTAAAATATGACATGAAAGTGTTCTCAGTTCAAGAAGTATCCACGTACAGATTATTCACTATAAGGTGCATTGAGAAATTAACCCTCATGTGCCTTTTATTTGGTTTAAGTAAAAAAAAAAAAAGATTTCTACAATTGATATTATGGATCTGATTTTAATGGTTTTGTTGAAGATAAAGATTTAGTTTTATTATAGTGCTAATTATGCCATCATTCATCTTTTCCATTGTATGGAAAGCTACATGGAATTATTCTTTTGTTGTATATAAGTGTATGTACATGTACCTAAACCTTAAAAATTTGATACATGAATCCATTCTGTTTGTAGTTGTTAATAAGACATCTCTTCAACCTTTACTTCACTGACCTAGTTGTATATAACGTGGATATTAGTAAGACATCCAATTAATGTATTGAATTACTGTAATGTATGTGTCACTTGCAAATTTATACCTCTATCAGACACATGATTTTTCGTAGATTGCACTGTGCATGCACAGCATATGGCCAATTTTTGACTGATTGGGCTCCGTAATAAGTTCAAAATTCATGGGAAATATAGGGGTAACAAATGCGGTGTGGCACAACTGAATTGCACATGTACAATACATATAATGCTGCGAAAACCCAGTCTTAGCCCCTTTCAACTTCTTCTCAAATGACCTCCTTCAGTGGCTTATTTTTTGTTGTAGTGAATTTGTCAAATAACTATTTTCCCCAACAATCAGGATTTCTACTGTTCGTCCATCACATGAATTACATATCGCATTTCGACTTGAGCTCGACATTTATAAATGCTTTACGCCAGTAATGCATTTCAGAATTCGATGTTACTACTCAATCAGAATTGTAAAAATTACCACACCCATTTGAAAGCTGACTGATATGAAAACATGAACTGAAAATTAGGCCCGATATCAAGAGGTAACTTTCTTATTAGTTTTAGAGTAGAAGCCGAATTTCCATGTGGATGCCACTGGTGAGGACAGCAGTATTCCATTTATGACCTCATAATAATATACAGGTAAGAACATACTGGTTGCATCCAGAATAAATTATCAGGTTTTGAAATTGATCAATGATTTCATGGCAGAGCAAAATTCATTAATGGAGTTTTAGGCCTAAAAAGTTCTTCTATCCGATTGCAAGCGACAGCCACTAAAGAGGTCACTTCTTAAGAGGTCACTTCTTATGGATACATAATTTTTACACACTTATCAAATCAGTTGAACAAGTTACAGGCCTAAAATAATGTTCTGTCAAATCGCATTGGTCTGCTACTGAAAATATTTTTGTATGAGTAGTAAATTTACAAATTCGTTAGGTTGACTGGGAAAGAGAAATGTATATAGAGTGTATACAGCTTTACTTGATGTCAGCACTAACAAACACTGAGATTTTATTTAGGGGTCACTCCCGTTAAGCGGCCAGTCATGAAATTTCCCTTGAGTGGCTGCTTAATACAGATTCTACTGTATACAGTTTTCGTGGAAGGCAAACAGTTTTTACTAAAAGTAGCCAAATAGGTAATGCTTTTCTTCCTCCACTCTGTCACTTTCTTCTGGTGTTGTGGCACTTTGTTCTCAGTGGGGATATTCGATTTCGAACTTACAATGTCTCCACTAGTTACCAAGTGAGAGAGAGAGAAATGAGGTTTAGTGTCCAACAAACTAGTTCATTTCAGGACTACCATTGTTTAGTTTTATTTCTATAATTAGCTTGAAGCTAGTTGTCTTGAGGAGTGGGAGAAAACCAGAAGACCCTATTCCTTGTCACATACAAGCTTTATATTGAAACAATGCCACTTAACTCAAATTACAGAACTTATGATCTAAAGCGCATGCCTTAGATGACTAGTCCCTCCCTGTGCCAAATGAAACAAATGGAGCTAACATGACTTAGAACATCTTATGCTAAAGTAGATAGTAATTTTTCTGGTGCTTTTAATTTGGTTGCATAAAGTTTAGATCAAAAGAAAAACATTTTAATTTTGCAAAGTTTTCTTTTTATTCAACCTTTGGATTTTATATACAACATCAAAATACATTTGAACTTAAAAAGTCAAAATTAATTATAAAATACAGTGTACATTGGTTGTGATTTCTGTGTATAGACTATATTTCAAATCTTTGTAATTTCTGAAAGGGGTGCTCAGTTGCAAATCCAGAACATTTTGAATGGTCTGAAATTTCTGTCAATCCTTTAAACAGCTGCAGTGCAAGTAGAATTGTGACATAATCAGGACCAACATGTTTCAGCAGTGGTGATTGGAAGAGATATTTTCTTAATCTGTTGGTACATTCTTTGTCATATGTCATTGTGCGCAGGATTGAGAGAATAGACTTCCAGAATATTCTATCAAATACACCTTTAACCATACTAATATACTAAATTATGATAATGCAATGGTTGATGAAAGATGTATAATTTCTTTTAAAACACTACAGCTATCTGCTATTACTACTACATGAAGCAGAAATCTTTAAATTAAGATAGATTTTCTATCAAAGGAAAAACATTTAACAATTAACCATTTGCAATGTAATGTTTGCTACTACAAGTCAAAATCAATTAAGACATTCGTCTTTTGCAATTTTTAGCTATGTAATATAAAATCGTGACTTGGAACAGCAAATGTTACAATTTCTCCTTCTGCAATAAAAAAGAGGTAAATTCTATATCCATTAATAAGATAAAAGGAAATATTTGCAGCTAATGAGAAAAAATACAGCTACAATTTACACAGAGCTTCCAAAAAGTGCAACATCGACTATGTTGGAAGAGTTAAAACAAACCAGTAGAGTTATAATGAGGAGTATTGACAACTGGTACTAGTATATAACACATATTTTTTTAATACAAACAAGACTGGACAAAAATATTGTAGCAAAATATATTTCCAGACTAAAATATGACTTACATGTACGTTTAATTTAAAAATATAAATCAGCCCTTTTTTTTTTCTTTCTTCACAACCTAGATTTCACAGTTTGAAGGCAGCAAACCATAAGCTATAGAAGTTTTAACAGAGAAATAGTGATATAACAGTTATTTTGATTAGATAATACAATGTTATTTATTACTTAGTTAATTAATCTTTATCCCTTATTCTCAAGGAAATTTTCCACGGAATCCATTACTCCACTGCGTTTATTAATTTTGTGATGTTGCAGAATAACTTTCTTATTTAACCGATTAATTTTAGAGCGGAGTCCCTTAGAAAATGAATAAAGAATTTAAGTCATCAAATGGGTGATATTAATCCCAAAGACTTCTTTGCACATATCTATGTTTAATACTGTTATAAAATTGATAATATATATTATTTCTATATTATTTCTATATGTATAATGACTTGAGTTAGGTATTTTCTATTATATAATATTGTAACCTTACATAAATATACTGGGACTTCATTTTTTTTTGTATATATATAATATGAATAACATTATTTGAAGGATATTAATAAATAATTTAAATATAATAGAACTATTTTCAATTCTAAATCAAAATTTTAACATTATTTCTACAGAAAACAAAATTAGAAGGAAGATCGTTTTTTTCCCATTAATTTGAAAAAATAAAAACAAATATACAAAAGAGATCTAAGGCTAGTAAATATCTCTATCTCTATGGAACTTAAAAACAAACTAAAAACATAATATACATATTGATGAATGACTTATGAACAATTATTAAAAAAGGGAGATAAGAATAAACAAAACAGTTATTTACAAATAACATTATACACACAAATATAACAACATAATATTTTAAATAGATAAAGTTGGATGAAAAGTTGTTGTTGGGAAAGGAAAATGAAACCCTTGAAACTTTTATTAGTTCGAGGAGAGAGTTAGAATATTTCTATGCATTATTTTTAATATATTGTTATTTTTATCCTTTATGTGATCTACATCTACATGTATATAACAAATATAGTATTAAAATATCTCATTGATAAGCCATTTTTCAATCTTTGTCATCTATGTTTGGTATAACATACCGAATCAGATATTCTCATATTTAGCAGGAATTTTTTTTTTTTTACACATATTCCAAACACATATCTTTCAGTCACCCATGACAGAATGACTTTTTTATAATGAACTATGAATCTCTTATTTTAGAATACAAAAGCTTTAATTCTAACTTATCATTTTATGATAGCACAAGCTAATATCTTTTTCATGCACATGAATGGCTTAATTAGCATGATATGTCTAAGCACCAAAAGCAATGAGAAAATTACTTTCATTTTTGAAGTATACAATTTGCAAAAGCCATGCAAAGAAAATATAACTATTTTTTTATTTTTACAATGTTTTTTTTTGTCCTAATTCTTAAAACACACTTTCTCTTGAATTCTACACATGTAAATCATAAACAAATAATTTTCCATTTGCACCATATTCACATGATTATTTCAACATTCAGTTTGATTGGTTCCTTAGCATATTTTTCATTGTTGTTATTGGCACTTGTTGCTGGTATCATTGTATATAAACCAATCAAAAAAGCCCTCTCATTGCTGCCACTTTAGATGAGAAAATTCTAAAATACTAGTATTGTTGCTTTAAACTATCAGCTGAAAACACCTGATTCAACTCTAGCATGGTCAACAACATCTAGAAGATTTTTCGAGTCCATGGCGAGCACATGAGCGGCTTTGAGCATTCCTTTGCGATATTCCACATCCATGGTTGTTTTACTGTACTGTTGGGCTAGTTTCATGGTGCTTATTAAAGTTCCCATGTCTGTACTTAAAACTTTCTGGGCCATCTGAATCTGAAAATAAAATATTTTTATCTTTAATCATGCTATATACTGTAAGATATCATATGTGTTAGCAAAATTTAACCTTTTGTCCATCCACAGAAGGATTTTCAATTAAATAACCAGGACAAAAAGAAACAGTGAATATATATATCAGAATTTGTGGATTTCATACCCAAATTGTCTTAGATTTATCATTCATGCTGTCAGAATTTCTTGTTAATAAACTTACCTCTCTATGTTTATCAGATGGTATTTTAGTCAGTAGGGAATCAACATTAGCCAATAAACCTCGCAAATCTAATCCAACTTTCTGTAAATATACAAAATATATATTGCAAATTTATAATGCTTGAGTTTAGAAGGAAAAACATTCCATACAATGGTCAGTGTATTTATATTTAGGGTTTTAACATCTACTAACCTTAACTAAATCTACATATTCATCTGATTTAGCAGTCTGAGCTTCTTTAGTCATACTCATAACAGATCTAACTACACTTGTTGTACTGTCATATACACCATCATTTGATCTATCTATATCACTGGCCTACAAATACAATACAATAAATATCTGTCAGATAAACATGCACCCATTTACTGAATTGTTTTTAAGGCAACCTGGCTTTAAATTTAATAGTGTGTATATAAAATAGGCCTTAAAAATAGTTTTTAGATAACTTCTCATTATTTCTTTTAGATAGACAGAGAATATGAAACAAATACATACCCTTTGTGATAATTGTTGACCTAAATCAGTTGATTCACTTGTACTACTGCTCCTACCTGTAAATATTTCAATAGTTAGGCTACTATATTCAATCATTTTCATCTTTTTTTTTAGCATTCTAATACTATTTCTTTTTGAAACAATATATATTTATAGAAACTGGATTGAAGATAGACCACTTCTCTATATTACTATGACCCCCTGTAATTAGTATATGAAGAGCCCCAGGGAAGAACGGTCTAAATCACTTTTTCAATGAAACCCAGTTAATGGCACCATCTGGTAATTGTATAAGCTTTTTGTGGAACAGTCAATTTCAGGTAAAAACAATTGGAATCACAACGAACCAAAGCCCTTCTGAAATGGCCTCCCGGACAAATACGTCCACCGTACCCTTTTTTTGACCGTAATTTAGCTGAAAAGTGGAAGTCAGTTGTTGTACTGGTAATTATGATTCGTATTAAACATCATTTTGAAGTTGTAATTAAACCCACTCGTTGTTCTGTTCGCGTCAAGCATTCTCGTCCAAAAGTCTGTTTTGCCTTTTATGTAAAAAGACAAAAATGTGACTTAGATCGTTCTTCCCCAGGAGTCCAGGACTCGTCATATATTGTCAATTGGCAAAACCTTTGGCTACCATTCAACAAATTGTTCCATGCTGTATTGATCTGGGGTGTGATTCACACTATTTTAAGGATATAGTGTTTTCATTGGTTGAGAGTTAAAATTCTAATACATATTAAGTTTTTGTGAATAAGGCCCTAGAGTTTAATTTTCCAGACAATTTAGATGCTTATATATTTGTTATGATAATTTATGATACAGAACACGTTCAGTTGTATGATCACAGTTCCCAGTCAAAATAGATTTCAAGGATACAAGATGATGAACTTACTAGAAGATTGACTGGCAACTCTAACTGGTGCATGACGTATTTGATATGCTGGCTGTACTGGTGGCGAATTCTCTTTAGTACTATCACTATCTTCATCACCTTGTACCATATGAGTTGCAAATTTCTCTCTTCTCTGTAAAACATTACTTATCATTAATAATTGTCACAAAATGGAAATTCATCCAGCTTTCTAACAGATAAATTATGAATACATTTATAATGGGGCCAGGATTTAGGCAACAACCCAATTTAGACTAGTACCATATGAAGAATGGAATGTCTCATGAATTATGTATTGGTCCTTTTTGAGACGGATCTATATATGTATATACATATTGTCTCAAATTTTATAAATTCCTATCAGTCCTTGGATATTATTCTTGACAATTTCGAAATTCCTCATTGCCTACACCAGAAATCAAACTTGATGAATCTAAATCACAATATCATATATCATAGCCCAAAATATAATACAGATCGCCAGTTTTAATTGTATGTAACGTACCAGATTTTTCTCCTCTGATCGAAGCCATCTTGCATCTACTTCTGAATCTCTTTGTTGTTGACGTAATTTTTCAGCTATGAATTTTTCATCTACCTCTGTGATGTGACTGTGTGGTCGAACATCCTATGGAATAAAATAAATTTATTAATCAGAAAAGCAATAGGCAATTCAATATTGCCAATATCTGTTGAAACTATTTCAAATAGTATGTGGTTCATCCATACACTGCATTAATGGATCCTCAAGGACATGAACATACATCCCTTTAGTTAATAGGTCTCAAAATAAATAAGAGATCACTATTAAATTTTCCTTGACTCAATGAAAAGATAGGTTACCAGGAAACTGAACATACGCATATAAATAATGCATATAAATTTCATACAGATCGGATGATAACTTTAGTCGTTTGAGCGTTCATATGGTTCAACAAAGTGAAACAAGGACTTATTCATTTTACTGATCTAAATAATGCATATAAATTTCATGCAGATCTTATGATAACAGTTGTCTATAGAGCGTTCACAAGGTTCAACAAAGTGAAACAAGGGCCACAAGTCTAGAAGTAATCAACGGACATTGTTGAGATTACATAGGATTCTTCTTCTCACTAATGTAAACTATATAGATAAATTTCAAACTGCTCAAATAATAAATGTAGTCAGTAGAGTGTTGACAAGAAATATGCGATCACATTTCCATATGGGCATATAAAAACCCAATGTAGGCCCTATGTATGAAATTTGACATATCTTTCCATGCTTAAAAAAAAGAATTTCAACAAAACTATGACTGAGAGAATTAGTATAATGAACAGTAGCGGATTATCAGTGAGGCTGATGAGGCTGCAGCCTCAGGCCCAAAGATTTTGTAAAAAAAATTTTTTTAGACTTGTCTGATACGATTAAAAACGCATAGACAATGAATGTTAGGGGGGTGGGGTTTAGGCCCAACGGAAATCAACATAGGCCCTGACCCGAAATTAATTAGGCCCACGCCATTTTAAATAGGCCCTATTGTTTGGAGATCTGATCTTATTTTTTAAACGTAGGCCTACAATGTACGTTAAATCCTTGTAAGTTTTCGGTTATGTCTTGCTTAATATATTGTATCCACGTGACGTCATTATAATGTCGTTTATAATGTTAGCAACTACCTTGGCTCTAACTTTAAAAACTAAATAGGCCCTCCAGCAACTACCGCCTCAGGCCTTGGTGGAGCTTAATCTGCCACTGATAATGAACAGTAGATATATTATGTGTACCATAGATATAGGCCTAATTTCTTTCAAAAATTGTTTTACAGTAAATCCACCAATTTCCTAATTTGGAAATTATGATCTATAACCACACATATTTGTATCTGAAGCTCAACTATGAACTAACTAAATATTGTAGATAGGTCCTGAAATTGTTATGAATATGCCTACATGACTAGCCTAGCTACTTGTTGTATAGACTGTCATTAGAATAAGTAGGGCCTATAACAGTGAAATTAAATTTAATTCATAACTATTCAGTGAAAACAACTCCAAAGCACTTTAAGAACAGATGGTGGAAAAATAATGTGCAATTTACTTTAAAATGTGAAGAAAAGTAAGAAATCAATTAGAGTTATCCCCCCACCCACGCCCTTTTTCAACTCACAGAAATTGACTTCTGCTAGAATGCATGTGCAGGGGGCATAACCATATTTGGTAACATTTGCCTGTTCACATGTGCCATGACAGGACTTTGCCCTTGTTGGTGGTATTTCAGTTAAACAAAATAAATAAAGTTTAAGATTTTAATTTTAATGACAGTAGATAATTATAGACTGAGGTAAACAAAAAAAAAAATAAAGCTAAAGGAAAGAATTTGAATAACAGTAAAATATTATGGTCTGAGCACTGAAAGCATTTAAAGGTAGGTAGGTCTACTACTTTCTGTCTCAATTCTGAAGATCAGTTTAGTTTGAGCTGATAGTGCAAAGAATATCATTCTCCAATGAAGCAATTACAAGAGATGATCTCTAAAAATAAACAAAGTATTGAAAAACTAAGCTTCACCCAATAAATTTTCCACCTCTGCCCCCAAATTGATACAAAAACATTAAACTGAATTATTTATTGGCTATAAATTCACAGAACACACTCCAACCATAATATCCTTTCAAATTTTCAATATTCATGTTTTTAAAATGCACTCATATTTCTATTAATAGTCCTATTTTATAAAAAGAACTATTCCAAGCCATTTATAATTTGTAACTTTCTCAATTCAGAATGCAAACTCCAACAGAATCACAATAGCATTAATTTATTTAGGACTTGATGGTGTTATGAAATCCTGGGGAAGATTCCACGTATATGTTCAGTGAGTCGCATCTTAGGGATTCTGATCATCCAGTCATTTGGCGGGTGTATGATGTATGAGGTGGTCTGTCCCCGCTATGGATGCTAGTTACACCCGATCCTATGCATGTACGGCTTTCTAGATAGAGAGGGAGATCAATCGTGGTCAGCGTGAATCTTTCTTTTATCTCTCAATCAGCGTGATAGATCGAGATATGTAGGGTTTCATGTACCATCAAGTAATTTAATTTAGCTTCATTATTTTTGGGGCTTTCTTTTTTCAATAGTTTTTAAAAAAAAACATGAAGTACCGGTAGATGTAATTAAAGGATTGAATTTAGTTTCATTATTTTTGGGGTTTTCTTTTTTCAATATTTAAAAAAAATCATATATCCTATTCTATGTCAGGGATGTGCAAAAACACATGAACATTTAAGGTACCCTATGCAACAAAAAATTACAGGTAAACTGAAATAAGTTGGCTCTGTTGCACAAATCACTTGTAAGAATTGCACACACATAAATTTAACTTTGTAGGCCTATAACAAAGCCCTGTTGAACTTATATGTTATGTAAGTACTATATAGGATTTATACAATGTGCCACTGCTACAATGCATACTAAGGTAAGAAATTCCATGTTAGAAATCAACATGAAAAAGAAGAAAGAACCAAAAGAAAAGACCGGTTTTGTATGTTCGGCTCAAGAGAAGACAGTGCAGTAGTGTATGCTTTATATGGACTGAGAGCAAGCAGATTGTAGAAGTAAGTCAACATTTCTTATTCCATTCAAATTATTAAATTTATGTTGACAAATTAGCTCTTTGAACAGGGTTAATATCTTAAAGCTTATCATTGTAAAAATAACACAATACACAAGTATCCACCATGAGCTACATCCAGTTCCATCAGTTGTCATTTTACTTGGAAAGCAATAGTGTCCATGAGAATGAATCTAATAAATTGAAATATATACAGACATCATGATCTTAGAAATGTAAAGAAATAAAATTAAATATAGAAACATTACTGAATTCGAAAGAGCTAAATGTGTGTTTAGACCAACATATAATACATCAAAAGATTTAGTAGGATTTCATGACACGGAAACCCAAATTTTATTAGAACAATATTAATGCTCTGTTCTGTAGTATTTATTAATGATTACATTTTTACTTCATGACCAGATTTAAAGCATTTGCTATTTTATCTGGGCAAGTAAAATTCTTACCAATTAAAATGTGGATAACACACTCGATGTGCTGGAACAATCTGTAACTATGTTTATAAGACTAAGAGTATCAGAATCTTACAGGGCAATTACAATTTTTGCAGTTTTGTCTGTGCCCGCTGGTTTTTATTAAAACAATCATTAAGTTCATTACTGTGCAATGATCAGTGCAATTAAGTTCAAAATAATATTTTTTTCATAATGATTTAATTAGTAGTAAGTGAATGATTAAGTACCTGACTGTGTGGTGGGAAGCTGGGTGAAATAGGACCAAGCACTTGTGATTCTCTTGGCTGTGGGGAATCTCGTTGTGAAGGTGCTTGATAGTGACCACTAGCGATAAGATGCTGGGATTGATTTTCTTGATAAGGGGAGGTAATTCCGGATATAGAAAAGCCTGGAGGGTTACTAGCCGTAGAAACCTGAGTATAACCAGTAGTAGAAGGAAAGTAGCCATGTTGTTGTTGTTGTGACACGCCAAATTGTTCTACACCCCTCCCTCTCATCTTTATCTGTCAGAAAAGAAAAAGAAATCTAGTTTTACCATATTATTCCATGAGATTTTAATTACTTGATCCATTATTTCAGAAACCCAACACAAAATATTAAATTGATTTGAAACCCCACAAAAAATCAAGTAATGAGGGGATCACTGTGCAAGCCAACATTTAAATAACCACCCGAAACCTGAAAAAGCTCTCTCATCCCATATTTAGTGGAATGATATAAAGTCTCTCAATTGTAATTTTGGCAGATGCTTAAAAGATAAGTGGTTGTCTTTTTTACTTTACTTTCTTCCAACAGTCCTAAATTTAACTCTGGTGGGGAATAAATTCAGTTTACCTGGTCTGTGTTAGGAGATGGCCCTGAAACAGGGGTACTGTGACCCAATGGTAGATTGGAGTTACTGTTCCATTGATTTGGAATGGAGGCGACACTGGCATTCATATTGAGGTTAGCGTTTGATCCATTAGGATAATTAGGTCTAGCTGGTTTAGGTGGTGGATCTTCATCTGAACCATTTGATCCTAAAAAAATTGATTGTTAAAGTAAATCTGAGAATAAATATAGAAATCTACCTGTTCAATCAATTAGATTCTAGAATCTATTATAAACCGGTACCATATTTGACTTAATAATTGTTCTACTCCAATTTTAAGCCCACTGGTTGTTTTTTCTTGAAACTGTAATAAGTTCTTCTTAGCTTTTTTGGTCAAAATAAGTTTGCCCAGTTTGAGCAGTTGTTTGAGTTTGAATAAGATTATTTGAGGTTTAATAATGATTGTCAAGAATTTATCATAATAAGCTCCCTCTGTTAAAGTATGGTATATTTTTTAGGATATTTTATGGTTGTATTTGGATTAACAGGTTGATAAAATTCTTACCCCATGAAATAGCTTGTATTCTTCTGTTACCACGACGAATTTCGTCTACTTGACGTGATCTCTCCTCATCCACAATTTCACTGCAATAATAATTGTAAAGATTAGATACATACACACCAGTTTCATCACATTGGTGTAAAAATCGCTTAACTATTTAATGTTTTTGTTCAGTTACAGACTTATTGAACTGGTTCTGAAGTCAAATGGATCTCCTTTCTCTCCCTACTTATTCTACCATACAAACTAAGAGTATTTATAAGGAAGTAAAATCTTTAGTGAAACATAGAATATGACCTTAGTAATTACATAATCTTTACTAGTTATTACAATATCAGTACTTACTATAGCCATGTTTTGAGATCAGCAAATGAAGGTCGTTTAGAAGGTTCATATTGCCAACAGGCACACATTAAATTATATAAAGATGGTGGGCATTCTACAGGAAGTGGTAATCTTTCGCCAGCCTCTATTTTACCAATGACATCGTTGTTTTTAACTCCTTGGAATGGTTTTACTCCGTACATTAAAATTTCCCAGATACAAACACCTGAAAAAGAATACATTCACATTGACCATAATTATTTATATCAAATTCTGTAAATATCTCCCTTAACAGTTTCTTTTTAATTTATAATAACAATGTGAGTTCAAATCTAAAAATTACCCCAAAATAATCACCCATCAATTTTGTGTAACTTACCAAACATCCACACATCACTAGCAGCAGTAAAACGTCGAAAGTTGATAGATTCTGGTGCCATCCATTTTATTGGAAGTTTACCTTTTGATGCTGGTAAGATAGACAATAAATATATTAGAAGAATTGTGCAATTTTGATAATTGAACAGGGATTGTATCAGGGCTATAATATTGATGTTTTTGAAAATTACTGTTTACAGTGCAAATCACTGACTGAATACATTGACAAAATTTGTTACACGGTCTGAAAAACAGATCTGGTATCAATCTGTTTCACAGAGATATTGTAATCGCAATACCTCTGTATAAGATGGCTGATCATGACCTTTATGTAAGTTCAAATTCCTTCTGGATGTGATGTCACATCACGCTACGTCAATCATTGGCTTGATAGCTCCTGCAGTGTTTACACAAAGTGGACTGGTCATCTTATATACTCATTTACACTAAATAGGAAACATTTTTTATCTAGATATACTTCAAACACCTTTCTTCATTTTTCTATTACTTCAAAAAAATGTTCTATAATTTAATTTGCAGACGGTGAAGTTAATATTGCAAGCTCATTAACCCGCACCAATGCCATCTCTCTCAGTGATATTAGCAGCCTAGCGAATATTCACTGCTGATCTTGGGTAAATATTTGCAAAAATGGACAATTTAGAAAAATTGGATATCAAATGTTTATTTTTACTCTAGAAACTTCTTCTTTGTAAAATATTGAGCTCACCTTTATAATAACTTTGTTCTTCAACCCATCTTGATAAACCAAAGTCACCTAATTTAACACAATCATGTGACGATACCAACACATTACGAGCCGCAATATCTCTGTTAAACACAAAATAAACGATAACAAAATTTTCTTACAAAGCCCAAGTTTCAAAATTTTTACATTTTTAATTTACAGATCTGAAAAGATTGGACATCTGTTTATTTTCTTTATATTTCATCCATACATCCACAGAACCAAAATCTTTAAAAGATTACCCTCTTCGTTGAAAATAATGTTTAGATCTACTGTATGCGCATTAGGGTGGTCCTTATTTTGCAAACTCTAATGCGCATATTTCTGATTAGAACAATAAAAAATTTGAAGAGACTTACCTATGTACAAATTTTTTACTTTCTAAATATGACAGAGCTGTACTTAGTTGATAGGCATACATAATAAGTGTAACTAGATCTAACTGTGGTTTATTAGATTGTAAATATGCTCTCATCTGTAATACAAAAATTTATTATACTATAATTCTATTATTGGTATCTAGCAAAGCCTCAGAAATCACATGGTCAACTAAATTAGTTATTAAAAGACAATCTTTAAATTACAAACATTTTCTACTTCTTGGAATTGCTAAGTTGGTTATAAAATATTAAAAAATTTAAGTGGGCATTCACCTCTCCGTGTTTGGCTAATTCCATTACAATCCAGACAGGTCTTACTTCCGAACAAATACCAATCAATTTAATTATATGTGGATGATCAAATTGCTGCATGATGTCTGAAAAACATTGAATACATGTATTATATTATATTTTCATAAGATGCTTACATAAATTACAAGATGTGTTTACAGATTAAATATCTGATACTCTTTCGAAATACTAAATTCATTTCACAGTTTTTCTCTCGTATTTATAATCTGACAGTATTTTGAACAAAATTAAATTTTACTTACAAGCTTCTTCTAAAAATTTCTCTGTCATTGATTCTTCATTTTCTTCCTTACATGTTTTAACAGCTATATGCACTTGTTGTTTCTCCTGTAAAACAACATAACAATGAAATAGAGGTATGACCTAGAATCTAACCCAGTCTATGCTAAAGGTGATTTAAGATTATCTAAGCACTTAAAATTAAGATTTGATCAATCAGACTTTGAAGCACAAAGTCTAATTGCATATAAAATTTTTCATGAATTTCATAATTGTGTAATAACTCACCCTATCTAAAAAGATTCCTTTATAAACATCTCCGAACTGTCCTTCACCTAGTATCTCTACTAACTTTATAGCATCTCGGATAATTTCATAATCACGAGCTACAATATGAGAAAAATATTAAATAATATTTATTAAGCAAGAACGAAAAAAGCGCAAAGCAATTAAATATATTCAAATAGTAATACATTTTTTAAAACTATAAAAATAACATATAAGTACCAATGATTGGATTTTAAGAGTGACTGAAGTCAGTTCTAATTTGCTCAATATTTCAATTCTGTCTACCGCACCAAGCAGACCCAACTAATAAAATAATAAAGCCCCAAAAAGCATCAAAATTAAAGAAAGTGATCTGCTTCCTTTCTTGACTGCTATGGGAAAGATTTCCTCTCTGTTAGTAACATATCTATTATTATTTCTACAATATGTACATCAAGAAATTTTAATCTGCCATATATTTTCAGCACAATCTTTCAATTTCAAATTTCAATGTTTGGATCCAGTCAATTTTTAATCATACTACATGTACAAGGGATTCTTACATTCAGTTATTCAATTATTAACAACACAAATATAAGTTATTCTAAGCTATGGGAGGAATGCTTTTATATTTATATTATATATTTTCCACAAGATCAGGAAGAAACAAAATTTGTGACAAAAATCCAACTCTGTAAAATCACAAATTTTTAAAAATTCGAACTCCTTGTGCATTCTATATTAATTTTGATTTACGTACATTATATATGATCTAAATATAAGCTATTACATTTATGATTCAAGTAATTAATTCTTATACATTGTATATTTCATTTGAACTAATTCTACTTCATTCAGCATACAAAAGCTACATATTATATTGTCGGAGGTGTGTATTTAGTATACAGAAATTTAGCAATATGCAGTATTTTATCATAAAAAGAAATATTCATCTTAAAATTATCATACTTTATAGGGAAACAAAATCGTCATAAGAAAACAGTTGCAAGGGGCAGAGTTCTCAATTCTGACAAATTTTGTTGTTTTCAAACTTGAAACAGGTATTTGATCCTACTACATATCAAATTCAAACCTTTTTGCCAAAAGAAATTTAACAAGTAATAAAGTATGATATTAGTCTTCTAAGACGAAACATTCTATGACATTTGGAAATCATATCAAATCATCAGTATAATATTCAGAAAGAATTTTTGTGGAGGCATAGGTCAAAGTTCAAAAGAGCATGCAGTTATGAGGACATTCCAATTCCATATTTCAAGCGGTATATCAGTTGGTTATTTTTCATCTCACTGTCGTAACTCATGCGGCATCGCGAAACTTACATTTTCTTTTCTTGGAATTCCTCAATGTATTTGATTTTCCTGTTATATGATAATCACATTATAATTCAAAAACATAAAACAAGTAGAACAGAAATATTAAAATAGAACACTGTACTTATCAGTAAAAAAAAAATATATCCATGGTAATACAATTTAAGGAGAAGATGTTTTTAAGATTTTAGAACTTTTGTCTAATCCTTTTGTATTGTACAATGTAATGTGGATGCAGATTAAAATATAAAAGACAAAATAAAATGATTCAATTTGAAACCATATTCTGAAATATCAGCAACAACTATATATCAATAATTTTGATTATTTTACTGCAGTCGTTTATTTTACACTCAATTCAGACCAGTTGGTAATCAAGCTAAATCTCTCCCATGTCATCATAAAATTGGACATTTTCACTCGTAAATCTTTCTAATGTAATTCAAATTGAATCATTTAACCCGCTTTCAGGGAAAAAAGGATGGCCAGGACCCAGTACCATCCAAATTATTATCACCACTTTGGCACTATATACCTATTCCTCCAATACAGTTTTAAAATAAAATACTATTTATATACTTAATGTTACAATAAACTTTGACTATATCATCAATAGACCTAATACACCATCACATACATTCTCATTTTATCTAAGTTCATTCCTCCATACATGGCTCATTCATATCCACACACCTAACAATATCAATCTGTCAAAATCTATGGTACCACCAAAGGCAAATATGTAAAATTGTCATTTTAAATTTTCAGTAATAAATAAATAGTAAGATTCAGTATTGTGGGTATGTATAAAAATGGTATCTTTTATGATAGTGCAAGTGCAACAAATAAAAAGATCAGGGTTGTAACTAGCCCAGAGCAACGAGGGGGGCAGGAAGTGTTCTCAGGGGTTCTGTAAAATTGATGGACAATGTATATCTATTGTTTTTATGGTCAACAATTTTTTCACTTGGGCGAAACTTTTTGGAGGGGGAGGGGCTTAGTTACGGGCCTGAAAAACATTCTCCAGAATAATATTCTACTTATGCTTAGAAAAGTAGTTTTTAAACTGATACAGATGGCGTCAAATTACATTGTCAATACATCTTTGTCAAAACATGTTCTTTATCAAATTAAATATTTATTGATTTTTTGGTTCCTCCATTAAAATAATCAGTACAAAGGTTCTAAGTTCCACTAATACAAACACATGAACTATTATATCTTACACTGTTATTGGCTATATATATGTTATAGCAAATAAAATAGTTCAATTTTAATGGGTACATATGTATTCAACTACATGGTTGGTATGACCCAAATATTACTTCACTGAAAGTAGGTGTACTTTGGAAAAGATGCCCTACTATCACTTTGACATTTACTATGGTTTTAACTACGCCCATAAATATGAAATAATAGAATTGGAAAACTAAAGGTTAAATAATGTATAAAAGATATCAAAGATGTCCTCCTAAATGTACAAGAAAACATTTGCACAAAATGAGAAACCCGGAGATTTAAAAGTGCAATTGTATTGGGTTTATTTTAAGGGGGAAAAATGCACTCTTTGATAAAAGTCATTATAAAATATCAGGAAACACCATTTACCATGGAACCAAACTAAAAAAAATACTAACCAGATGGAGGTGCCCATTAAATTATCTTTTAAAATGCTGAAGCCTTATTCTTAAACAGTTACTTATAAAATCTAAGTTTAAGAATATCAAGTTAGAATTTCAAAATATACACATTATGCTAAATAGCTTTTTAATCAAATTGTAATGATCATGTTTTTATTAACAAGAAAGCAAAAATGTTGATAAGCTTTATTGTATTCAAATCACGAATCACAAAAGATTTATCTTGAATTCCATTGTTAGAATTTTAAAATTTCAAACAGTATTTCTTTTTGAATGATATATCTTTTTAAAAAATCACGAAATATCTTGTCAAAATCAAAATAAAGGTTGGTCTAAATTGAAAGAAAAGAAAAAAAAAGTTAAATATAAAATTAAGTTTCACCCATCATGGTTTCTCTGTCAAACACAGTACTTCCTCCGCTCCTATTGTCATAAATTTGTTCTTTGTCTAAAAATTCAGCAAGAAATTGATTTTTTCCTCAAATTTTAACAGTTTTAACCATGTTGACATGCAAAATTTAAATTTTGTTACCATGACAACCAACTAATTTCTTTATGTAATTTTCATTGTGGATTTGTTACCAAATGAGAGACTATCAGCATCTATATTGTACCATATGACTGACTATGTAACCCATATCGATTTCAGTTTTCCAATGCTAACATTTATTTTAGACTGCTTTCAAATTACATCATTAACAAAGACAAAATTTGTTTTGTTTCTCAATGTAACTTAAAAATATAGAAAATATAATCTTGTTTTTGTTATAATGTGCCTTTTTCCTGCTGTGTTGATTTTATAGATTTTCCTTTTGGAAGTATTGTATTTTAGAGCAAAAGATCATATTCTGTTTTGATTTTTTTTTTTTTTCAATTTTCTGGCATTAGTTATGCTAATGTATTTATGTGCAGCATGGTCGATCAGTATTAATCAACTCACAATCATTACAACTTCTGATGATTCATTCTGACATTTGCTAATTGTAGTTCGTTTTTCAAACCTCCCAAAACTCTTTTATGACATCATGCATACTTAAAGACAATCTCCTTGAATTCACATAATACAAACTATTTAATTTTCAATACTGTATCTTATTCTACTTTCACACATTTTCAGATAGGATTTGTAAACATAAAATCATGAACGTCTGAATTAAATTTAAATATATTTTGATTAATATTTGAAAGATAAGGATGGCCTAGTTTGCATTGCTAAAAATATGGTTATTGAAGCAAAAATTAAATCATGTACCAATAATTATGAGTTAAACAAGTATGTAAATTAGCTAATACTGGTAACCAAAATTAAATAACTTTTCAAAATTATCTATTTCATTATAAATTTTATCATTATCTTTTCAATAAATGACATAAAGCATATCTTACTCACAAACAATATAATGGCCTATGTCTTAAGGTAAATGTAGATATTTAAATATGGTTAATCATAAATAGTATAATATACAAAGAAAACTCCATTTTTTGCTAGAAAAACTTACCATCTGGTGTGCTATAGTCCCCTTCATCTTCCACAATTTCAGCATAATCCGAAATTCCTGATAAAAAGGATGTTTAGTCTTAGAAATACATGCAGAACTTCAAACCAATCAAAAGATATTTTATTGGCAGCCATGAAGTTGAAAAGATCTTATGCAAATAATTATTTATTGCAAAGCTTTTAATAAATGTCTGTGAGATATGAAACTTATGCAGCATTTATTTCGAAAAGAAATAAAACTATTTCTACAGATCTAAAGAATTTTTATATTAAAAATGAATTCCAATATACTTGGAAAGGAAAACACTTACAAAATTATTGAGGTGTATTCAATATTGTTTATCATCTTTAAACAAAAAGATTTTCATGTATGCACTATGAGCAAGAATACAAATGTCTAAACTCAAAAGCAAATAGGTAATAAATAATCATGCTAATAACAGTGGCCTTCATATTCATCATTATTAATAAATATTTTCATGTTAATCAATATTTCAGTGGGTTTGTTTACCACTTTTTAAAACAAAATTCAAGAAGCATCATTTTAAACTGAACAGCTTACTATACTTGTATCCTTTTCTATTTCATTGATGACGTCGTTACTTTTTCATATTTAACTGATCTATCTGCTATTTTTACATCAAAAACATAAATTCTATGAATTTCTTTAAAGTGTGTTTCAATACTTAACATCAAATGCATTATTAGGATAAATTTCTTTGACAAAATAGTTCTAGCTTCATGTTTATTTTAAGTTTATAGATGGCCACTGTTTGTTCACAACAAACCAAATGTCAATAAATGAATTAATAGTAAATACATGTAAAACAAAATAAACAAACTAAAACAGTAAAAAAAAAGAATTAAACAGTATCACATTTTAACTTACGTTCATTAGGACTCTGTGGTTCCTCCACTCTTTCCGTAATTGCATATTTTTGTAAACTGAAAAAAAAAGATGATCGTCTTAAAGTTACAAAATTTTTTTATTCAAACTGACGAAACTCTATTTTTCATGTGCAAAGAAAATAATCAGTTCTCACATAGCTTTCATATTGCACCTAAATGTACTGTGTGTATGCAATGCATGATCTATTGTTCAGATTATAATCTATGAGAGTGTAGCATTTACAAAGCTTTTAAGCCAAGCCAGTTTATATTATCTGACCAAATTTTGTCAGCCAAATAATTATCTGTCATTTATCCCAGAACATGATGAAAAGTTTATGTGAGGACTGAGGAGGTAGGTATAAGTTGGCAACTTTAAACTAACCTACCCAGACAGTAAAGTTAACCTAGCATAACTTTTTAAAGATTTTTTACTAACTTTTTAAAGCTACTTCGGGTACAGGTAAATTTAATCTAGCTGATTTGCCCATGGTTTGCTTAAGAAACAAAATTAAACTAGTTTAACCTAACTGGTGTTTCAAAAGGTGACTAACTACATCTGAACAGGATATTTAGTAAAGACTTTTCTGGTTAGCTTTACATATTCTAAATTTTCAGATTATTTATTTCTATACCTATCATTCTTGCATACCAATGCATATACTTTCTATGTGAAGACAATGCTGTGACACATTATCAACAAAAAATGTCCTCAAAATAATTACAGTGTTCCCATTATTCTTCTCATAGCCAAAATTCTTCATTAACATTAATAACAATAGAAATTCAAATACAACAATCACTTCTAAAGCCTCTGATTGTAGTTATTAGTTTAAACTAATTGCATCAATCAGATTTCTTTACTCAACCATAAACTGTCAAATTAAATGATGTTAATAATTAGTCATTCACTGTCAATACATGTCAAAATTCTATCATCATTTCTACTAATGGAAAACCAGAATTATTCCAGAGTCACCAACATTGGTACCCAATTAAAGAGAATTAGTGTAAAGAGGATCACAGTGTGTGACAGTTACATCCACATGTGGTACTGGTGAGCTGATAAAGATAAATCAACAATACATCACCAAATGCTTGTCCCTGGGATACAAATTAATTTGGAAGACTAAAGTGCATGCTATGAGTTTCATGATATCTAAATGTATGCACAAGTATCCAAATTAAATGCCAAAATGTAAAGATATAGTTTGTGTAACTTGTCTGAAAGTTTCAGCTCAAAATATTTTGCTGTTTATAGACACACATAAAGCCTTTGTTTTTCCATTGTGTGACTTGATAAACACGACTATTTAGAAAAGCTGAAAATATATGCCACAGAAACTGATCAGTAGTAAAACACAAAATTCTATTATTTACTGGAAAACAAAAATATAGGGGAAAGATGTCACTCCCCGTGTGTGGACTGTTGAAAGGGCACAAGGTGACTGCAAGTCCAGAAGCATTCTTCAACCTCCATCACCCTATGTTTCTTTGAAACCGTATCACCAAGCTTCAGGTATTTCTTGGTGCCAAAATATCCAATTCAATATTTTTTTTTCACTAAAATATATCTGTTCACTGAAATATATATGGGACTTCCCTTTTAAATGAACAATCAAATTTTGCATATTTGCCTTAAAAAATGTATATTATTTTGGAAAAGTATTTGTAACTGAAACAATTGCCATTGTCAAGAAGACAAATTAGCAACATTTTTTTTAATGTTGTAGAGACTACAGTTACAATTTTATTTTTTCAGGCCTTCCAAATTTCCTATCAACATTTAATTGTTTATAGAATATATTTTATGATCATAACTATTCTGCTTAAACATATTTGGACATCTATGTTTGCATTCTTGTGGCTTTAACCTTTTCTTTATATAACTTTTATGAGCAGCTCTATAAAGGTGAACATTACTAATGATAACCAATGGTGTGTTAAACTGGAAGATCTAATAATGTTACTAAAATACCTCACTATGTTGTTATCACATACACCTGTGTAATCACCTCTCCAGTAATTGTTGATGTCATACTATCTAGACCTTTTCTAAACTGGCTTTAATTTAACCAACAAAATCAAATCTGACACAGCCATACTGTTGTAAACATGCAAGTTAGTGATTACACAATCTCATAAAAGCTCTCTCAAGTATATTCTACATTTTCCTTTTCACAAATTGATAATTTTTGAAGATAATAAGTTCATCCTAGAATCTATTTAATCTTGGATGATGCAAGGAAACTATAGATGACAAAGTTAAATTGGTTTAACGATCCCCAGGGCTTTTAAACCAGTTCAACTTAACCCTTTCAATGCTAGACGTAAATCCACTGCCTGTGCTAGACCCTTTTTTGAGGAAAAAAGGGAGGTTGGAACTGAATGCCAAGCAGTACTTATGGAAGCTTTTATGAAAAATCTTTTTGTCTGTTGGGATGGGCATGAGGTTGGGCTAAGAGGAAAAAATAGAATGTTGGAAATTTGCATAATAATGTAGTCACGTGACGTCATGGCGGCCATTTTGGATTTCTCATTTCTCACTAAAGCTAACACGAAAACGAATTTTTCTCCATGAAATACTTAAAAGATATTGTTTTTTTCACTGGATTTTGATAAAGATATATAAAATGAACAAAAATATCAATAGCAGTCATGAGCAATGCCGCGCACGAACACGCGCATCACGTCTCCCGCTGCCATGACCACGTGCGGATTGCAATACCTTGTTTTTACTTTCATCCCCAAGTCCCATATCATTATCAATATAGTCAGTCAATAGATCTACACGTTCGGGACTCAGGAATTGCCTACGTCTTTTACGATCCAGCAGGCCAGCATTATTATCAACATCAGAATTATTGTCAGAATCTACTGCAGACACAGGGCTATCGTGTTCACATTGGGCTTGTTCGTCATGCACGGGAGACATAGCTAGCCATGGGCGGAACGTCGCGCAACAAATCACACACTTCATAATACCAATCACTGTCCTGACTACTATCATTATCAAGTAACTGGAAACGAATTATGTGTATCACCCGCCTCGAAATTGTCCACGTGTTGGTCAGCAAGATGTCATTCACGACTTCGTCATGAGTGCATCGTCTACGTTGTCACTATGCACTCCGCCATTTTACGGTTTGCCGCTTTGAAACACGTGGAAATATGTTCTAGTGTATAGAAAATACAATAGATGGCACTTGCAGTTACGGTACTAATTTTATCGAGGGCTTTACTGAGTACACGGTAATACCGGGTACGCGCATTTTACCGACATTTTATAATACCCGGTACTACCGGGTATACGCAGTGAAAGGGTTAAGCGTCTGAACGGGCTATATGTTACTTTACTTGCAGGTAGTGCCATACAGTATATTTTTCAATACATTGCATATACATTTAGCTGCTGTTACAAAGTAGCGAGGTTAAATGGCACAATGAACAACAACTGTTCAAAAATTTACTCTCAATTCTTGTTAGATTTCACATTTTACAATTTCAAACTTCTATAAATAAGGACTTCATAAAATCTACATTGTTTGTTTATCAAGTAATTTCTGACTGATTATTGTTTACTCTTTCTAGAACATCTGTTACCTATTCTCATTTAAGTCATTCACACAGCAAAAACATTTCTGGCTCTAGTTTTGTATCCCAAATTTGATGTGTCCAGTACTACCGGCATTTATATTTTATCATTGCAAAAAAAAAAAAACCCTCAACAAATTATGATCATGATGTATGAGATCATCTCTGGACAATATTGTAATAAAGCCTGTAAACTTTCTCACAGGGAATACCTTTCAGCACACTCTGCACTGCACTAATATAACTTTGGTTTTATCGGTTAACTACCAAATTTAAGCTATATTTACAGTGGTATAACCATGAAACTGCCCAAAGCATATATGTAATACTTTAATAAATACAATCTGGATATCAGTAACACAGTTATTTATGTCTCTCAGCTGACCACAAAAAAATATTTGGCAACTACACAAGTTTATTCTGGCCATATTGAATGAGTTACACCAAATCTTGAATTGCTTTCCTTAAATGTCAGAACGAGCATGTACCTACATTATAATAAACACTAAACAAGTCGCCATGTATAAAAATACCATTTTACCTTTCATATGTCAGGATTCAGCCAAAATGATTCATTCGCTAATTATCTATCTTTTGTAAACTTATAGATATTTTGGATATTTTTGAACAGGAGACGAGTACTGGTAATGTGAAACAGTATTTTGTGAAGGTGCTGACACCATGTGCTTGCATTCTGCATGGGCTAATTTAGACATTTTAAGATATGATTAATATAATTCTATAACTATAAGCCACTGACATATGTGCATACATTTTGTATCCAATTTATAAGTTTGACCATATGTTTATTTTTAAGAACTAGAATTACGCAAAGAAGCTTTTTCTCGATTTTCACTCTCGCTCAAGTACCTGTAATCTTGTCAAGTACATAAAGCTGGCCATTTACATGTAAGGATGAACTAAATAACAGAGTAAAAACAAGTTCTTAAACCAGAAATTACTTGTCATTGACATGGAGGCTTCAGACAGAACAAGTACTTTAGTCTACAGAAAACATGTATTCAAAGCAATTATAATGTAACCTTCTTAATTAAAGAAGCATTATCACTACCACCAAATTATTTCAAAAATAACCTTTGACTCACAAAGAATCTAATTACTGGTTCACATGTGAAATCTATCTCCATTTAAAGTAGCTAAGTCTCTAACTCAATATCATCCAAAGTCTTACACGTTGAAAACACGAATTATTTGTCAATTCAAATCAACATTGATGTTGTTATCTTACCGGGAAAAGGTAGGCTTCTGATATCCAATATTTAAAACAAAATAAGCATTTTACAATTGGTACACGAATCGTGTACCATAGTGCTTTTCATCGTCATTTGTAACAAGTGACCAGAAAGGGCGAGGCTAGACATATTCCACAACTTATGTCATACGGCGACGCCATAACTTATCTGGAGAGCATGCGCAATAGACTGGAGTAACTAGACGCTAGAAATTTCTATTCGGTTGAGACTCGTGCCATATGTCACTGGATATAACTGATTTGAAAATAGAGGCAAAACGGAAACAGTTGAATGTAAATCAGTTCATATACAACCAGATTACATTATTATATGCGATTTAGCTCCTTTAAGCTACTGACTTGGTAACTCATTGGAATATTTGTCTTAAATGCATACAATCTGATCTTAACAAGAAAATTCTAAATACCTGTTCAAATAGAAAATTATTTTTTTTATGAATTACCCGAGTGATAGTGACTTATTAGGAAACATAACTAAATAATGATTGGTTTAAATTGTCATTCATAAATCTAAATGGTATTGAATGTCAGAAATGAAATGGGGTTTAACATCCTACTGTCTGGATAATGTCTACAAATTATACTAACATCTGACCATTATTTCTCTAAGCAATCAAAATCTAATCTTTATCTTTCAGCCTTCATCTGACTGAGTAAGCTAATGTTTCTGTAACAGGAAAATTTCTTAGGTATCTTCAAAAAAAAGTCCAATATCATAATTTTTCTGCTATAATACTAAAACTTAAAATAAAAATGCTACTAACAACATTCTTATATATTAATTACTGGTTGAACTGTCTTAATAACCTACAAAATGCACTAAACTATTTTAAAGAGACGTGTGTACTGTGTACAATGTAAAAGAACTTGAAGTCTTAGTTATCAGACACTCAAGTAAATAATTGAAATACTTTTCTATTAGTAGGCACAATTAGGAGACTTAAAACAAAGATAAAAATAAACTGAATTTACTGGGTGTTTTTCCTGGAGATAAATGTGTAATCAAGTATAAACATATATATAGAGAGAGTATATGAAACTAGAATGTCATTTAATGAATAATTCTTAACATCTGTTACATGCATAAGCTCATATCGGGATTTATAACGAGGTTAAATTTTTAATTAAAACAAATAGAAATGAAAAGAATTTCCATTTTTATCGTTAACTATATCACTATTTCTATTACAGTTCTTTCAGTTATGGGATGGAAACAGTGGGCAATGTTAAATTTGTTTTTACAATTCATTTTTTTATTGCATTATTGAATATTCTGCCATTGTTTCAGACTGTGTATATTAAACAAATTAAATCTGGAATAAAAAAATTTCTAATGAAAGAATTTACTGACTTTCTGCATACCTTACCTACCTATATACACTAACTATAAATGAGAACACACATGAGATATATTATTTTGACATTTAGATTCCCCCATGTAAAATCTTGAATGACCTTTAACATATCAACTTCCATGCAGATAAAATGATGTAAAAAAACTTCAGTATAATATATTTCGACAAGTATATATATATATACACCATGTGTATATCTTTATCTTATTTTTACATGTTCTGCATACCAAATTAGGTATGAAAAAAGGTGTTCAAAATATACAAGAACTTTCTACAAAAAGCAGACAGTTCAGTTTCAAATTAGCAATCACTTCTGACACCCCAGGATATTAGAGCTACATATAATATACCTTAATATACAAATAATTCAAAATCAAACCCAAACCTTATCTGAAATCGAAAAAATCTTCTTAAAACAAAATCAAGTAATTCTGTCCGTCTGGCTGGATTCAACAAATGTTTTCGCAAACGCCATGCTTCCATGTAGAAAATGTAACCACAGATTACTCCAAATACAATCCTGACTCGCAAATTAAGTTAGTTTAATCCTATAGTACACTATGGTGTGACTCAGTCAGTGGTTTCTATCATATTGTGAAGCTTCCTACTCTTCTGTATGTAGAGGTTCATTTTGTAACCATAAACATTCTACTCATCTCGTTCAGTCTGAATTATAGGCTACATGTGCTTACACAACATTTATCGTAAATATATACTCGATTTTATACACTCAACACTATGAAAACCAGTAAAAATAGAGAAACAAGATCATAGTACTACTTCATAAAATAACTTATCATGTATAACTTATAAATATCATATAAATAAAATGTACCCAGACAAGGTATATATGTACATAGAACATGAGTTTAACAAACTTGTATAAATGCACAGAAAGAACTCTTTGTTGATTAAAATATAATTGTGAACCTCTTCATGTTTGAAATCAAATAACATTCATTTTATCATAAATGTAAGAAACAAAGACAAGTGTTATGATTTTTTGGCACTAACTTTTCATGTCTGTCCAACAACATATATCAAGATAACATTCTTTCATAGTTAACCTATATTCAGTTTACTATATATCTAATATCATTTATCATCTTTTAAGATGATTTTTAGACTCATGAAGAAAATATTTTCAAACTGATAGAAAAAAAAAACACAACTTGGGTCAGAAACTACCACACATGAAAATCTTTAACTTGTTGTTCACCAGTGGCATGGCACGAATTCTAGTTCAAATATATAAGATAACTATATACATCATTTGATGTCACAAAGGCCTCTTGGGGCTATTATGAAAAGATAGTACTGAAGATCTTATACTTTCAATTCAAGAATACAAAAGTTGACAAGCCATTCAATATTGTCTTCTAAATTGATTACAAAATGTCATCCATCAAAATTTGTCCTCATTCATCGTGGCCTAGATGTAACATTGATCATATAGCTAATCTGACTAAAGAATTATCAAATACATTTTTCATATATGTAGTAAAAGTTCTACTTACCTAGCTATTGGGGTTCTTGGAATGGTGTCCCCTGAAAAAGAATTAAAACCACGATAAGATTTAGCAAAAAGAGCCCACATAACTACACATGGGCACAAATTCTCATACTATAGTCCAACACCAGTAGAATTAAACAGCTTTTATCCACAAGTTGAACAAAGGCACCATACAGAGTAGAATCGGTCACATGCCATTGAAAAAAAAAATCAATAAGTAGCAGGAATCTTGATTCTGCTTGAGGCTGATAATACTGTTTTTCTGAAGACATTAAACATGATAGAACTACTGGCAGTCTTTTATTGTGATCAAATTCTTGAATAATTAACAAAAATTATCAATGTTAACACCATAAATTTAATAAAGTCACATCATAATCATTTAACTTTTTAACATAACACAGTTTTGGTATTATAGTTTAGGGCAATATTGTAAACAATGTATATCTTGTACAATAATGAATGTTATACATATATTTTCATATCAATTTTTGCAAAGATAAATTTATTGTAGGTAAAACAATGCTAGATTTCCTTTCTAAATTCAGCAATGGTATTTTAATAGTACACTGTTGATCAGAGTTTGCTTATATTGTTGTCAACCAATTTGTAATCTTCAACAATTTGTAATCGTAATTTCTTAACCCGTGCAAGACTTTCAAGTGAAATTCTGGTTTAAATGCATAATAATAAATTTGACATAATGCATCAAATGCGCAGACATGCATAGCCTAAACATAACATCCTTGGCTAGCAGACATCCTGCCCTCTAGTGATAGTTATATTTATTATTTAGAAGTTAAAAATCAGACCAGTTGTTGCAGGTCACAGTGATCAATATTGTACAATTTTTTCTTCATCTGAATTAATGAGACAATGTCCACATTCTTTGTTGTGTTGGCATCTAATTAATTCAATGATCAAGTCTCTTGAGGGATGAATGAATGCGTGTGTGCATGAATTCTGTTCCCAGTACCACCAGTAGCAGAAATTCCATGTCATATAACATTAAAGGATAAATTTGGACCCTTAATTTACGAGATGACAAATCAATACAGAGACATTTGTTTTTTTATTTGCCAATTTTTTTGGCCTAGTGAAAGGTATAATCTGAGAAATTTCAGACCTACAAACAATGGTACAACCAAGTGTTGCTGATACTTCAAAAGAATATATTCAATATTGTACTGATTATTTATATAATTAAGTTACATAATTATGAAATGTATTATACTAAACATATTTCCTTTACACTTGTATTAAGATCATTTTTTAAACATCTTGTCCAGATCAAGTAACAGTTTCCGAATACCAGCAAACCGACAAATACAAAGAAAATTGCAATATTGAACATCTCATGTTTTAACAACACACCATTCAGCAAAATGAAAACATTTTGAAAATTTGCAGGAATTCACTAAAGTATCAATAGGAAGGAAATTAAGCTGACCTGTAGGTCAGCATCAGGTTGCTAGTGTCAATCTAAGGAAATTGCCTAGCAGGATATTTGGAGCCTAATGAATAAAAAGCTTCTAACAGTTTAGGATAATAGCAGTAAAACATGGGATCATAACACTTGTTGATAATGAAATCAATTGTTTGTTGATTGTTTCGTTTTTTGAAGAAATAAATTTGACAGTTATCTATTTAACAATGTCTAAAACTAAATGATTTATTCACACATATGATCATTTTCAAAAGTTTAAAAAATATCAATCCTATTTATATTAAAAAATATATCTATTTGAAATCATTTAAATTTTTCTTTTTTTTTAAAAATTGTTTAATTAAATAATATATTATGAAATTTGACACATAAATAGTCTGTATATCTACTTGATATGTATTGCTCCACTGCCCATGAAATAAAGATTGCTCATTTAATAGTATTTTGTTTATCATGTATTTGTGTAATGACAATAACATATTACTACAACCATAATTAAATTGTGTTCTTAAACAGATAATGGCATGAGTTGAAAGAAATACACACTAAAGTCATGTAACTCTGTGTTTTGAATATAAACATAAAATGGTTTTATTCCTGTTCGGAGAACAATCATTGAGATTTTTTACAAATATCACTGGCAAGTCTGAACAATGGAATCGATACAAAATGCTTTCATCTGGTGTCTGTGTCAGGCCATGCACGTGCACGTAAAAACTAGATCAATTTGCGACTAGGCTGGTTCAATGAGCCTTGATTAAGCTTTTATTGGCGAAAGTTCTGCACAAGCATTTCATGTACAAATCAATATTTGACAATTTTCTGTTGGATTATGATCAAATCCAGCTGAGAATATTGGCTATGATACCCTGTCATTTTTATAAGTTGTATTTAAATTATAGGACAACAGGCTGTGCATTAAGAGATATCAGTTCTTTTATTGTGTTTCATAATTTAATCAGTAATACTTATTGATCACATATTTTTTTTTGATTTAAATAACACTAACACCATTGTCACTGATAATTATTATCATACTGAGAAAATTCTGACTCCGTATTTTTTTAAATAGTCTACAAATATGAGGAATTTTTTTTATATTTTATTTGCCAAATCTCAAGAGATTCATCTGAAGTGACAAATAGAACTTTTTCACAAATGCATGTTTTCATGATTCATACAAGAATGATACTAAAATCTTGCAAAAATATCACTATTTTATGATTTTATCCACTCTTGTGATTCACAATTCCGTCCTAGAGATGCAGGTCTCTATAAAGGATCACTGCAACAGCAGCCGCCTTTATTAGATTTGTGGATTATGGAAAATAAATAAAGATAGAATTGAATGAGTAATTGCTTTAATTTCATCAAATTATAACTGATATCTTAATATCTTCATGGTAAAATCTGCAAAGCGAGAATACAAATCTTAATCACCATACAATCAATAAGCTATTTCAGAGTGACAAATTTCATCAAGGCACCCCAGTTTTATGAAGAAACAGATGACCATTGGCTAGTTAACTACCGAATACTAACCAGTCCATTATGCCAATGTTCGCACTAAGACTTTCTCCTTGCATGTTTCTTGATAAATTGGCATCCTAAAATAAATCGGCCATAATTGGCACTTATAGATTTTGTTGTTAAGCAAGGCATTAAAAGGCACCCCAAGGGACAGTTCATGTCCACATGATGTCTTAAGAAAACCAATTAATTTGCATTATTTAAGCAAATGGACACTTCCTTTCACTCACGCCCTTAAACATTTATTTATTTACATTTTAGCTTTCAAATTAAATGTATCAACCTATCTTAATACTATGAACATGATTTCATCAGTAGCTTATAAATCCTGAGAGCAATAGTGTTTATTTAGCCCCCACCCCACATTGAAAGACTTTTAATTAAGGTATTTTTACTAAAAAGATTCTTGAAAAATACCTAATATCTGCACATGGCATATTGATATGTTGTGAGAATCAATCCTTCAAGAGAGATGTGATGCTTTTGTCAGATCTCAATTATACATTGGCACTTTTATTCTGAGATTGATGTCTACATATAGTTTGAAACTTAAATTTCCTCTACCAAAGTCTAAGTTCCTAAAATATATTAACAGCTTTGTCACATTCACTGGAATATTTTGTCGCACGCTGTCAGTATGTTATTTAATATCAGCCAAATTTTCATTAGTTTCACAGAATTGACCAGACATTGCAAAGTATAAAATATAATGTGTTTTAACATGATAAATGATGACTAATCACATGAATAATGCTTTGATTTTAAGATTAGCATTAAACTCACAAAACTTCTTAAAATTAAACAAACTTCCCATTCATGCAAATTAGTATTATATTTAGAAACAAATGTGACAAATTATAAACTTCAGTCTTTCCTGCAGAAATCTAATAGTATCTTGATAACTAAATAATTTTTAAACTTTTTCATCTGACAGGGTAGACAAGGACTTGAATTTTAAACCCAGATATCATGAGCTATCAGTGCTTGATGCTTCATAATACATAATATCAATTTTTTATCTCTTGTACTGTATCCGATTTCAATGTGAAGGGGAATCAATGATTCAGTGAAAACAACTTAAAAACTATGAATCTCTTTAATCTTTACAGGTATCTTAATATTGTCATTAATTATACATAAATTATAAAATAATTATTACTAAAATCCTTTTCAAAGGAACAACATGCTGAAACTATTTGTTTTCATATTAATTTAATAATAATTCCAAATTGGATCATTAAAATTTCAGAACTTTTCTTTATTGGTAATTTCATGATAGCAGTTCACATTAATCCTTTTTACCAATTTTTATATAAAAAAAAAATCTTCCATTATCAAATTAATGACGGAACACTAAATCATTCAAAATCTGAAATTTAAATGACCCTACTATATCAATTAATACATGTAATTAACTCACTTTAAAAAAAAATTAAACAAATAAAAGAATAAACAATAACTGAAGTCACGGTGCTAGGTAAAAACTAAAATCTGAAACAAGGGAATGGGAGATAACTCTTGCATTACCTTCACTGTCACTACTAGTATCTTCTCCTTCGTCATCCGAGTCGTAGTTTAAACTTATGTAGGCTTTACGCAATGGCAATGTATCATCTGTGAGTACCACAAATATATTTTAGATTTTATTTATTAAGTTAAAGTTAGCAATGGTGATTAAGTCACTAGGAATACTTAAATAAAAGTCATTAAAGATACAGTTTTGTACACAAAAACAAGGATCAAAATACATATAGAAGAATTTTGGAAAAACATTTATTTTTCAACTTTTATTTGCCTTACATATCATTGTATTATTAAAGATGCACTATACAACCAAATGCTGATTTGAATAGTGCACAGAAGAGGTAATTAGTTTGCCAGGAAACGAAAAATATGCCCACAGCAGCTAAATTGTTCGACAAGGTTTGTAGGTAGTTGATGCATTTAAAAGACACTGATATCAATTTCATACAGATCAAATGTTCACAAGGTTCAACAAAGTGAAAAAAGGGCCATAACTGTAGAACTGAAATTGCTAAAATTCAATAGGCTTCTTCATTTTACTAATCTCAATAATGCATTTTAAATTACTAATGATCAGATGATAACTTTTGTCATCAGAGCATTCATAAGGGGTTCAACAAAGTGAAACAATGGCCATAACTCTAGAAATAATTAATAGCTTCTTCCTTTCACTGATCTAAATAATGCATATAAATTTCATACAGATCGGATCATAACTGTTGTCGAGAGAACTCCACAAGATTCAACAAAGTGAAACAAGGGCCATAAATCTAGAAGTTATAAACAGAAAATGCTCAAATTCAATAGGCTTCTTGGTTTCACTAATCTTGTAAATTTAATACAGATCAGACGATAACTTTAGTTGTTAAGAGTGTTCACAAGGTAAAACAAAGTGAAACAAGGACCATAGCTCTAGAAGTAATTAGCGGTAATTGTTGAAATTAAATAGGTTTCTTTGTCTCACAATATATATTAATTTTGAATTAATCAGATAATAAATGTAGTCTGTTGACGATGGATGGACATACCGACGGCAATATATGACCACATTCCCATGTGGGTGTATAAAAATGAATATTGGTAAAGGGCAGTGTTTTGCTTATGCAGTGTTAATCCAATTTGAAATTATATCTGTTCCACGACTAATCTTCTTAATTATTAACCTTATATCATTGAATCTAATGTACTTAATTAGTTGTTTAATTATTATGAATTTGGGGTAGGCATATGTCTGAGACCTTGACTCGAAAGACATGTACAAAAGGTACTATAAGATCCTTTATAAATAAGGGCTTTGGTTTTAATAATTCTCTCAGAATTCATCAAGTTAATTTCAGTAATATTATCTGATTCTAGGACAAGAATTTGACCTATGGGATGTATTAATATCATACAGATTATTTACATTACCCTGTATAATACACAGAACTTACATCCATAACAATATCATTATTTACTTTAATAACTTGATATTGATCACACCCAAAATAAAGGTTAAAGGTCATAACTTTCTACATCTAAGTGCATCCTGTTTTATGGGTAAATGTTTAACTTTCTATATTGATAAGTATTAGCTTTACATATATAGGCATGATAAAAGAACGTATCTGCAGTCAATTTGTAGACAATTATATATGAAAGTTTTAAGTAAGTATTAAAATAGTCTGTTGATACATGACAATGATATCTGCCTAGTTGATAGGATGGGTTAACAACTTTGGTATCATTTGTGAAGTAGCCTTAGATAGTTTTAATTTTAACAAAAGTATGGTCAGTGGAAATAAAAATTGTCCCAGTCACAGTTCTCTTAACAGAAAAAAAACTAGCGCTTCATAATTTTGTTCTAAAATGACCAAAGCTGAAAATAGTGTCCTTTAAGCCCAGTTTTAAACCTTTTTTAAATTTCCCACACGAACAATCTTCGGCCAACAAATGTTTGCGTTGAAATCGGCTAACTTTTGTTGGAAAACATTGTTCGGCGAAGAAATGTTGGCTGGTCTGCGATGGGCTTTAGACATTAAATCCCATGCTATAACATTGTATTAATATATTTATTCCCCTGACCACCCTCGATTTACCTAAGTGCACATGTGAGAAATACTAGAGTAAGTTAACATTTGATTTGTACGACCTTATACATAGTTATTAGGGGGATAGTGGGTGGATGACATTAGCAATCATATTACTAAATGTCAAAAGTGAAGTCCATCAGTATGAAAAACATTTAATATGGCTCCAATATAAACATGTATCAAAACAAACAACCTGTGTATTAAAAATAGAATAAACAACAGGTTTACATTCACAGATACCAAACTTTCACAAGCTTCAGAATAAAATAAAACATTACTCGACAGGATTGCGAGTGAAATGTCAAACACCAATTTCTTCCAACAGGAAGAATGGTTGGCTTCCTGTTTATGAATAATTCATCTGAATCAAAATGGTGGAATCATTTCCTTACCCGATCACTGACAAAACCATCATTATTATAATGTGTTTTATAATCACACAAGTTATTTGGTGCATTCTCTAGTATTAGTCTATGTACACACTTGTTGGAACTTTTATCTTATTTCAAAGAAGTCAGGTTTTACAAAGCTCTCTTGTCTTTTTATATCATATTACAACTGCACAAGATATATAAAACAGTACAAAGACATCACACACAGATAAACAATATAGTATAGATCTATCACAATTTCAAATAAACATTTATTTACAAATGAACAATGTAGATTATAAAGATAGGTTGCCAGGCAACAAAACATACACCCACAGCAGCTAAATCGTCCGAGCGGTCGTCAAGGGTTGTCGCATATTTATTCCTTTGTAGATAATTGGGGGCCTTTACAAGACAGTTCCATACATATCAGATTATAAATTTTGTCGTTTGAGGGTTTACAAGGTTCTACAAACTGAAACAAGGGTCTCAACTCTGGAAGTAATCTACAGAAATTGTTGAAATTTGACAGGCTTTTTCGTTTTACTAATTTAAATAATGGATATAAATTTCATACAGATCACATGATGACCTTTGTCATTCAAACGTTCACAATCGCCATAACTCTAGAAATTATTGACGGAAATTGCTGAAATTCAATAGACCTGTTTCACTAATTTAAATGATGCATATAAATTTCATACATATCGGATGATAACCATCATCAATCGAGCATTAACAAGGTTTAACAAAGTGAAACAAGGGCAATAACTCTAGAAGTAATTATTGTAAATTGCTGAAATTCAATAGGATTTTTCGTTTCACTAATTTAATTTATGCATATAAATTTCACAAAGATCCGGTGATAACTTTTGACGTTAGAGCGTTCACAAGGATCAATAAAGTGAAACAAGGGCCATAACTCTAGATGTAATAAACGGAAATTGCCGAAATTCAATAGGCTTCTTCGTTTCAGTAATCTAAATAATGCATATAAATTTCAGAAAGATCAGATGATAACTTTTGGCGTTAGAGCGCTCACAAGGTTCAACAAAGTGAAACAAGGGCCATAACTCTAGACGTAATAAACGGAAATTATTGAAATTCAATAGGCTTCTTCATCTCACTAATGTAAACAACATATATCAATTTTAAAACAATTGGATGATAACTTTTGGCGTCAGAGCGTTCACAAGAAATTGTGGACGACGGACGGACGGGGGCGACGGCAATATACGTCCACATTTCAATGTGGGCGTATAAAAATGTATTACCATCTACAAGTTTACACACCTTATTATGTATTTCTTTTTTGTTTTGGTTTAATTAAACAAGATAATATATAAATATTATATATAAAAATATATAATATCTTGTTTAATTAAACCAAAAAAAAAAAGAAGGGATAATCATCATACTAATAAGAAGAAATTTAAGTGGGTTTTGTACATCATTAAATGAAGTATAATGTGCAGACATTGATTACAAGACATTTCTCTGTGGTGCTCCTTTCTGGAAAACAACAATTCACAAGTGATAGGGGGTATTGTTTAGAAGTAACATGAAAACTATCTCACCTTTTTTAGTCCATAAAGTTCCCTGCATGTCATGAACTAGACGACAATAACCATCTATTAGATCTGCTACATCCTCCGCTATATCTAATGTAACACATGTTATCATAAGAGGCTCAGCAGCTCCCGCTATTTTCAATTGTAATATTCCCTTTCCATCTTCACTACCTACTGTCTGTATTGACTGAACCTGAGCAAAATCAGCCATATGTGTTGGCTTAAAAATAAAAGGGAAGAATTTGGTTTTAAATTTGTGATCAACCATACTATAAAATATCCAAAAGTCATCAAAATTGCAACAAAAGACATAACATCTTTGGAATTACGAACAATTTAAATTTTAAATACCATTGGCACATATCCTAGTATGGTCAAATTTAAAATACAGAATATAAAAAGAAAAGAAAACTGGTGAAAAATAAAAAAAATCTGAAATTCTCAACAAATACTCAATTTTAAATATTACCGATGAGGCTTTTTCTGTAAGATAACTAATACCACAGTCCGGACCAACAACTATTTCAACATAAATACTCCACCCAGACTGAAAAATAATAAAATAATAATATAAATCATTAAGAAAATATATGTCAAATAAAATTAATTTATCTTAATCATTAAAATAGCCAATTAATCAGTCATATGACAGATTAAACCTAGAATAACATATTTGTTGCAAAATATGTTATGCCATTTGCAGCATTTGGGTAGAGAATAAGAAACAGAGAGAGAAATTGGGTTTATATCCACTCGACACATACTAGGTCATTTTGAGACTAACATATACAATTTTATTTCAATAATTTGCTTTTGTGTAGGGGTCTTTTGCAATGGGAGGAATCCGCCATGTTGGGTAGGTGACAATACTCTTTGTCAGGTGCACGCTCGAGATAGAAACTAGAGGACCCATAGTAAAACGATGAGCTTGGGTAGACAATCCCACTCCTTGTCATGTACATCACTTTACACATCGACAGACCTTATGAACAAAAAAACATTGAGACTGATGCATCCCCTGCCTCAATCCCCAAATAAATAGCTGATACTCATATCTTTTTATACAATCAAATAGTTTATCACTCATTATTGAACTAATATTTGTCAAGGTATTGATTAATGGAACGATAAACCTGCTATTTGTGGTGAAGACCTTCTTCAGACTAATTTTATTTCAATAATTCGCTTGCGCGTAGGGGTCTTTAGCAGTGGGAGGAACCAGGGGGACCCGAAGAAACCCCACAAGGTTGGACAGGCAACCCTATTCCTTATCACGTACATCCGGGGAATCGAAACCACGTCAGTTGACTCAATGACAGACCTAATGATACAAGGCGCACATGCAAACCATTTGCCCGCCCCCCTCAATATTATATAGAGAACTCATATCACTATAATATTGGTTATAATAGTGAAGTTTGGTTTTTTAAATGCCACAATACATGTACACCATTTCATTTGGATTCCTACATTCTAACTTGCTGTTTTAATAGGCTTGTTCGTGACAGTAGTGTAGTGAAATCTCATATTAATGAATATGCATAAATGTTATCTTAATCTGCAATTTGTATTTAACTTAGTCAAATAATTAATAACCACTGTATATACACAGTAATTTAGTCTTAAATTATTGCCATTAGCAAATACTGAAACTTTTTTTTTCTCTATCTCTCTTTAAGTTGGTTTAATTTTAAGAAATGTAATTTTACTCACCCCTAAAGCACACTTGAATCTTTCCTGATTAAATTTACTAACTATAAACAATGTTTCAAAAAATTTATACACACACTCTGACTCTGTTAATTGTGCATATTGACGAAAATGGTGTTGTATAAGTTTGCGTAGCTGTTTGGACTGGAAAATAATAACAGAGATACCGTGAATCAGAAAAGATCTAATAGGACCTACATTATCTTAAAGAATAAGCCTCTAACAAGAATTTAATATATGTAATAAATATCAGTAACTAGCATCAAGATGGAATACGGAGATACAAATTAAGCTATACAGTTTATAATAATTTATGTCATACCTTCATAGTATCTATAACGGTCTTCGGTAAAAATCGTTTTAAACCAACTTCTTTTTCTAAATAATCAAAATTAGACTTTTTATCTAATGCTACCTGTGGCATATCTTTGAAAAAGCGTCTGAAATATAATACAATATCAAATTAGTTAAAATGTATGGTTAATTATACATGCAATATGAAATTAAGCTTTATTTCTGCAATATCAGAGTTAATTTAATTTCAGATGAAAATATAATGTAGTTCTTCAAGATGATAGCATGTTGTCCAAAAGCATTCAATGTAATCACTTTATAATACAAGCCCAAAGGAACTGACAGTGGTTATATTTTGGGATATAAATACTGAATATACATAAAACACCATCAGTGTACATTTGGTCGATTAAAGTTGCATTAGTGTCAAGTTGACTTGCTTGTCAGTTACGGACGAAGTTATTCTTCCTACATTATATCCTATATAGACTACATTTCCACTCAGATCTTCACACTTTTTTTCAAACTGAGCAAATCAGGTATTCACATTTTGCTATATTAACCAATACATGTGCATAGTCAATCTGATTAAAACAGATCCTATTCCTATTTTTGACGTGAGTTACATGTAACTGTAGGTAACCCACTAGAAACATCAATGCTGATTGGTTAATCAAATGTCTAACGTCATAGGCTATGACCTCTGACGCAACCTGAGAGAGAGAGAAATGGGGTTTAACGTCCACTCAACACAAACTAGGTCATTTCAATTTTATTTCCACAATTCGCTTGTGCATAGGGATCTTTAGCAGTGGGAGGAAACCGGAGGACCCGGAGAAAACCCACGAGGCTGGACAGGCGACCCTACTCCTTGTCATGTACAACCGGGGAATCGAAACCACGGCAGTTGAACCCACCCTGATGCAACCTCCCTTTACAAATGTTCAAATCTTCATATAGTAGAGGCCATGGAAAGTATAAGAAAACGAAACGAAATATAGATCTGTATTTTAATCAGATTGGTGCATAGTGATAGACATTCGTTCGTTCGTTTCTGGTGTTTTACGTCCACTTCCACCTAAGGTGATATCGTAGACAAAGTGATAGACATGCAGAATCCAGATTTTTATAGTCCTGGCCATCAGGTCACCAATTTGTTCTTTGACTAGATGTAGATGTAATTCATGTAATTCAACACATAAAAAATGACATGGTGGCTGTTAAATTTGATTTTGTGTGAAGAAAATTGAAAAATTGTGTTATAATTTTTATAATTATCCACATTTGTGTATATTTTGATTTTTAAATAAAAGAAAGTTAAATCTGGAGAATAATACCAGACCAGGTTTGAGTTAAGCAGAATACATGGCCAAGTTGATAAAATCATGTTATATCCAACACTGAGTGACTGGAAATCTCTTTGGATTGAGTTGGTGTTTCAAGTACGCCAGTGCAACACCTATGTAACAACTTAAACCAAAACTTAAAATGGCCAGTTGTTTACTGGTAGTATATTTACATGTTGAAAGATGGTTGCTTTCATTTCTGACACTTGGCCTGCAGAGTTAACATAATCTTAAATTTCTGTCAGCTTTGTCTGATAAAAAAAATACTGATTTGACATATTCTGTATGTCAAGAATTGCTAGTTTATTCAGGTGTCAATCTGATCAGATTTCACATTAATGTAATTCATCACGATAAGTATTTTCTTATAGTTACCTCATTTCTATACAAGCAAGTTTAACAGCTACATCATGATCAATATGTTCTGCTATATCTCTCATATAGTCATTCCGTATCTAGAAAAATACACACATTTTTTAATCAATGAGGTAAATATCAAGTTCTATTACCATCACAAGTAAAACAATTAGTAAATGTGCAAACTGATGAATCATAAAGATGAAACTTGAGATTTACTATTAAAAGAGAGAGAAATGAAGCTTAGTGCCCACACAAAACAACATAAAGTTCTAATTTAAGATTTTTATTTTAGGATATTTTCGTAGGAGGAAACCAAAAAAACATGTAGAACTCTGAAACCCACATGACATGACTGGAGAGGGATTCTACTCCTTGTCATGTACAAGCTTTCTTTTTTATTACCTGATCATATAAATAGTAGAATGTAACTTTATCTTTGGCATATAAATCCTGAAAGTTTTTAGGAAGGTATCGAACACGTAACTCTGTCCTGAAATAAGTAATTAATAACTTATAATATTTGGATGATGTTTAATTATGAACAGTTTATCTCGTCAGGGCTGGCAATCACCAGGCATATTGAATCGACAGTGACAATTTGGTAAAAGACCGATAGTGAGAGAGAGAAAGAGAAATGGGGTTTAACTCCACTCAACACAAACTAGGTCATTTCAGGACTAACACATGGTTCAATTTTATTTCAATAATTCTCTTGCGCGGAGGAAACCGAAAGACCAGAAGAAAACCTACAACGTTGGACAGGCGACCTTACTCCTTGTCACCGGGGAATCGAAACCACGCCAGTTGACTCAAGACAGACCTTATGATGCAGCGCACAAACGCTAACCATTCGGCCAATCAACCCTCCAATACTGATAGCACCCGTATCCATATGTGGATTCCCTACAGTTTGATTAATGATAACATGTTCAAAAGAAGATTTGTTGGAGTTAAACAAAGCCTGTAGAATTCAAATTTTACACTTGGATAGAAAAGACTAAACACATTAAGATACTTGACAGATACCTCACATTGCGATCGCAACCTAAGATTTTTGCCAATTACCTTACAGTACTATGTATGTGCAACTTGCACAAAAAAAGATTTTCTTAAATAACAGGTTGATTTTAAAAGGCGGTTAAAAAAAAAACAAGAAATAATCCTACTGATAAGAATGGAATAAAATCTCTATTATTTTCTGAGATCCTATTAGTTTTTTTATTGTGCATTCTACATACACAATTCCTACTTCACACAAGAGATCATTTAATTTTTTGTCAGGAACTCTATGAATATATTAACACAGAGAAAAGTCATGCTAACCCCATAGACAAATGACATGTTATTCCATAAGTTAAATAACCACAGTTCTATATTTCAAAGAGATAAAATATTTATGTAGGAAAAATGTCAATAATATCATATTGCACCTACCTCCATTCTTCAGGGGGATGTTTAGCTTCATATTTCTGTCGAACTTGGTACATTGTGAGGTTGTTATGCAGCCAATAATTCTCACGGGATTGGGTATGAACAAGTTTTAATGCGTAACATTTTGCGTAAAATCTGACACCAGCAGCTAATCTTCCGACAACCAGTTTAATAATATCCTGAAAATAAACAAAATATACCAGACTGCAAATATTTGATGCTTAAGTAAAATCATCATTTTATTTTACATCATCCAAATAAATGTGAATATTAACAAATCTAAGTCAAAATCATTATCAGATACAAGCAAAAGTTATTTACAATCTGGAGTCAAGATTCTGTCCATAAGTTCAATCGTGTGTCCCTATGAAATGAAATGAAATGGGGTTTAACGTCCTACTGTTTTGCTCCTAAACTGGGCTAATGAAGACGGGCATATGCCATACAGTGTGCTATGAGGGAAATTTTGCCCGGGCAGCAGCGCTACGGCCTACTCTTATATCAAATTCCAACTGCCAAGCGATCTTTTATGTGCACGCCAATTTGTACACGGGACCTCGGTTTTTCGTCCCATCCGAATGACTAGACAGCTGTCCTTGTCAGGCCCTCCGTCCTGCTTCACTGACAAGGGGAAACCACGCCGGAAAATCTGAATGAACTTTCTCGGCCAATGCATATTTTTCACTATAGAAATAAAATGAGACATGATGTTTAATCTTTATTCCAAACAACTAGGATATTACAGGATTAAAATAGCAACTTTTGTAACTTTAAGAATTTCCTTATACAGTGAAAACCCACAAGGTCAAATAAGCCTCCTTTAGTGACCCAATTCTTGGAGAGAAATCACATTCAGTTATATCTACTGTACATGGCACTGTTTGAGGCCATTTACCTCCGCCATTGTAACTATAGAAATTGCATGTGGCTGTACAAATCCTAATTTGTAGGATTCTCTCTTCATATCTAAGTTGAGAGCAAAGTGGTAGAATAATTTTATTTAAAGTAGAAAACTATTTTTGTAGGAGCACTCTGTGTCGAGTTCTATAAAGTGAAGAGCATTTGAAAATTTTATGTATGACTCGAACAGAATATGATACCAGTGACAAGTTGCCATTTATTGATCACCATGCTTTATAACTGCATCTTTCTCTATCATCTCTTTACACAGTCCACCCTAGATGATTACTAGCTCGTTAATACAGATAAAAAGTCATTAGTGCACCACTTTACTGGTGATCTGTAGGATAATAGTCTAATGCTAAACATAGTCTCTATTTACATCATCCAGGATGGTATTAATCTTCTACGAATCATTAATTACAATGATTAAACTTTCAAATATACTACGTCAATTACAATTTTTATATACTATGTCATGATAGACATAAGAATAAAGAAATCATGATTTTATCTTTATTTTTAAGTAAAGCTGTACACTTGTAACCTATTATATATAATTTGGCCTGTAACTGTTGGATTTTAATTACTTCTTAGGAAGCTTAAAAAAGGTAATGAACAGCAGCATGAAACAGGTCACTCAATGAAAGATAGGTTGCCAGACAACGAAACATACACATACAGCAGCTAAGACTTCTGGGCAGTCAACAAGGGTTGACGCTTATTTTTTTCTTTCGTTAGTAAGGAAAACATTTACAAAACACTAAAATCTGATTACGAGTAACAACCCATTCAGTAATAATCAGAAATCAATAGAATTGTTTGTCTCATGACCTTCAAATTCTCCAGCTTGCTTCCCCCTTGTCAGTGGTGTAGGACAGAGGGCCTTGCAAGGGACAACGTATAGTCGTTCAGATGGGGCGAAAAACCGAGGTCCAATGTACACATTGACGTGCAAAAGGAATTTGAAATATGAGTACCGGTAGTCTGTAGCATCGCTGTCTGGGCAATATTTCCCTTATAGCACACTTCATGGCATATGCCCGTCTTCATTAGCCTAGTAGGAGCAAAACAGTAGGACATTAAAAAAAAAACATTCCATTTCATTTCTCATGCCCTTAAAGACTGTGTATAAATTCATATTTACTCTGGCTTCTAGAGCATCAACAAGATTTCTTAAGTGACCAAGGCCATAACACTGGCAGTAATTATCAGAAATCATTGAAAAGCAACAGGCTTCATAACTTTAATCACTCTGTCTAAATTTATAGTCATTCATATATCAACTTTAGCCTCTAGAGTGTCCACAAGATTTTTTAAAGTGATTAAGGCTCATTACTCCAGCAGTTCTCAGAAATCAATAAGCTTCTTTGTCTCATGACCGTAAACACTGTGCATAAGTCAATTGAATATTAACTTTAACCTCTAGAGTGTCCACATGATTTTTCAAAGTGATCAAGGTTCATAACTCTGACAGTAATTATTGGAAATTGGTGAAAATCAAAAGGCTTCTTCGTTTCATGACCTTTAACACTGTGTATAAATTTCAAGTCAGTCAGTTAACTTTAGCCTCTCAAGCAATTGTGGTTCCGGACCAATGACAATAATATACAACTACATTTCATTATGTGTGTATAAAAATGGAAGGCAACCATTCTAAAAGAAGTTATGCAACCTGCATAAACTGTTTTAACATCCATTTCCAAACAGTTAAAATTTTCCAATGAAACTCGATTTTAACGAAACTTGATATATATTTCTGTCTCCCAAAACTCTCGGTCCCTTTCAATATTGGAATGCATTGGATCATAACTTCATGGATTATCCCCCTGGTTGTTCGAAAAATCAAGTTTTTAGCTGTTACACCGTAATGTCGGTTGAGTTCGAATTTCGTGAAGATGGGACCAACACTGACGGACATAATGGCCACCCCTCGTACGCAAATAGTGTAAATATATGGTATATATCAAGGTTGTGGACCCTCTAGAAGTCAGTTTTTATCCGATTGAATCATTGAAATGTATGATTATAATCCAAAGATCTTGGTTCCTTTCGATATTTGCGCTTATCAGACCGTAACTTAATGGATAATGGCCCCTGATTGTACAAAAAATCATATTTTTAGCTTGTGGATTGTGGACCCTCTAGAGGTCATAATTTTTATCCAATTTTAAAAAATGTTTAAATGTATCTCCGTTTCACACTAATGACAGTGTAAAAGTATGTAATACAAAGGTTATGGACTCTCTGGAAGTCACAATTTTGATGAAACTTAAAATATATCTTTATATCCCAAACATCTCTGTCCCATTCGATATTCGCACATATCAGACCATAACTTTCTGGATAATGGCCCCTGATTGTACGAAAAAGTGTTTCTCTATCCATCTCTTGCAAAATGTGGGCGTATCTTGCCTGGCAACTCGGCTTTTAATTCATAAAAATTGCACCACCATCATCAAAGTTCAATAAAAATTTTTGGGTAAGTCTATCCAATAGTGTGGTTTGCTTAAATTTGCACAATTTGGTAAACGACAGAAGATATTTATTATCTATTATACTGTCTGGTACCAAAAATCCAAACAAAATTGTATAACAGGTCCAAAAGCTATACATTCTATTGGTAGCGATTATGTCAAAATGTGGTGCCAGTATGAGTATAATTAAGATACAATGTGAGTAAGTTATTGATCTGTCTCAGATCTACTGTAGACAACATCTATTCATCATTTAGTGGAAATACAACATCAGCTTTCTATCTTCCTACACTGTTTATCAATTTATCTTTTCAATTATATCAGTCACATCCATTATATTTCTCAATTACTAAAAATGGCACAAACATTTTGGTTCCACAAAAACATTATAATTTGCATTTAAATCTAAAATAACCTACAGTTTCAAAATTATTGGTATTTATTATTCTATATCATAATGCAAATGAGTGTAATTGTGCCTTGATACTTTAAGAGTAACATTCAGTGATCAATTCAGTGAATCGACAGTGTGGTGGAAGTTCAGTAAAATGTTGTATTCCAAAAACTAAAATCCAGTGTATACCATGTTAATCACTGTATGCCAGGGACATCCACTGGGAAGAAATAATTAATAATATATATGTGACACCCTAGCAGCTGCCTAGTCACAATTAAGTATTTTCTATTGCTTGACATGAATGTGGGCCTATATCTAATTTTGTGCAAAGTAGTAATATGCTGCTGCTGCAAAAAAAATAGAAATAGGGTGGATAGAATGATTTCTTAACATTATTTTTTTACTGTATCTTTATTTAATCAGTGATTCATAACAGGAAATATCATTACAATATAATACATTAAGCTTAATTGTTATTCATCTAAAATTCATAAATACATCTACTTTAATTTCCTTTTGAACTATATTGTTATGTTTGATCAAAGTCAACATTATAAACTGTGCAATTATTACTATTCTATTTACATGATGCTAGTATATGATATTAGGCCGGAGTTAATCATATAATAAATAATTGTTAATTTACATCAATCATGTAGTTATAAATGTCAAAATACTTAATAACTTCCTATTGAAATAATAATATCCATATTTGACCTGATTTTATACAAATTGAATCAGGTTACTTGCAAGTATTTCTTCAATAGCCTTTTCCCTTTTATGATATGCAGAGATATAATACATGTATTGTTATACAAGCAATTTCTAAATTACAACATGCAATCCATTTCCGTTGGTTATGACCGTAGCTAAAAACTGCAGAATAATTTAATAGTAAATGGTTAAAATAGTATTATTTACCCATACCCATGTATTGGGTGGGGATAAATATTTCAGATCAAAATAATGGAAACACCCTCTTCCCTCCACAGCAACACACAAATTTGTATGTGTGCACATGTAACACGTTCAATTCATCATGTCTCATATTCTTTGGAGAATGAGAAGATCATCTGCTATTGTTCATTAGATATTTGCAACTGAACCAATGAGACATTCAGTCATAATACCTTAATAGGTGTGAATCTTGTAAATAAATTAGAAAAGAAAATGTGACAGCAATCAAAAGTTGTCAAAACTGTTACACTAGTTTGGGAATGGTGTAATAAAAGAGTCAGGGTGTTTAGTCTCTTGGAACATTTGATACCAATTTTTCTTGAACTGTTGTACTCGATGAATAGAAAGACCATGTGCCATAGAATTGATCCATGATCAGCCAATTATGCTCAGAACATGTGGCAAATAAAATGGAAATCAACAGCAAACTTCACTCTATGTTAACCTGAGTATATTTGTGTTTTTGATTGCATGTATTATGTTTCTGATTGGTTTTGAGCAACATGATGAAAGGCAACCTAAACACAAATAATAAAGATGGGATGAATTATTAAGATTAGTCTGAGCAGAAATACTGTCTGATGAAAACCTGGCGGTCGACCATTAACTATATTAGACACAGACTACTGTAGCAGACACACTAGGTGACTAACAGGTGAATTCTTTTGATCATAATAAGCTTAAATACTGCTAGTTCAGAGAATTATTTATGATACTAAAATGAATTATTTCTTTGTTATTTCTACTGAAGCATAAAAATATAACCATAACATTGTTATCATAACACACATAAGTATCACATAAAAAAAGCCTAGTTTAGATATACATAGGAACCGGTTAAACATTTAAATACACTATTTCTTCCTGTATCATTTTGTCAATTGTATGCTCACAGGAAAGATCCTTCACAGTGATTAAAAAAAACTATACCATTTATCATTTGTGAAGCCAAGTTCGATCTTGTTCTGGGCATTATGAAGGCTAATCTGCATTGATCATCAATGTAACTCCATACTCTTTCTGCTGAATAAAACTGCCATATGAGATACCCTAGTATTAAATCGCTTTTACCAAGATAATGTGATCATTTTTTAATGTCACAATCACCTAAACACCAAAAACCAGGACAATATTTTGCAAATGAAGGTTTCTTAAATGTATTCAATGATGAATCATTAATGAGGACCAAGGGGTAAACAGATCACCCAATTTGTAACAGAAATCAACGCAATGGATATTCAGGGAAAGGCAGTGTGTTATTTTGATAATCTAAGAGATGGTTCGAAACAAAGTGGGTAAAACAGATGAGGACAGTTTTTCTGCAAAATTCAATTTAGAATTTGCCATGTATGTTCAGCCTTGTAACATTTATTACCATACATATTTCCAAAATATTCACCAATCACAGGGTGTTTTCCAGATGTTTTATTATGATGAGTAATTCTCATTTTGGACTTGTGTATTTTGGACTTGTGTCCAATGGGAAATAATCTGATTTTATATTGCTACAGAGAATAGCTGAACTGTAAAGGGTGTGATTAGTTATGACTAACAGGTATTACAAGTGAAAGATTTCTCGTTAACCAGCTATAGGAAGGTTAACTTCTGTTCTCAAACACCACATCTTGATGATAGAAATGCTGTTAAGGAGATAATTAACAAAATGATATTCACTCTGATTATATGAGGTTCAATCAGGTTTAACTAGCTTACTCACTTACATGTATCACCTGTTGTTATCATATGGTAACAGTAAATATATTCCCTAGCAACATATTCAACAATTTTCTGAGATTTGGTAGTATGACTTGAAAAGGATGAACTGACAAACAACTCACACAATATGATACATTGAACAGTGTGGCTAATTCTGTCAACTCCATTTTCAGTACTCTGGAAGTGCCACAGACCGAGTTTAATTACATCATAGAACATTTTATAATTCAATTCCATTACCTACATGTAGTAAATTTTCAGGGAAATCTGTTGATTTTCATAGGTGATGGCAGTAATGCATGAACAAAAGTAACATCATTTGAAAAGTGCCTGTGTATAATATAAGACAATGAATGGCAATCTTGAGAACCTTGTGCAGCTTTATTATGTACTTGAAAATTATGTTTAGTAGACATTACCTTTATATCTGTGGCATCTCCATATTTCACCATATTAAAACCTCCATTAGGCAGGTGAACTTTTAAAATGGAACGATCCATGAGGAATTTTTTAACCCTTGGGTCAAGTTCAGAGCTTGGATCAAGGTCAGGATCAAGGATTATTTCTGTACAGGTTTCACTTTCCCCCTCATGTATAAAACGCCATAATCTACTCCAACGTGCAATCTGAAAATAGATATTATAATTATAAATACAAATTTACTAGGATCAATTGAGCACATTGCAGAACCAACCTCAAATGAAACTTTTATTATCCTTTTATAAGATTATGCAAGCCAGTCTTATTAAAGATTCCCCCAAAAATTTTCTAGCATTTTTTTTTTATTGTGTATACCTGACTAACAAACTGAAGACCCTTACTCGTGTGACTATGAACCAAATTTCCTCAAAATAGCAATATCTTGAAAGAACAGTCATTTTAAGAATATTTTTTTTGCAAATACACATACAAATTTTTTGAAAACTTTTAAAGGTATTTTTTTATATCATAATTTTTAATTTACCCCAACAAAACAAACAGTTAATCATTTGTTATTAATAACCGAACTGTTAATGTAAATGTAAACAGCTTGTTATTAATAATTGAAATTAATGGTAAGTCATCAAATCTATTATCCTAAAGTTAGCACATCACTTTATATTTCTAAGCAGAATATTGCAAACATTTCAGATGAACCAGCATATACTTTTAGAAGAGAAAAATAAAGAAGTGATATTATCAAAATGTGGTTCTCATAAACGTCAAGACTGTACAATGACATGGATGCATCAACAATTCACTTTTTTTGTCCAATTATCTGAATACAGTACAATATATGTCCAGAGCAAAAAAAATTCAATATATAATATGATACCACACAATGGTAAAACAATACTTAACTAAACATGCCAATCAAGACAATAATCCACAACAGTATCAAGTTTCAACTCTAAGAGAGAGAACCATAGACAACAGTCCTATCAAATTACCAGGATAGCTTCTGGGGTATACATTTTTACATACTAGATAAACACATACATGTAGGACTAACTTCTGCTTTGGCAATCTTCAGATTAAAGGATAAATATTGGGTAAATGTATTTATCAAAAGGAAATAAATGAATACAGTATAGATGTACAGTGGGAGTATCGCCAAATAAATATATATAAATGAAAATACATAAAATAAAAAATTGAGATACCGTGTTTTCTTTTGGATAAATATTTTATGAGAAATATAATTCCCACTTAGTCTTCAAGCATCACACACAGAATTGTACACATGCTTAATTGTAAATTTATAACAATTCTTTAGCAAATGGCTTCATTGCTCGAATGACTGTCCTTTCCTGAACTAAATAATATCCTTTAATCAGGGTAATTAAAACTAAAAAGTTAACAAGTAATGCGATATAAGTTTAAATGCCGAACACGAAAAGCTGACAATTTTGAAGCTAGCCTCGATTCTACTTCATTTTCCCCCAAGAAATTTGCTGAACCATTTTACTGGGCATTTATTATGGTTCCTAAATTGTAACAGTTTGGAAATTTCACCATTGGAAATGCTCAGGCTCAGCACTGTCCAAGACCAGTCTAGAATGAAAGACGACTGCCAATACTGTAGCATACATGATATAAATATGGCTGACTGTAGTGCACATGTGGCCAGCAGACAGACAGGTAGAGAAAGAATTGCATGAATTTCATGCTTTTCTTAATACAATTAGTACAATATATTATACATGTACCACATACTTATATGATGTTCGTATCCAATCATAATCCTTATACACATTTAACTACAAAAACACTGTTTATTTAACCAATCAAAAGTTCACAATAATTACAAGTATTTTCCCAGACATTCCGGTCTGGAGATAGCTTTCTCTGACTAGCTTACTGTAGTAAAACAAAAATTTAAACTATTCCCAACATTCTCTCAGGCAAAACAAAATAATATGTTTATCATATAGTATGGTTCCATGTGTGCTCTCATCAATCATTTACTGTGTTAAGGGTTTGATTATTCATGACAATATCATGGTTTGTGATCAAGCCTAGCAAAGAGCGAGGCATAGTCTGGTGGCTGAAGATTGGGTGGGGGGGGGGAATTGCCACCCGAGCTGTGAATTTATGAGACCAAGTCTTTCTAGTACAGTTTTATGCATAGATTCCGAATATGGGTGGCGATTTGAAGGTAAATTTTGAAGAAAATAATTTCTGTCCACAAAAATACATGTTTCCCCCCCCCCCCCAGCTAACCCACACACAGGCACCCACCCCCACACAATATGAATATTTAGAGATGTTTCATCAAGCTCTAAGAAAATCACCATTTTAATCAACAATGTGAACTCATTTCCCGCCAATTTTACCCTGTCTCCCTCCACACACGCACAGCTGCTATTCCACCCCACTTCGCCACAAATCATAACAGTTGTCCAGGAGCATCATATACACTTTTTAGAGTAGGACAATCCTAGAAATTTATGTTTTATTAATATATAAAATGATCATCATTTATGTCAACGTAATCACATTTTCCCCAAATTGTAGACATTGGACCCCCCATATCTCGGAAACGCCCCCAGCTGAAACGCCTGGCGATTCCCCCCCACCCTCCACCAGACTAGCACTTGATATCTGCCCTCCCCACCCCCCATTTTGCATCTGTGACCACTGATGTCATATGTGGCCATTACAGTAAATATACCAGTACTGTATAAACGCATACTTCCTTGGATCTCTCTATACCATATTTGATAACTGAGGCTTTAATATGATGGAAATGAAATGAAAATCAGGGAATCATCATTTTGTACGGTCAGATGATAGTCTAGACATGGAAATGTATAATAAAATGGAACTGTATAATTACTCTGAAAATTATGAGACATGCACCACCATTACCTCCAAATAGGGATACCAGTTTGACAACTTTATATCTTAAGTGATATTTCAGATCACCATTCAGGCGAAGTATACTAGACCCAATTTGTGATAACACTTTTTATTATTAGTTAACTAATTTAATACACAAATTTAAATTACCAACGGCCCTTTCAATTTCATAAAAGCCAAAATTGGCAAGAGGAGAATAAATAGGGGTACTCAGAAAAGTGATGCATGCATGATGTAACATTGAACAGCTGCATTTTTTGAATTTTCCCATCATAGGTTGTATGTTGAAGCAATATGTTTATTTCTGTTGTGCCAGCTGCATACAAGAAGATTATCTACTATTCCAATCAGAAAAGCAGATGTATATCTTCTTAAACAACACAGTTTACCTGTACTGACTTACATACTGTAACCTACATTTTTATTTGATGAAATAATATGACATCACTTTGTTTAAAACAAAGGGATTACAATATTTACAAAAACATACCATGATTGGCCAACAATCACGTAGCAATGACGTCGGCATAATCAAAATATTCAACATTCGAATTCAGAATTTTTCATACAATATCTTATTCAACACAAAACAAAAGAAATGAAAATACACCTTGAAAAATATAGATCACCATTTAAAAGAACCATGCAAGAAATATTTAAAAGCATAAATCTTGTTACTTCTATGTGAAAGACTGCAAAATGTTTATTAAAATCTATCTGAATTACTCTGTATTATTTAAAAATATAGCAATCACTAGTGTTTAGGTTCCCTTATGCCTTTGTCAGGACTCACAAATTAGATTTTCTTTAATTCCATCAAACAGGAACATGATTTTTATTGTTTTCAATAGATTTAAAGCAAAATACCACTGACAGATGACCTTTTAATCTGTATAAATTGATATTTGGCATTACATACCTCGATTAATGATTTGGTAAACACAAAAATATCATTAATAGATGAATGCAGAAACTTGACAGATTAAAAATCAATGACAACTACCAACGACAAGTCAACAAAATGTTAATAGATAGATTTATGTAGAGCATAGTAAAATCTATAAATTATATCATATTACCACTATTGTCTATGATAAAATAGGAATTAAACATTAACTGTAAATTATTACGCACAAGTAATACTTTCCAATAAATATCTGACTCTACTACAGAAATTATACTTTTAGATTCACACTTAATCTGTTAAACAAAGTATTTTTAAGATACAACATAGAGTTTGGGGGGGGGGGGCAGCAGGCAAACACAAAAAAATGTAATCAAAACTTGTGATCAAAACTTGTGATCAGGCACTAACAATAACAGTTGCCTACAGGATCATGTAAGAAATATTAATCCAAATAATGTGTATTTAGGAAATGCATTCGCATTGAGATTTTATGAAAGCCATTGGAGCAGAATTGTAAGATCAGTTTTCTATACAATTCTAAGTTAAGGCAATCACATACACCAATAGGATTTTTAGCTGAAGTTAAGGTGAATACTAATCTTAATGTGAACACAGTCCTAGAAACCATACATACTATCGGTTTCATGTGCCATCAGTATAAAAATGTCCATTAAGGTCAGTCTGCGTATATTGAGGAAGGTCAAGTTATTTCCTGCTTATACTGCCCACTAGTTGTTACAATCAATACATGATGAACAATGATTAAATGGTCCTGTGAAGGATTCAGGAAATGAAGATATGATCAACTTAGGGATATGACCGTCATCTTATTGTCTTTCTAAACTACTAACAATAACAACTTAAATAGAATAATCCACACTAATATGTACTCAGATTGATCATTTAATATTTAATCAAACAAAATCAAAATATCAGATTAAAAACAGGCCTATCAATCAGATTTCGCAAACACGTTTAGATGGCAACAGACATATTAAAATATTATGATGTCATCCGACAATAAACAGACTTATGTAATTGCCGATACAAAATAACCACAAGTTCAACTTAAGAGAAATGTATCTGTTTTGTTGACAGATTCTGTCAAGAAAAACAAGCAAGAAGTAAAGTCTACAATTTAACGGGGAAGAATATGGACCCACATTTTGCAAGGGATGGACAGGAAAGTCAGATAAAAACACAATTTTTCGTACATTCTGGGGAAATAATTTAGAATTTAAGGTCTGGCATGCGTCAATAACAAAAGGAAACAAGATCTTTGAGACATAAACACATATTTGAACTCTCATCAAAATTGGGAACCCAATGAGGGTCAACAAGCTAAAAACATGATTTTTCGTACAATCAAGGACCATAATCCATTAAGTTACGGTCTGTTATATGCCAATATCTAAAGGAACCAAGATCTTTAGGATATAAACCTATATTTCAAGTTTCGTCAAAATCGTATCAATTTGTGAACGGACAGACGGATATGGGCAACGACAATATACGTTGACAGGAAAATTTGGGCATATAAAAAGGACCAGAGGATGAAGAATTCAGTTAGTTATACTGAGACTGGGAAATATTTGTATTCTAAAAATATCTAGGGTGTTTCTTCGTAGTAAAATCATTTTCTCAAGGAGATAAAATACTATTATGGACTGGTATGTCATCTGATATCTGTGATAACCAGTATGGCTCAATTTAAAAACCCAAAAATGTTGCCAATCTATAAATGATTCCAGAATGTGATTTCTACAAAGATCTCCAGTAAGACCCATCCTAACAATCCTTCATATCCTAACATTTATAGACTGAAGATAAACCTCCACTGGCTCTTACGATTAGGTAAAGATAAAGCATGAGGTGGTAGCCTGTTTATAAACAATAGATACACACTCTACTAACAGAATAACAAAATCAAGTAGATAAGAAAACTTGTCTTTATCACATCCTTCAGTTCACAAACAATCTTTACCAAATCAAACTTCAAAGAAACTCTTTACTTTTACCAACTTCACTTACAAGAGCACCTTGCACTTTTCAAGTACTAACAAATTTTATCTATAATTATTACAATATTTCTTTGTCAATTATTGGATATAAAGTTTTTTCTACCTTTTTTGAACCAAGAATTTTAAAATAATTTAAACATACATTATGCAAGAGCTAAATCTGCCTATTGCAGGTCTTTCTTTAGGCCTGAAATGTTACCTAAATTATTAATTAGACATTAATAAACTTATCCAGGTCATAATCAACTAAGCTAAAAATGGAGGAGTGCTACTTAGCTTCGAACAACCAGTATGGTGCTGAAATTATTGCACACGTCTTGTCAAACTTTCAAAGGCTAATATCTTCGCTCGCAATAGAGTAATTTGAATGAAATTTTCACATTATTCATTTTACATTATCTATTTTTGAACTATTAGTATTATAGTAAGAATGGCTACCTCTTCATCTAAATCTTACATAATGTATTTTTAATGGTAATGCATTATCATTTTTTAGATTTTATACCCTGGTTATTTCTAAAAGGAATCATGAAGAATTTAACTTGTTGAAATTAAATCACTCAAAATGTCTATAACAAGAGAGAGAGAGAGAAACAGGGTTTAACATCCACTTGACACAAACCAGGTAATTTCGGGACTAACTCATGTTTCAGGGGTCTTTAGCAGTGGGAGGAAATCGGAGGTCCCGGAGGTTGGACAGGTGCCCCTATCACATACACCGGGGAATCGAAACCATAAGTTGACTCAATGACACACCTTATGATACACCGTTCACATGCTAACCATTCGGCTATCCCCCCCCCCCCCCCGCCCTATTGTCTATAGCAAAGTCTTCATTTCATTTACCTTTGACTTTTTGGCACCTTGCGAAAGGATTCCTCTACAAGACTATCTAGTTGAAATCTAGAGTACAGTATCTTTGCCAATCCCATTGAAATCTAAGCTTAATGGACTGAGTAAAGGTAAGCATGACTGGTACTCTGATAAATTTATCCCAATCTTCAAGCATCAAATACCATGTTTACAGAAATTTGTAAAGCTAGAAGTCAGCTGAACTTACATGAGTATGAGTAATGTCTGTTGGCTTGTAATCTTTAAAAATGTCAGATCATATTACAACCTTTACCAGCACCACCATCACAGTTTAAACAGGAAATATTTTGGCAATGTGTCAAAAGGAGGATTTAGAAACCATAGAACTGTGTGTTATGTGGCACCATGTTGTCAGTGTAGATGTCAGACTACTGTTATCCACTAATAACTATCTAATAATCATCCTACTATATGTGGGTGTAGTTAACATAATAAAAATGGGTCACCTCTCCTACTAGAGGAAATGATGTATTGGGTCAATTTCTAGCTGATTGATATACAAAAATTCCTAAGTTCAAGTGATGACCTAAATTTATTAAAATTCCATAAATTTTCACCGATTTGCACAGAATCTGTATTTACTCAAGCTCGGTAAATTGAACACATTTTCAAAAACACAAACTAAAACTTGAAATGTCTAAATAAGAAATAAATCATGTCATTGACATGTAATATAAAGGTCTCCTTGAAATAATTAACATCTGTCTCAAATTAACTGTATGATTTCAAAAACAGCTGTCCTTGAAAAATCTTGAAGACATTAAGAACCATCACAGATTAAAGAATCCATCACTTTCAATTTGACATTAAGATAATTTTGCTCTGACATCAATTTCAATATATTAAGAAGAGCTCCACCTATTTTTGCTTTAAACTTCCTTATTACGGTTATGTTATACAAATACATGTATGAATGTCTTATAAATATTACATTTTATCACGAATCCCAAAGTAGCTATTTAGAATTAATTTCATAAAAAAATCGGTTATGCACCATGTGACAAAAACTATCAAATGCACTCTAAAATTATCAGTGTATTCGTTGGAATCAGTTAGGTGGAATACAAGCAATAACAATCACATTAATATTTCATGATCTTGTGAGTTATGTTATCCTGATAAAATAAAATACATTACATTAAAACATTATTAGTTTTATAATGGGTAGAATAGTAAAAATACTTTACCCGATGCCACGATCCTGGTGGTTTGTCTGTCAGAAGTGGACTGTTAGTGTTAACACATGTATCTAACACATACCCTGCATGTATTGTCTCTAAATTAGACATTTTATTTCACTACACACGCTACACTTCATACCTTATGAAAAGCTACCAACACTATTTGATATCAAATAAGTAATTTGGTCAGTTTTAATGTCTGAGATTATATCTGCACAAAAACTACCACAAATCAAACTAAATCCAAATTCACGTAGGAAATCTTTTCTTCAGTTTGATTTACACGATAAATCTTATTTGCAAATTTTATGTATACTATGTATTCCTTTGGTCAGGCAGTCATAATATGTAGTATCCTTTATAATTAGCTTCGTTAGTTTGTCTCGTAAACTATACACACACGAAACAATCTATAATAAACAGAAGTCCATTCCCATCCCTAATGACTCCTTCTTTCCACATGTGTAGGACTGTAGTGTATGTATTATGTATATTGTAGATTATGACAAATGTTATGCGTAATGAACTTTCGACATCCTATCTGGTTGTTATTTATATCTTGGCAGTGGATGGACTAGACTTGCCTTCTGCTTCAACATGTATGTAGTTTACATCATCATCTTCATCAGATGTTTGTCTGCTTAATAAGCCTTCTACATTTATTACAAGTAGGCTAGTACATCCTTGAAAACAATACCATCCCCATTTTAAATGTCAAAAACTGTTTAAAATCAAATTCCACGACTAATGAACACAACATTATTAACCACAAAAGTTATTTTATTCCTATACACATGTAAGAACCCAACCATCAACACAGCAGCAGTACTACTAACTGTACCGGTACTAGTAAAGGTTATGATGCTGAGTGGGCTAATTTCAGTTCTAATTAAAACAAATAGTGGATTGTTTACTTCACCATTTGCAATAAATCACTAAGGAATAAATCATTCAATTCAATGATATCTGATCAGGATAATATCAACACGCCACAATTACTTTTTATAATGTTTGTATATAAGATTACAATCTTATATTGGTAGGCCTACCATTAGTCTTATTGTACTACTCTGTTTCTCAGCATACACATGTCTGCATCTACATACACCCTTATTCTTTGAGTAACAAAGGAATACTGAGATAATTCCCGGTAAATAAAAATCAATTTTAACATAGAATAAATTCCCTGTTCAGGACGGGTGTAAGAAAATAGATCAATGATATCAAAGAGTTCCAGACAATTCACGGCAAGGCTGTCATTAGATTTAAAAGATCAATTCCACAAGAAAATACCAATATATGTCTAAAGGCAGGAAGAGTTAATTCTCCAAGCAGAATAATGGCTTCTACTTCCAACCTCGATACTAAAAGTGAGCGTAGGATAAATCACGATAAACATTTAATCACTATCTTGAACACATCCTATGTCTGAACGGACAATTCCTATTTTTGTCCACATTCTTCAATCACCAAGTTATATTTAGTAACGACCACAACCCAAAGATATTAGAAATATTCCTCTTAATTAACTCAGACTACCGACTAATACTTCAGTATACACTTTACTTTACCAGACACAAGTTTTTATATTGTTTATTGTCCATTGTCTGACAAGTGTACTAAAGTCAGACCACAACACACCAGACTTTCTACTTAAACACTACACTGGTCAAATGATTCCTGTTTGAGATTGATATCAAACAGCAAATTGTGGCTGTCTCTAGTTATAAATACACTTACAATAAAAAGCTAAGTGAAGCTACAAACATTGTGTATATCACCCTGTTATAGTTAATCCAACAAACTGTTAAATCATCCTAGTTCAAGGGATGCTATCTAATTCTCTTAAATACCACCTGCTTCACAAGCATAAACAACCGCACTGTTTAACTTGTAATATTCTTGCAATTGTCTCATCAATTCAATCATAAAAGAAATATAGTCTGCTGCAGACATCAAGTGAACAAATGTCAAAAGTTATTTGGCAGTTTTTCTAAAATTATTCTCAAAGATCCCACATTATGTATACATATCACAAAAAAATACTAATACTAAGAAGCAAAGCAATATATGAAGATTTAAAAAAAAAGCACATTTATCTATCTATCTACTCTCTAGTGTAAAATTTACACCAAGTTTTCTCTTCTCAACTCTAAATCTGCTAACACGCTATAATTCCGGCTATAATTCCTTTCAATGTGCCAGGATGGACTAATTGGAAACCTCTTGAACTGTCCAGTTTAACCTTTTCTAGGTTTGTTATCAATAAGTACAGTTATGTACACGAAACCCTACATCTGACCAGACTCTTCATGTGTGGAGTTACACGGTTCAATTACATTTCCAGGCTGTAGCCAGTGAGTTGAATACTAGCTGTGAAGCTGTCCTATATTATAAATTCAGCTACCACAGTAGAAACTACACACAACATTACCATACCACAACTAATAGTAGTAGTGCTTCCATGTATTGTACACAGTTTCAAGTACAAGTATGTCTAGCTACCACTATATATTTGTGTAATGTTGTCACATTTAAGACTATGTCCGTGTAATTTAACATTATTTACTCACTATCCATTAAAAAACTATTTACTTAGAAATGAGTGTATTTTTGTATTAGTTGGCCCTATATGTTTGTAACTAATATAACATATGTAGATAATTTCAACAATAAATTAAAATCTTCATCAGTCTAATATAATAAATCAGTTAATATATAACATCTTCATTTCACAGAGGTACACAATATATATAATCTAAAATCAGTGGAACTAACAAATGTAGAACCAAATTTTCAAACAATTTGTGGCTTTTTGATCACATTTTTAGCTTTTTCTACTGTTTTTGAATAAATATAATATTAAAATATAATGAGGCATATAGCATAAAATTCATTTGGCATTAATTAAGATATATTTCAGTTTATTAAACTGGTTACTGAATTCTGATTGAAAGTCTCTAGAACCATTTATTCTAGTCTCTGCAACGATCTGAAGTTCTGTGTTAAGTTAGTTTTTAAAGATATACCAAAATCAACAGGTCAGGATGGGTTGGAGGCAAACTTATTTACTAGCAGTCATCTGGATAAATCTACCTATGACTCAAGATGTGTGTGTTGTTCCAACTTCCCACAATTCCTTTGGTTTGTGTGGTTTTCTAGCTAGTAATAAAATTTTAAAAGTTATTTCTATGTTTTAATTTCCTTGGCAAAGTTTATTAACGATATGAAATACAGTTGCAAGCACTCTAAAATAGTTATGTAACCCCTATTAACTAACATGGCATATTTTCTATTCAAATAATTCACTTATGGGCAGGGGTATTTAAACATACATTATGCAAGAGCTAAATCTGATTATTGCAAGTCTTTATTTAGGCTTCAGACGTCATAGAAATTATAAATTAGATCTTTATTTACACAACAAGCACAAAATCAACTCTGTAGACCCACGGATGGCTTGGATTCGCTTGGATTTAAACAGGATTTCATTGATTGATTAAATTTTTAATGGCGTCATAAGCTGAGATTAACCGTTACGTTGACGTCATAGTCCGGGAAATTTTAGATCGAGGCTGAATGATAGAGTGTACGAAGCGAAGCCGCTGTTGAGCGAGGCCGCATATGTCAGTCAATTTGATTGAAAGTTTGATATATACGGCCTTGATATTAGGTTTATTTGTGGTTAAAATGAGAGTTTGGATGCCGGTATTATACGCTCTTGTGTCACTTGCGTTTACAGAAAAATTATGGAAATTGATAAACATCGCAGCTAACATCACCCCAGTTGAATTGCAGCCCATGCAGCCCCATTGGATCAATGTTTCCTATTTCAATTTGTCTGCTTCGGGAGTACACGCAGGCTAACAAGATTGAAGAAGTCGGCTATAATTATGCCTCATTGATTTGGTCCATTCCTTTAAAACTTTCGCTTCTTATCTATATAATAAAAGTCCTATTTTTAATTTGTAGTAAAAATAAATGTGATACAAATTGAAAACGTTACTTGATAATCGAGATTATGTAGGTGGAGTTAACGCCTGTCAATCAAACGGCCTGCATTCTCGTAGACGGTGAAGAGGGATTTGACTCCTATTTCTAGTCAAAAATTACAATGGTGATAACTTTGGTCAGAATAAAGTAATTTGACTGAAATTTTCAATATATTCTTCTTTTATCATCTATTTTTGATCTGTTATAGCAAGAATGGCCAACTCTCTATTAAAATCTCCCATAATGTATCTTTAAGTGTGGAACAAAGCCAGAATACCCACAAGCTTCAGCACGTCAAGCATGCCACACATTCCCCTTTAATAAATAAGTGCACTTTGCTTTTCTTTTATTTCATAACGAAATAGATAAAACAACTAAGTCCTCATCAATATTTCAATAATGTAAGACGTTTTATTTTCTCTAAATTACCCATAAGCGAAGAACTATGTTCAATACGTTGAAAAATATGACTAGAGAAAACTGAACTGAGATTAGATCGAGGTATGAAATGGCTAAAAAACAAAACAATTATTAGCTCTTTAATATTCTGTGTGCCATCAATTTTAGATCATTGGTCAGGACAGAGTAATTGTCACCTTAACACTAGCAGTTGATATTGTGCAATAATATATCAATAATGATCAGGTCATACTTTATAATACACATTATCATGCAATGAGAGTAAAGTCTCTGTCATTAATTCAACCAAAGCTCTGCAGATACCAAATGATTGATAGCAAGTTGGTGTGCAGACCTTTTCTATTAAAGCTCTATTATTATTCAAAACTGTTATAAAATCTTATGGCTTAAATCGTGGGGCATCCCTTGAGTAATAATTCTACTTGACCCAGGTCATCAGAGCAATTTACTTTTTTGAATTTCATGAAATAGTCCTGATGATTGAATTTTCCTTTTTTTATGTAGCAATACAAGCTACTCGGAGGTTTGAAACATACTACTGAATTATACTGTATAGGACCCAAGCTACACTGCTGAAAAGAACAGGGTTTAAAATATATTACAATTTTAAAACACCACAATCAACCTAAACTTCACTAGACCTTTCAATACACAATAAAAAGTTGTTCATCAATAAAAACTACCAGTGAAACATGACTTTTATCAAATCAGTCTACTTTTCTTCATGAAAACCAATGGGCTGGACATGGCTCATGAATATAACTCAATAATCCTTGTTAAATTCACATCACACTCCCAAAAAATCAACACCTTCTTTATTAAATTAGTTAACCATACTTTATATTGATCAACTAGGATTATATGGACATAGCAAGTTCAAAAATTGATAAAATCTTTATACCACTACTGTCTTAGCCATCTAATTTCTGAATCAAAAGATTTCAATTACCGGTAACACTAACACTGAGCAACAAACAATTTTGAAACATGGGTGTTATATCCTGTTGCATGCAAGAGACAACTTTTTTTATTTGTGGATATATTTAATCATGAAATGAATTTTTATCATTCAGAGAAAACACCAAAATCTAAAGGTCTTGAAATTGTTTATTGTTGTTTTGGAGTACATCAACATTTCTGATTCAAAAAGTAAATGGCTCACAGTGTTGATTGAGCAAAGTGATCTAAAGATTTTTTAAAAATAATCGATAGGCCTACAAAAGATGCAACTTGGTTTTCTAGGTAATTGAGATTGTTGCCAAACTTTATATTTAATTTGTCAAGTTACACAGGAATCAAAATGTTGCAATGGTTTTCCGTCTTGAAAATCTGCAATACATGTATCTCCATTAATACCAAGAGTTGCTAACATCTTAGATGCATAAAATTTGGG